GGGAGGGCTTGTCTAATAGCGCATGTACATGTTTGGAGGACGATTCTTCGGCTTATGAACGATATGTCGCGCGTATGCGTGTTTCATTCGATTACAACATCGGTGATCTCATGCCGGCGCACACCCACGTGTGCGCGTGCGCGCGCGCGAGCGCACGCGCGCCACGCGATGCACTTGTAGGGACATCCGATCCGAATGATCGATACTTGTGAATCGTCGTTGTTTTCCACAACGCGCTTTCAACTACGTAAATGCGGCCGCACGGGTCTCGTCACGTTGACATTGAGCGAAGATGTACGCTTGGGAGCCTCCGCTGTCTCTCTCTCTCTCCATCTCTCTCTCTCCGTCTCTCTCTCTCGCGCTGTCTCTCTATTTCGCATGCGACGCATTCATACATGACTACGCGTCACACGCATCGCATATTTTGGAAGAGATCTCCGCGAGGGAGATGGAGCGAGAGGGAGCGATATCGCGGGTCGGGAAAGGGGGAGGAGCGCGGAAGAAAGAGGGAGAGAGAAGCCAAGAGCGACGGTCAGCTGATGTCACGCAGATGGGTTGCTCGATGAGCTGCGCTGTGCTAAAAGCGGCTATGATGCCCTCCTTTATTTCTCCTCCCTTCCCGCCCCAGTCCTGTTTTTCTATCCACGCATGGGTGTGTGTTTGTGTGTTTGTAGCTCTGTGCGTTTCCCTCTCGCGTGAATTCCTCATACTTCTAGCTAATCCGACGAAGAAGAACGTGACGCGTGCACCTCGCGGGCATATCGTGACGCATTCTCCCTCTCCTTCTCCCTCCCTTTCGAGAAAATCGCGGCGCGAAATGACGCGCACCGAAAGGAGACTCGCGTGTCGGAGGAAGGAACAATCTGACGATTTCTACTGGGAATAAGTATGACAATTTGCGGCGTGTTCGTAACCGAGAAATTGCCTTTTCGCGGGAAGCGGTAACGAATAATTACTTGGACGAATAATTAATGCGCATTTTTTTTAAATCTCGTACGATAAGGTAAGAAATAAATATTCGGCAATTTATGCCAGTTTTATGAAACTTTTTTCCGAATGAAATGGTAGTTCTTGGCGAAAATTGGCTCGAACCACTTTAGAAATTTGTCAAAAAAATTTATGATTGTCGTATTACTCTCGTACTCCAAGCTCGTTATTTATTGAATAAAAACAGCAGCATCCATTCAGAAGCTAATAATTGGCTTCTCTTCAAGATAATCGAGCGCTTCATTAAAGGTGTGCGTGTGTGAGGCCGTGTAGTCATAAATTGTCATAAACTACAATTTACTGCGTAGATGATGATTGAATCGAATCATCTACAGTTTTAAAAAAACATCTAATCCCGTCAATACCAATTTAATAAAGATACATCGTCCGAGATGTGTCATTATTTAAATATCTCTTTATTTAAATTTTAAATTCTCGGAAGAATTGAAGAGTCTAATTAAAAAAATTCCTGGAAACTTGGTGCATTGAGAAAAAATCTGGTTAAATTAATTAGAAATCTGGAGATTTCTCAGTAGATTCAATTAGTATGTCTGAAAAATGGACGAATCAGAATTTCTTTAGGAATTGCCAGATGAGTATGATTAATTTTTTCCTGATAAATTTACCAAATTTTCTTGACAATAATATTAAATTTACAAAAAAATGGCCTCGCTCTGTCCATGTTTAGTTAATAAGAAGTTGTATACACAGGAAAAAAATAAGTGTCAAATCAAAACTTATATATTTAAACTAACGCGTTCATTGTTTCGTATATACGCAAAACAATTTATAATCTTCTTAGAAAAATTTAATAATTTTAAATTTTAACAATATTATAGACTTGTTTTAATATTGTAATTGTCAAGAATATATAATTATTTAAATCTACTTTAAGAAAATTATGATCTCGGATTTAAAAATGTTATTTTCTATCCAACATTGTTTCTTTTCCATTCGAGAAAATTAAATCTTCAATTCTAAGAATATATTTTTCTCGATTGAACTATATAAAATGGCTTCAATCAAGTAAGCAATTATTCAAGCAATTATATTTTTCTTTAATTAACGCAATATAATCTCATTTCAAGATTTCCATGTTAAAATTTAATATATTTTCAAAACAAGATTATCCTTTTTTTCTGTGTAGATCCGACTTAGTAAATTCTATTAAATATTCTAGTTATAAAAAATCTTATTATGATAATAGGAACTAGAAATTCTGCTTGGTTTAATCAAAACGCCTTCTCAGATACTATCTTGTTGATACAATCAAACGATTTTTCTCAGGGTGGAGCCGCTGGGGGGGTACCTCGGGTTTCTCACTGCCCCTTGAATCCCTGAAGAACAGTTTGTAAACGCGAAAAGTTTCTCGGCCGCACCGATGTAGAATGTTCGTCTCGTGGATGCGCGGATGATCACATCGGCGCGAGGAGACGACGAAGAGGTCAGGCATGCGAGAAAGTGGGGCAGACGCGGAACGTTGACCTTTACGTTCGCGGCGGATATACGCGTTGTAAGAACATACGACCGGATTGCACGATGGGGCCCCGCGATCTTTTGTCGCGATACATCGATGACCGGTGTACCGATAGGGAGAACGGGACAAACAGAGTCACCTTTACACGACATTCTACTTACTGCGGTCGTGGAATTGCATCAAAGCGAACGAGGTGTGTTCCATCCGTTTTCTTTTTTTTTCTTTTTTTTTTTTTTATTTGAATCTTGCGAAACGTGCCTGCGAATTTCCCTTTTGCGACTCGAGATTTTTATTTTCTCGCGATTCAAGATCTTTTTCATCTATTATAAATAATTATGATCGTTTAAATGTTTCCACGAGTGATTGAATACGATTTAAATTTGTTTTATTTATGTAGATTCAAAACTTAGCATATAGTTTTTTTCATTTTACTCATAAATTGCAAATATAAGGTGGCCCTGAACGTTGCAGCCAGATTTTGAGATCTTGTAGGAAATTTAATTCTGAAGAAAAAATTTCCGATAAAGATGGATCGAAAAATGCTTCCTTAAGAAGTTATCGTTCAAAAACCTCTGATGAAGGAAGAGCAAAAGGTGAAAAGAAAATGAAATAAAAAGAAAATGAAACTAAATAAATTTCTTTGAAAAAAAAACGATAAAAATAAAAATCTTTTTCTTTTATGAAAATAAAATAATTTTTTTTTTTTAACTAACTTTTATTTCGTTTTTTTCAAGAAATTTATTTAGTTTTATTTTCATTTTATTTCATTTTTTTTCACCTCTCCCTTCATCAGAGGTTTTTGAGCGATAACTTCTTAACGAAGCATTTTCGGGGCCATCCTGTATATTAAAATCAACTTTATTTAATTATGAAGGCCCAAATTTATTGTATTTAAACATGGAAAAGTAGACTCCTGGACAAAATTAACGCATAATTTTTTTCACTTTTTCTTTAAAATTTAAATATCAGCTTTTAAAGAAAAAGTGAAAAAAAAAATTATATATTATGAATTTTAAAAAATGCCTATTTTTTGCTTTAATATTAATAAAATTTTTCAATTGAAACCGAGTGTTAAATGCTTTATTTCATTGATCGATCGACAAAATCACATTTATATCAATTATTACGATACATAAAATAGCAAAAGAAGAGAGGATTATTTAAATCTCTTTCTGGTCGCGACTTAAGGTGGAGAAGCGTGCCACGCCCAGATTCGCGGCGCTCCGTTATTAGCGCTGCGTTTGACGCACGGGTAAGTTACATACATATGTGCGTGCGTGAGAATGCATGCGTGCAATAGGTATCCGATTGGACACGAAACACACGCGCGGCTCACTTGTGCTACGCTTTATCGCAGTCAGAGCGACCGCGTCACGCATTTATCGAATGAAGGATGCACGCGGTTCTATTTCGCTTCGTTTCGTTTCGTTTTCCTCGTTAAAATAACGGTCGTCCCCGACGTAGAATGAAACTATTCGGAATAAATTGACGCGAGTTTGAGACGCTCGCTCTTTCGTCAAGTCTTAGAATTTTCAGTGATCGATTTTTAATCGTCTGCCGTTGATTCGCACTAGGGTTGCACAAGACCCAAGACAAGATAATATTCGTAAAAATATTGTATTGGTATTGAAAATTTTGAAAAATTTAAATTTTGTCTTGGTCTTGAGTGAATATTGGTAGCAAAAATCTCGTCTTGTATTGTCTTGTCTCGATTTTCTTAACAATTTTTTATCTAATATTAAAAAATTATTTAAATAATATTTAACATAATTTTTGTAATATAATTTGAAATAATTATTACTATTGTATTATACTTTAATTATAATTATTACTATGTAATCGACATAAATGCCGTCTATTTACTTAAAAAAATATTTACTGTTTCATGGAAAACAGAAATTAATAACTATTTACAGGCTCGAAGGGAATGTGCAGATATAAATATTTTGGAGTGGTGAAAAAATTAGGTTCATATTTATCCCACATTGTCAAAAATGACTCGAGACATTTTAAGTTCAACTGCCTCGTCCGTGCCAGTAGAAAGACTTTTCTCAATAGGAACTCTGAGACTATGTCAAAAAATAGAACCAGATTACAAAGTAAATCTCTAAAAGCACTAATGTGCCTTTAAAGATCAATTCCTGGATGAAATGCACTTTAATGTCTAAAATTTGGGAGTTTGATTTCTAATTTATAAAAATGTTATATTATATTAATATTAAATGTTCTTAAATTTATTAATATAAATGTTTTTATTGAATAAATTTTTTTTTTAAATTCGTATATGTATAGTGATTTTTTTTTCATTCACAAATATAAATATTTTAGTTTTTTTGAGAACCAATAATCTTGACAAGACTAATAATTTTGACAGTCTTAGTCTTGGTATCGTCTTGATAACTAATTAAAAATCTTGTCTTGATCTTGTCTTGAAATTCAAGACAAGACAAGACAATATCAAGACTAATCTTGATATCTCGTGCAACCCTAATTCGCACATATATTTCATCGATTCCGTCTCGTTTTCTTGTTGCAGAGATCGCGAAGGTGCGGGCGAGTCTTTTTCAAATCAGCGGAGTGAAGAAGGAGCCGCTCATCTTGCCGGAACCCGAGGGCGACATCACGACACTCACAGAAAAGGTTTATGTCCCCGTCAAGGAACACCCAGACGTGAGTATCGTACACTGTAAAAATTTTTGGTGTAAATTTACAATTATTATAGTGGGTAATATTGAGACCAACTATTAAAGGTGTATATTTACATAAATTAGTAAATTTACATTTCATAGATAAAATTATTATCTTAAGGATGTATTGGACTGACCGTCTGTCTCAAAAGTTAATCCAAAGTATCAAAAAATTAAAGTTGGGCTGAATACGAATTCTAATTGATCAAAAATTTTTTAAAAATCACGAAATCATACTTCAAAGTATTTTTTAATATAAATAGGTTTTAATTTCCAAGAAAATGTTGCCACGTTTTATCATCAATATTGCGTCAAATCGATAATCACAGTTATTTTTTAATAATAATTTCAAAACGAGCAAGTAAATCGTTTTAAAACTTTGTGGGAACATTTTTACATGTATGAAGAATATAATATTACAAAATGAAATTTTTATCATTGTTTTTTATAGTTTGTGAATAATTTTTTATAGTTTTTTTTATAGTTTTTTATAGTTTGTGAATAATTTATTACTTGTCTCTTGAACGTTTATATAAGATCCTATGTTAAAATCGCAAAATTCAAAAATTAATAACTTTTAAAGGAGCAAGTAAAAAAATTTGAAATAATTCATGACGATTTAGAATGTTATTAAGAATGTTAAATTAAAAATTCACGGCGATCTCATTGATTGTAATATATCTCCAATACATCCTTAAATAGTAAACATCAATAAGTAAGTATCTTGTACTAATAAATTTACATGTTAGAAGTAGATTTCTAGAAATGTTTATGTAATAATACATTTTGTATATGTATTTATACAATTTCGCATATTAAATTTAATTTAAAATTACATACATAATTAGTGTAACAATTACGCTATTTATAACGAAAATATATAAATTCATTCACTTTTACAAAAACTAGTTATTTTACTCTTTATTGTGTAAATATTCATTTATTAAGTGTAATTTTTAAATTTTATATAAATGTTACAAAAAATTACATACATTTACATAAAATCCAAAAATTACACTTTTAACTTTGTAATTTCTCATCAAATTTAAACGAATATTTACACAATAAAGAGTAAAAAAACTAATTTTTGTAAAAGTACATGAATTTATATATTTCTGTTATAAATAGCGTAAATGTTACACTGATTATATGTGTAATTTTACATACTTTTTTTACAGTGATGAATATCATCATGTTGCACGAAACTTGCCCCTCCTTGCTATTCCTTCCGGATTATTTCCATTTTTAACAAAAATTGAAGGATACGAGACGAAATTTTTTCGAAAACTTGAAACTCGATTCGGATTTCTTTTTAAATATAAATTTCGGTTATAGAGTGTATATGTGTGTTACATAAATATAATACACAGGATATCTACATCCTGAGAAAAACATGGGAAATCTGGATTCTCAGGGATTTCTTTTGTACTTGAAAAAGTGAATTCTCATGAAATTTTATCGAGACTCGAGAGAGAAATTTTTAAAAAATTTTATCTATAATTTTATTCTTACATTGTGAGCAGTTGATAATCCGCCAACTTGTGAGTTATGTGTTTAAATATATTATAAATATTATATAATATAAATATTTAAAATATATTATAAATATATATTTATATGTTTTAATATAAAAATATGTTAATATGAAAATATATATTTTTCATATAAATTTTAGTGATAAAAATATGAAAATTACGCAAGTGATAAGTGTTTATCTTATACGAAATATTATCTCTGTTGAGAGTTATTTTCAGTACATTTGCAAATTTAGCACTGGAAGCTCAAGTGATTTTTCTGCTTCGTATGAGTGCAAAGCCTTAGAAAACGTATATAAAAAAGCTTATTTGAGAAAGTTGCATTAAAGTATCTGTAAAATATTTCTTCCCCAATTTTTTAAACTTTCGCACAAAATTATCTGGAAGATCAGGAAGCGTTTTTAAAAGATTTAATTAGACACCGTGTGTGAATATTTAATATTTGTTACGAATCGCGACGTGTTGAGTCAGAAAAATTCTCTCGACGACCAAACGCGCGTTTCCTCAAGAAACGTCTGTGAAAAAAAGGTAATTTTTACCCGCGGCTGTTTCACATATTTCTCTCGCCGAGGAAGCTCTCTTACTCGTCGATCTCGGGACGAGAAATCGAGCGATGCGCGGCGTGCACCATCGAATGTTATTTCTGTAACGCCCGAAATAGGGTTCACGCCAAAGAAACGACTCCCTTTCCTTCTCCGCCGCGTTTCTCCGTCTCGCTTGCACGCGTCTCTCCCACTGCGGCTCATTGAGACGTAATAACGAGGTCGTGTAAGCTTATTAACCCTTCGGACGAGTGTCTCGATTTTTTTTCTCAAATATGTTTGCATTAATATTCCTGATTTAATTTATTCAATAGACAATTCTCCTTCTCTCTTGTACACAGAAAAAAAATAAGCGTCAAATCAAAATTTATGTACTTAAACTAACGCGTTCATTGTTTCGTACATACGCAACAATTTATAATCTTCTTAGAAGAATTTAATTATTTTAAAATTCAACAATATCACAGTCTTATTTTAATATTGTAATTATCACTTTAAGAATATATAATTATTTAATTCTACTTTCAGAGAATTATAAAAATGTTATTTTCTATCTAACATTGTTTCTTTTCTATTCGAGAAAATGAAATCTTAAATCGTAAGAATATATTTTTCTCGATTGAACTGTATAAAATGGCTTCGTTCAAGTAAAAAATTATATTTTTCTTTAATTAATGCAATATAATCTTATTTCAAAATTTCCATGTCAAAACTAAATATATTTTCAAGACAATAATGTCTTTTTTTTCTTTATGCTGAATTTATATATTTATACATAGAAAAAAAATAAGTGTCAAATCAAAATTTATATACTTAAACTAACGCGTTCATTGTTTCGTACATACGCAACAATTTATAATCTTCTTAGAAGAATTTAATAATTTTAAATTTCAACAATATTACAGTCCTATTTTAATATTGTAATTGTCATCTCAAGAATATATAATTATTTAATTCTACTTTAAGAAAATTATAATCTTTGATTTAAACATGTTATTTTCTATCCAATATTGTTTCTTTTCCATTCGAGAAAATGAAATATGATTAAATGAAATATTAAAATTAAATATGATTAATTATGATTAAATCTTCAATCATATTTTTCTCGATTAAACTATATAAAATGGCTCAAGTGAGCAATTATTCAAGCAATTATATTCTTCTTTAATTAAAGCAATATAATCTCATTTCAAGATTTCCATGTTAAAATTAAATATATCTTCAAAAGAAAAATGTTCCTTTTTTCTGTATATGCGTGATTTTTTTGCGCAAGTGAAACGATAAATATCTCTCGTCTCGAGAATGGACAAGAGAGAATTACATCGATCTTATCAGCGCGTGAGAATGATTTAAGACAATGGCATTCGCTACTGTTTATTAATTCATCACGAGTGCTTCTTGCGAGCGATTGATCCGTCTGTTATCGAGCCATGTACATGATTGGTTTTACTCGAAGCGCTTTGCACGCCCCTCGACCCGATAACTTGTCGATTATCAATGATTTGACAAGCTAATTTTACAAGATTGGTGCTTTTCGATAACATCCCACGTTATCAACAACTCATCTTATCATCTTGACGATAAGGTGCTTCTGTTATATGATAATCACGCAGAAAAAAAGGACATTTTTGTTTTAAAAATATATTTAGTTTTAACATGGAAATCTTGAAATGAGATTATATTGCGTTAATTCAAGAAAAATATAATTGCTTAAGCCATTTTATACAGTTCAATAAGAAAAATATATTCTTATGATTTGAGATTTAATTTTTTCGAATGGAAAAGAAACAATGTTAGATAGAAAACATTTAACATTTTTAAATCAAAGATTATAATTTTCTTAAAATAGAATTAATTTATAAATAGAATTAAATTATAAATAGAATTAAAATAGAATTAGATTATAATTTTCTTAAAATAGAATTAAATAATTATATATTCTTAAGGTGACAAATACAATATTGAAATAAGACTATAATATTGTTAAAATTTAAAATTATTAAATTCTTCTAAAAAGATTATAAATTGTTGCGTATGTACGAAACAATGAACGCGTTAATTTAAATATATAAGTGATTTCCCACTGATTTTGATTTGACACTTATTTTTTTTCTGTGCAGCCTTATCACTCGAAACGAGTGTATAAAAAGATTGAGCTTGCTATTATACATTTTAGATAAATAAAAAGAAAAATCTTTGGAACGTGCCAAGGATCTTACGTCTCTCTGTCCGCAGCCTACTCTATTCCAAAACTTGCATCTTGGCAATTAAAGTGTCTTCTCTCTTTATATAAAATTATTTATATCAAAACAATTGAGATCTTTAAGATACGCTGAATATTTTTGAAAAAAAAATGTGCCAGCAACAAGGGGAGCTAAAGAGCTGGATGATTCACAGTCTAAATTTACACACCTTTATTTACCGGGACTCAACAATGAAACTGGATATCTCGTGAAGAACAAGTCTTTTTTCACGGTTGTACAAACCAGCGGATTCATCGCGTGTAGTATATTTGATACATATTTATTTTCGGCTGTATATTATTCTGCTGTTGCATTAGTACACATTAGTACAAGTGTATTTTTATATACAGGGTGTTTCTTAATAAGTGTGAAAAAGTTTAAAAGATGATTCTATGTCGAAAATTAAGGGGATTTTTCATATAAACATATACTCCTACATCCCTCCCTGTGGAGTTATACTCCTCCAAAAATGGGGGTAAAAATTAGGTTTTTAGGTTTTTATTATAATTTTGTTTTTGTTCCAATTTTTCCAACATTTACTCTAATTTTTTTATTTTAAAATTTAATTTCTCGTAATTCGAAACCTATACTATTTAGCATGATGGTGTGGACGATAACGTATTTTTTTTTCTTGAAAACTATTGATTTTATGAAAAAAATAAAAGAAATAAAAAAGTTTCTAAATAAATCAAAATTTTTAATGCATATTTTTAGATGATTATATTCCGGCCATTAAAAGGTTCTAAAAAAGTGAATAAAGGTTGCTAGTTTCATTCCCTTATAACAATACAGGAGGCTACAAAAATATTAATAATATTGAATAAATAATCTTTTTATCAGTAGAAAATATCCACCTAATTTCATTTCTTTAATTTTCCAAATTTGAGAAAAAAAATAAAAACCTAATTTTTACTTCCATTTTTGGAGAAGTGTGAAAACTCTACAGGGAGAAAGTAGGAGTATATGTTTATATAAAAAAAAACTTTTCTTAATTTTCGACGAAGAATCGTTTCTTAAAATTTTTCGCACTTATTAAGAAACATCCTGTATAAATCATAACAGTGTTCCAGACAAGAAATAATAATGATTACATAAATGTAGGAAAGTGAACTTGAAATGATCTCTTAAGTTTCTCGCGGATGTTTCCCACTCATTATTAGCGAATGTATTTCGTGCAAGTTTAATTAAAGTTGAATTCTCGTCAGTAGGCATGAAAGTGGAAGGATTCAATGGTCGTTGTGTTGTGTGATTGCAGTTCAACTTTGTTGGGAGGATTTTGGGGCCACGAGGCATGACCGCAAAACAATTGGAGCAGGAGACAGGATGTAAAATCATGGTTCGCGGGAAAGGGTCGATGAGGGACAAAAAGAAGGTAAGAACGAAGGAAAAATCGGTCGACGAAGGCTAATATTTCGCATCACTCACCCTACTATTAATATCGTAAAAATCTAATTGTATTAAAGAAATGAAGTTTGTTCGCGAATTGTTGTTTACTTCTCGACGAATTAATCCGAGCAACGACAAAAATAATTTGAAAAATGAATTGTGAATGATTCACATTGAGCATTAAACTAAGCGCTGTATTTTTTCAAGCTGCACGTGGTGCACGAGCGAAATGCTTTCTCGTAAGTATACGTAGAACAAAATCCGTCTAATTCGATGTGAACACAAAGTATCTTTTATTTCTTTCAATCAACTTCAAATTAAACATGTATATACGTCTATTATATTATTATCGCTACAGTGAGGGAAACATTTTTTTAAATCAAATAAATTTGTTTTCTTGAAACTTTTGCTTCAAATGGAAGGAATTGTTTATTTCATTTAAGCAAAAGCATTTAATTTTAATTAAATATGTATGTTATATTAAGTACATTATTTTCATTTATATATTTTTTTATATTTAATACTACTTTCGTAAAATATATATTATACTATAATTTATTAAATTAAATATATTATTTTTTTAAATTAAAAAATTTTAAATTTTTGGGAATAAAAAATGTATTTTAATAAATATTTTGTAAAATTAAAATATAAAAATATTTAATTAAAAAGTATATTTTTTTAAGCATATGTAAATAAATACTTAACTTAAGCAAACAGACGTTTTGAATCCAAATAAATACATGATTAGTACCCACCGAATAAATAGCTTTCTTGAGTTAACTAAAATTTTTTTATTTCAACATAATTTTTTCCTCAGTGTCTGCATTTGCTTGACAAAAAAAGTATCCATTGGTGCTTCAGCTGATCCAAAAAGTTATCTCTCGAAATAAGGATATATGAAAAATATACGATATATATACATGTACATTAATTATGCGATATTGTTTCTTTTCTTCGGATTATTTTATGAATTCTATTGATTGCAAGCTTGTATCACGTGTATGTGTGTATTCGCGTGCGTGTGTTCGACACGAGCAGGTCAACAGTTTGGTTGCATGCGCGTATAAAAATTGCGCGACGTGTTGATTACTTAGGAGGAGCAAAATCGGGGCAAGCCAAATTGGGAACACCTGACGGACGAGTTGCACGTGCTACTCACTGTCGAGGACACCGAGAATCGTGCCACCTTGAAGCTCGCTCGTGCCGTCGAGGAAGTCAAGAAGCTTCTCGTGCCCGTGGTGAGAAAGTTCCAATTGTATTATTATTTTTCCCCTCCTAGAACAGATAATAATACGTGTGAGCCAAGACTGAAAAGAGAGATCTCTCTTGTCGAGAAATCATGCTAGAAAGTTTTTTTTTCTTTGCCAGTTTCGATCAAAGCACCTGAAATAAATTACAGTGTGATCAAAATTTTCGATGGAAAATCGATATCAATTAATCGACCTGTTGAAAGACACGCTCCATGCTTCTAAACTAAGCGTATGTGCGCGCCTTAATTATGTAATCAGCGCTTTCGTATGTAAATGGAAAAGATCTGTACAATAGCGATAGTCGCAAAGTGCCTCTCTTTCCCCTCTGTACGATGATTATCGTTATACCTCCGGTCGTGTGTTCTGACGATAATGTCGATTGTTAGCAGGCTGACGGCGAGGATGAGCTAAAGAAGAGGCAGCTAATGGAACTCGCCATTATCAATGGGACTTACCGGGATTCGAATACAAAGGTTGCCGCCGCAGCAGGTACCGTTCGTAGAACTTGTCTCATTATGCGTATTTTTTTACGTTTTTGCGACAAGAATTTTGAACACACGAAATGGATCTAAAATAGATTTGATTTGAGAAGTAAATTTGATGCGCGTGGAAAAATTCCGTTTATTATTATTTTATTTATATTTAATTACGTTCAATTTTTATTATATCTTCTCTAAAAAATCCGTTTATTATTATTTTATTTATATTTAATTACGTTCAATTTTTATCATATCTTATCGTACTCGAAAGAAACATATAATGATTGATAAAGAGGAATTTTAAAAAGAGGAATGTAAAACAGATTAATAGACTGACATTACACAGAAAAAAATAAGTGTCAAATCAAAATTATATACGTAAACGCGTTCATTGTTTCGTATATACGCAACAATTTATAATCTTCTTAGAAGAATTTAATAATTTTAAATTTTAACAATATTACCAATATTAACAATATTAACAATATTCTTATTTTAATATTGTAATTGTCACTTCAAGAATATATAATTATTTAATTCTACTTTAAAAAAATTATAATCTTTGATTTAAAAAATATTATTTTCTATCCAACATTGTTTCTTTTCCATTCGAGAAAATTAAATCTTAAATCATAAGAATATATTTTTCTCGATTGAACTGAATAAAATAGCTTCATTCAAATAAGCAATTATATTTTTCTTTAATTAACGCGATATAATCTCATTTCAAGATTTCCATGTTAAAATTAAATATATTTTCAAACCAAGAATGTTCTTTTTTTCTGTGTGCTGAATTTATATGTTTATACATAGAAAAAATAAGTGTCAAATCAAAATTTATATACTTAAACTAACGCGTTCATTGTTTCGTATATACGCAACAATTTATAATCTTCTTGGAAGAATTTAATAATTTTAATTTCAACAATATTACAGTCTTATTTTAATATTGCAATTGTCACCTCGGGAATATATAATTATTTAATTCTACTTTCAGAAAATTATAATCTTTGATTTAAAAATGTTATTTTCTATCTAACATTGTTTCTTTTCCATTCGAGAAAATTAAATCTTAAATCGTAAGAATATATTTTTCTCGATTGAACTGAATAAAATAGCTTCATTCAAATAAGCAATTATATTTTTCTTTAATTAACGCGATATAATCTCATTTCAAGATTTCTACGTTAAAATTAAATATATTTTCAACACAAAAATGTCCTTTTTTCTGTGCAATAATCGTCTCACGGATATTACTTGATTAATTTCAAGTAACGCGACTACAACTTTTGTACCCTCAAGATTTACCTGCTCAGTATTCTTACAAAAATCTTTGAATCACTAATTCGCTTCTATTTATTTCATTCTTCCGGAGTCATTAATCAATCGCTTCGAGTCTAGCTGGATAAACTTGGAAACAAATTTAGGATAGATTTCTAAGAAACTTATCCTCAAAAATATGGTCAGATTATGCCTTGATTTTTGACAATCTACCAGAGGCAAATGCGAGACGGCAAGGATCCTATAAATATTTTCCTGCCAAGTCGCTCTACGCATTTCTCCAAATTCCTCCGCTGGTGTTGCGACTCTCTCGGGAAGAACTGTAGAACCAGCGGAAGGCTTCGGGAGGAAAGAAGTGGACACATTTCATTCTCTGTTGCAGCCTGCGACGAGGAATGGCGGCGAGTGGCCGCCGCCGCGGCCGAGACGCAGCGCCTGCTGCCGGGCCTGGCGACGCCGATGCGGACGCCGAGCGCTCCTCTGGGCGCGCCGTTGATCCTCTCGCCGCGGATATCCGTGCCGACGACTGCCGCGTCCCTGCTGAACGGCTCCGGGCCGCCCGGCTCGCTCCTGTCGGCCGGCGATCCCCACGGGCTCATCTACACGCCATACGCGGACTACGCCAACTATGCCGCCCTGGCGTCGCCGTTACTCACCGAATACGCCACTGCTGATCATTCTGGTGGGTTGTTTGCTCGTTGAGTTTCTTCCGCGCGACGGAGATGTAGAGAGCGAGAGGAGAAACGCGCCTTCTCTCTCGTCTATTTAGTGAAAAACGCAATACGCGAGAAGCGCCTTAATAAGGAGAGATACACGCGCGTCGAGACAGAAGGGACGAAGCCGTGCTATTTTATTTTTTATTATTATCATTATTATTATTATTACTATTTCTATTATTATTATATTATTATTATATATTATATTATATATTATATTATATTATATTGCGTACGGCACGTCATTGGTGATTGGTGACTCTCTCTGCTTGACGCACGGCTCGAGACGCGTTCACACAACGATGGCTGTTTTTTTTCTTTTTTAATGTTGTTAGTGTCATGATTAGACGAGCAACGAATGATTAACAACGGCGATAAGATTAAGAAATAGTCTGTTTACAAAATTAATTGTCATATACAGAGTGTCCCATTTTAAAGGACCCACTCAAATATCTCAGAAACACTGCGTTAAATCGAAAAATGTTTCAAACAAAAGTTGTGTGGCGTCATCTTATCATCGGGGCCATAAGATGGTGGCAAAAATTTGATCTTGGATAGTCATTTGAAGGTTACATAAAGGTCACCTTCAATTTCTTAAATGGAACCTACTATTTTTCATTGCATATTCTTATAGCTTATCTCGAGAGCTTTCCAAAACACTATAATAAAGTATTTTTTCATCAAGTACTTTTCGAGTTATGAGGCTTGAAATCATTTCTTAATTTTACATAAACCATAAAATATTCATTTTTCGATTATCTTACCTTAATACTTTTATGTACAAAATAATGAGAAAAATCAATTGGTATAAAGAAAACACAATTGTTTCGAAGAAAAAATATGTAATTTGCAATTAACAATTCCATATCTTTCCAAGGTCAAATTTTTGTCACCATCTTATGGTTCCCTTAAAGTCACACAACTTTTGTTTGAAACATTTTTCGATTTAACGTAGTGTTTCTGAGATATTTGAGTGGGTCCTTTAAAATGGGACACCCTGATATAAAGATTCGAATATTTGTTATACTGATTATACCGGTTGATTTTGCTGCTGATTGTCGAAAGAAATTGTTTGTCTAATCGTTTTACCCAGTGCCAATTTTTTATATATCACACACGTATAAATTATACTCGGAAATGAAATGATCACACGGAGATTGGAAAAAACGGGATTGAATAATGTAACGTTATCGTGACACTCCGATAGCGATCGACGTTCAGCTTCGCGAAACGTGACATGAAAAAGGTTCAATGCACGTCGGTTTGCCGGGAGCGTCACCAATAAACACGTAGTAATAAAGTCGCCTAAATTTTAAGACGATATTTGTTAATTAGGAGCTCTTACAGCTTTATTAATTGTTATTATTCACGACGTACGCACCATCATAGTTATCATCATCATCATCATCGTGTCATTATCGTCGTCATCGGTCGTCGACCCTATCGTCATCGTCATCATCATCATCGTCGTCATCTTATCATCGTGGCAGTTAGCGAATACTATTCGTGAGAATAGCTTAGAAGATAGAGCATAACCGAAATCAGTCATTTACTAGTCGCGTCCAGTTCAGATATTAATAATTACGTAAAAGCCTTAGCGTATAATGTATGCACCGCCTTCGTAATAATTGTATCGAAGATTCAGGGTTATCACATAGCGATGTCAGAGCGGCAAGAAACGCGAGACGGCCGTATTTGGCAAGATTTTATCAGGGACAGTATAGGAGGAAAGGGGAGCAGACGCGCATATACTCGTGGTATTGTGCTGTATCGCGGGTGGATGTACTAGTCCGAAAGTTTGTTTTTTTTTGTCTTTTTTTACATAGAACACTGATATTCTGCCGTTTGCCAGCAGCTACGTGTTTAGCCGTCTGAAAGGCTTTTCTTCTCGTATTGCTTTAGGGTAATACCCGAGAAACAAAAATATTCTATCTGGTTGAATAAAAATGTTTCGACGTTTTATTCTTATTTAAAAAAAAAAAATATATATATATATAATTTTAAAAATGTAGACTTATGTATAAAAAGCTTTTTTTTTACTTTTATTTATTTTCTGTGGTGTGAGAAGAATATTACTTTTTGAAAGTAATTGCGGAATTTAATGGCGTTTGAAGCAAACTATTTTTTTTTAAGAGATTTATGACTTTTTTTATTAGCTTTTAATAAAAGTGGCGGATTTAAAAATAAATATTTCCGCGTTTTAACATTGTTTATATTGACATGCTAAGCAGATAAAATATTTTTGTTCTTTTATAGATAGCTTTAGTGCCAAGGAGGTCGCGAGAGATGGACAGTCGTGTGTATAGACCTCGGTCACGTTGTACCCAGGAATTACGGCGTCGTTGTAGAGAACCGTTAGCTAGGACAGTCCCGCGGAGAATCGTGTTTTAGCCATTGCGCGAAAAATTCACGTAGGAATATTTAGGATACGCGAGAGAGAAATCCTTTCCAGTCCTCAGTATCCAAAATATATACATCCCCCGCAAAGTGGTACGCTTGATATAAAGTGTCTGACACACTCGATACTTAATCAAACGAGAGACTATCCGGGAATGTAGTGATATATTCGCCACGTTTTTCACGATATATGTAGTCGAAAGTTCTCTCGAGACGCATTTTTTTCTTTCCTCGATACAAAGGCATCCAGTTACCCGGTGATGAATAATCGCGTCTCCATCACGTAAGGAAAGTTGGATAGATACATTTTTTTTTATATACATGTAAGATCTTACAATGGATTTTCTTATGATCGACTAGGGAGATTCGTGTTCGCGTTATCGTTAACGCGCATTACTCAACGCAGTAATCAAAGGCCATTCATTTTTGTTGTAGCTATTTTATAAATATGCGCGTATACACATGTACGTTCGTGTATATGAAAGTATTTCAGAGAATATATTATATACATATATATTTATTTTGTATGTACAGGGTGTTTCTTAATAAGTGCAAATTTTTTTTAAGAGATGATTCTTTGTCGAAAATTAAGGGGGCTTTCTTTTTCATATAAACATGTACTCCTATATCCCACCCTGTGATACACTTTTGCAAAAATTGGAGTAAAAATTAGATTTTTATTTTTTTCTCAAATTTGGAACAAGTTAAAGAAATGAAATTAGGTGAATATTTTTTATTAGTAAAAAGATTGTTTATTAAATATTATTAATATTTTTTAATGTGCTCCTATTGTTATAAGGGGATGAAACTAGCAATCTTTATTCACTTTTTGATTAAAACTTTTTAATGAGGAATACGATCATCTAAAAATATACATTAAAAAGTTTGATTTATTTAGAAACTTTTTTATTTCTTTTATTTTTTTCATAAAATCAGTAGTTTTCAAGAAAAAATACGTTATCGTCCACACCACCATGCTAAATAGCATAGGTTTCGAATTACGAGAAATTAAATTTTAAAATAAAAATAAAATTAGAATAAATGTTGGAAAAATTGGAACAAAACCAAAATTATAATAAAAATTTAAAAAACCTAAATTTTATCCCCATTTTTGGAAGAGTGTAACTCCACAGGAAGGGATGTAGGAGTATATGTTTATATGAAAAACCCCCCCTTAATTTTCGACAAAGAATCATCTCCTAAAATTTTTCGCGCTTATTAAGAAACACCCTGTATATGAATGATATTAATGTTGTACTTGTGTAATATAGGTAATATAGGTATTTTTTTTTTTTAAAGCTTTCTCTCTTTAGAGTTCGAAGTTAGTATATTTTCGACGAAGGGATGTTTATCGTAGACTGTAAGTCACAGCTTAGAGACATTTTTCTCCTTACTAAAACAAAGAAATCGTTTTAATCTATCGATAGGGCGGTGATGGTATGTATAATACATTAACCGAATTTTAGTCCGCGTTTTCTTTCTCCTTTTGTTTTCTTCTTCTTCTTCTTTTTTTATCTCGCGAATACATTTTATGACACGCTTGACTTAAATTACGCTTAGCGACGATTATAACTACAAAGTACCACTAGAATCCCAATCGAATCCCTCGGGTTGATATCTAACACGCGACTAAACAACTAATAACTCGATCCGTCCACCTCTCTTACGAAACTCACATTGTTTCTCTCACACATCACTCGTCCCGAATGAACACCCGTACTTCTAATTACGTAACTCTTTGCAGTGACGACTCTAGCGATGTAATTACGCGAATCGTTTAGCGCGATAATAGTTATCTAAAAACGAGAGAAAATAAATATCAAGAGAAAAGGAGCGTTCAATCGTAAGATTCTCGAGAAATAGCAGCTAATTTTATTAGAAAACATGTAATGACGAATTTAAAATCAATCGAGATAATTATCATTATTGATCGCACGATGCCAATCGAATTAGAAAATAATTTAGCGAAGATTCGTCGTATCTCATCAATGCAGGCAGAAATTGAATCTATCGCGCGACACGCCATACAACGTTGCAATGGCTGGTGATAGGTAGTCTATAATAAATATACGTATATGTAGGGTTTTTTAAAAAAAAAAGCGGACAGACAGTAGGTGGAGGGAGAATATACCCAGGGACCAAACAATATTTTGAGGACTGATGGTTCTAGCGTTTACTTGTAGCAAATTCAGAGACGATACAGATAAGACTATGCGTTAAAAAGTATATACTTTATTTCTCTTTCTTTTTTTTTTTTCTTTCTTTTCTAATTGCGCCTCCACGCCCCCGCAACAAAGGAGAATCGAATGATGATTAGTTAGCGCACGTACAATATTTATACGGATTATTATTTTATAGATACGCAATACTCTTTTGATGGCATAGTCTTTAAGTAATGTTAAAATTCGACGCGTTATGCAAATTATATATATACATACACATATTATATGTATATATATATATATCATATTATATTATTTTATACGTTTATTTAATTTTATTTTTATAAAGTTTTAGCCATTATATAGATATATTTATACGAGGTTAAGGGAAACGGATAGACGTAATCTCAATACTCATTGTTGTTAGGAACGAGTAGAATGGTTGCATACATTTTAGCTTACATGACAAAGATTTACCTGATTTTCACGACAAAAATCAAAAATGGGATTTTGACTGCTCCAGGAGCGAGAAGAAACCCGGTGTCAAATAGATTTTCTCAAGTATTTTAATGAATTTTATATATACGCAACAAACATGTAAAAAAAATCTCTCACGTACCTACAAACGTCGATAGTGAAGAGGAGATATATTTGTAAAGATGTACATGATAGGCTTTAATGAAATGTATAATAGTAAGTAAGTAAATAAGTGCGTGTCTCCGACAAAAAGCCGTATCTCGCTTCTCGCGAAATGTCACAATATTTTTAACACAGAATTTTTCAGGGATGCACGACTTCTCTCATTGATAATACAGTATTCTTACAGAGTGTTATGGTAGGACGAGCAAGCTTACCACAGCCTAAGGAGTACGACCGAACGTGAGTTACGAAAGATCGAGACAAACCGAAACCACGAAAATCTCATTAGTACCGAGATATCTTTGAGTAACGAATTTTTTAGGAAAAATTTTCCGCACAAGAATAATTATATTAATAATTATATTAATATTTATATTTATTAAATATTATATAATATTTATAAAATATTAATATTTATTATATATTTATTATATAATTTATTATATATTTATTATATATTTATTATATAATTTATTATATAATTATATAAATATAATTTATATTTATTAATAAATATAAATTATATTTATATTTATTAATAATTAATAATAATAAGAATACAGTTGTCAAAAATTTAATCAGATTGATATTTTTTTCAGTTTCATTAATATAATTATATTATATTATATTAATATATTAATATATATTAATATAATTATGTTAATGAAACTGAAAAAAAATATCAATCTGATTAAATTTTTGACAACTATATTCTTATTAAAAAAAATCAAACAAACTTGCAGTATTTCCGAATCTTATTTAAGAATATCTCGGTATTGTATTGGGTGCAGTGTCTCATATGTATTCCATGTCAGCGATGCTCAAAGTCGACAGATCTTTACGATGCATGTCGGCGAGCATCGTGCCGATACCGAACAGTATTTCGCGCGAGTCAAGCATTTAGTAGCTTCTGCGTTCTCCGTGTTAGTCCACTCCCCTGGGAGACAGAGATGTGACGAAGAAATCGTAAACGTGGCTCGCGCATCGGTCGTAATCCGTAGGCAACATAATCAGCATTGATCCGGCGGTGTTGTTACGAATTGAACCAAGAGAAGCAATCTTAAATTTTCTCCGCGTGTAGCAGGGAGAATTGTCTCTGTCTCGTAGTAACAATGTGCTCTCGAATTCGTAACAACGCCGGAACCCGTTGCATATGAGGGAGAGAGATACTCCGGTATAAATATTCAGTCAAGCAATCCGTGCGTTTTTACGCATAACGATTATTTCTCATCGATATACAGGGTGTCCCAGACTTATCGAGTCAATGGCAGATTCCTGAGATTATTTGAAGACGAAAATTCTAATACCAAAATGTTGAAGAAGACATAATTTCGGCGCTACAAAGGATTAAAGATTACCAATCGCCGCTTTTAAGGACATAACATATCGAGGGATCCGCGCAACAATGTTGACATCAATAGAGGAGTTGATATGAAATAAAAAGATGTGTTCAAGTGTAATTGAAACTTTAATAACATTACAATAATGATGTAACATGACGCAGTCAACGAATTGTTCATAAAGATGTTCAAACTACTGACTGTTTCCGAGCACAGGAGAACGTAACGCGCCGATTGGTAATCTTTAATCTTCTGTAGCGTCGAAACTACAACTTTCTCAACATTTTGGTATCAGAATTTTCGTTTCCAAATGATCTCAGGAATCTACCATTAGTGACTGATTGGGTAGGTCTGGGACACCCTGTATATATTTATACGGGGATCCCTCTCTTTCTCTTTATGAAACGGGTTCCTCTCCGGTGTGTGTCGTTTGCATTGATAATAGCGGCAAGATTCTAGATTTTATAGGCGGACGGACCGGGACGCGAAAGTGTCCGCGGAAAGTGACTCTCGACGTGGCTCTCGATCATATGTACTCATGCTATGTATGTTGGCGACAGGCGCAGCGGCGGCCGCTGCCAAGCAGCGTAGACACCTGGGTCAGATCCGCGAGCACCCTTATCAAAGGGCCGGCGCTCTCTCGTGAACACGCAGAGACAGCGCGAGTATACAAAGAGAGAGAGAAAGTGAGAGAGAGCGAGCGAGAAAGAGAGAGAAAGAGAGAGAGAGAAAAAGCACTGTTCTCGCACCAACGCGGAAAGGTTAGTGTCTGCAGACGATTCATTAAGTTCTCTCTTTTGTCCTCTTAAATTTTTTTTTTTTCCACCATCTTCATCTTTCTTGCAGTCTCGACGTCTCGAATGATCGGGATGCTTCCTCGTCTCTACGGATTCGTTCTTGTATTAAGATCCGAAGGTGATTATCATCATCGTCCTCCCGATCCGGCAGAAACGGAAAGCGTCCCGATCGTTCCGACCAGCAATTATATTACGTCGCTTTACCATTTTTTATTACGACGAGATCCGCGCAAACACAAACGCGCTCCGAGTACGTGTTTTTACCGCATGCCAGATTATCCGCGGCGAAGATACGTACCTTAGACACGTGTCTCCTCTCTCGGATGTCAGTTCGGAGAGCTTTCACTCGGTTCAGAGCAGCAGCGGTGTTGTGCCTGCGCGCCTCGTCCTGTGTACCTGACGCCGCACCGATCGACATCGGTTGTTTCTCATTATCGAATCACTTGACCTTTTTTTCTCTTACACACGTATATGTTTATATACATTTATATACGCGGATTGTACTTCCGGCGATAGTACGGAAGAGTTGATTAATGTCGCAGCGTATGTCCCCCTACCTCCGAGAAATGGGTCGCACTTTCCTCAGACCTGCAACAGTGGAAACTTTCATTAGCCATAATAGTCGAGGTAATGGGAAGGAAAGGAAGAGCTGAGGAAAGGGAGGGAGAGATTACGCATACATGGGTGGATCGATGCGTGGGATGGAAAGAGAGAGAAAGAGAGAGAGAGACTTCTTTCTTAACTAAGGCCGCGAGTGTTCCATATCCGGGATGTCGAAATATACCGGTTCGCGTAAAAACACAAGACGCAACGGGACGTGGGTGCGCATCTCCTCCGGTTAGTTTTCGCGATAATTCTCGCGACACGATTATTCGGATGAAAATAGAACGCGCGAACAACACCTTGCGTCAGGCAGAATCCTATAATTAGAGTCACGGTCGCCGAGAGGAAGATTATAAAATATGCGGCTTGCATAAATTTTGCGAGTGAAAAGTTTCCGCGAAGATCCGGGAGATTATTTCGTCTCGATCCTTTCTTCTCTCGATAATTTCAGAAATTAACGGGATGCCGGAGTTCTGTTTTACCGATAAAATGTCTTATTTCATTTTTGTCCGAAATCATTTTATTAATTGCACAGAATAATAAATGCTTCTCCACCATTAAAGTAGAAACAAAGCGGGAATCTCCTGATTTTATGCTAAAAATTAAGAAAAAATTGAAAAATTACAGTTTTTTATCGGCTTCTGAGGTCAAATCGTAACAATATTTGCTTTGTATGCATAAAATAAGATAGGTTCTTGCTAGAGATTGTATGAAGGAATATAAATGAATTTTTAGAAATGAATTTAGAAGCCTAATGAAAAAGATATTTCGGTAAAAAAACCGAAATCTTTTTCATTAGGCTTCTAAACTTATTTCTAAAAATTCATTTATATTCCTTCATACAATCTTTAGCGGGAACCTATCTTATTTTGTGCATGCTAACTGCAAAACTTTTATATTAAGCAAATATTGTTATGACCTTTTTATGATTTTTTAGGTTTTTTTAAATTTTTAATATAAAATCAGCAGGTTCCCTCTTTGTTTCTGTATGTACTTTAATCGTGAAGGAGTATTTATTATTTTGTGCAACTAATAAAAAGATTTCGGACATAAATGAAATATAACATTTTATCGGTAAAACCCGGCATCCCCTTAAAGTCAAATTATAACACATTATGCGTGTGCGCTTGCAAAGTGGATGCGTATTCATATAAGTACGAATATTATCTTTTTAGACATATTTACGCAGATAATAATTCACAGTAATTAATAAGAAAAAAAATCTAAAAGACAATGTTCATCAAAATAATAATATCAAAAAAACATTGTTCAAAAACTTTTCCGGTGGACTTTGATTATTATTTATAATTTAAAGACGATGTTCATCAAAATAATAATATCAAAAAAACATTGTTCAAAAACTTTTCCGGAGGACTTTGATTATTATTTATATTTTTTTTTTTTTATTATTATAAAAAATTCTCGCATAGATTCTCGTATAAACAGATCGTCAATCTGGAAATTATTTTCCGACATTAACATACGTGTTTGTCCAAGATGTATATTTTTGTTGCAAATGAGAATTCAAGGGGCGGTAACGCGGAACGATGCGAAGGTTTACGTAACGCGTCGATCCGATCTTTATTATCTAAATTATTATTATAATTATTATTATTATTATCGTAATTATTGTTACAACTATAACAAATCACATCTCACGATTTAATTTCTCGATAAACTCGCGCTAACCAGTGAGATTTACGCGGATGAAATATTTTTCACGTATGCTAATTTCATTTTGCCTTTTGAGCATCCTTTTATTCGATACGACATATCGATAAAAATTGTTTTTCGATCTGCGTGATTTTTACACGTTCGAACAAAAAAAGAAGTAAAGTTAGACTCGCGGTGATGAAAATGCTGCCAGAGATGGCATCCCGCCCTCTTTACATATTTTTTATCTCACTAACAAGTATTTTTTTTACAACATAATTGACATTCCTTATCATAGAGATGCAATTTCATTCTTTATAGACCGCACAACTTGCACTATCTTTATTTATAAAAGACTAACAATATAATACTCTACACACACGTATACACACGCTCAGATTGATACGAATATGCGCGGATATGACCACTCTTTTATGAAATAATTTTTTCAAATAAAAATCGCTTATGATTAATTATAATTTTTATAAAAATTTGTCTTTTCTGTGTGTTTTTTTGTGCAAATTGTTTTCAAGTGATATATGTACGTACAATACACACACACACGCTCACATATTGTGCATATATAGCGTGTACGAATTAAGTATGCTTGTGCGAATAGTATTTTTTTAGTTTTGTTTGAGAGAATCATACCTTGTATATATATATATATATATATATATATATATATATATATATTTCCTTTCATAGATTTATAAATTTATAGAATAGAAAAAATGTAGACTGGAAAGTACAGTTTTTTCAATTCAAATTTTTAATTTTAGAAACTATTTTAGTCCTAGAATTTTGATTTCTAATTTTACAACTATATAATTACTTTCTTAACGTAAAGCGAAAGCAATCACGGATTTAGCAATTATATTTTATTTATGCTCTCTGATTTGTATTATTCTGACAACAAAAAAGTTATTCACACGAGATTTAATTCGCATAGTTATGCACATATACACATGAATCCGTATGTACATAAAGGATATTTTACAAATCACGAATCAATCAGTATTGGCAGGTTCTACGATGAAACTATTAAATTAATAAATATTTAATAACTATTTAATTAATAAATCGCAAACAAAATCGAAATTGAGAAAAATTTGTTTAACTCTAGTAGCTTACTCTCTTATATATATTCGTAAATAAATTTTCGACATTATATTTCTACTCCTTCAAAAATTATATACTTGATCTATCTCGGTAAAAATTTAAAAAAAAATTTAAATCATTTATTTCTCGTGCTTTCTTGCATAACTTTTGATCTATAAGTTTCTCGTCGAATCTCCAGTTATTACTCGACAGATCCAATTTACATTAATATATATATATATATATACATATATGAATAGAAAAATTTGTTTACAATAGCGTATATTAATAATAATAATATGCTTCTTTTTAAAAAAATTGCCTGGAATTGTACTACAGATATCTGTTCTGTATGGCACATGCAATACTCATGAGCCTCTGACACCTGCTTGCTGATGGGACATTAATCACTAAAGATCGATCAATAATCGGTACAATAATACCACCGCAACTTATATGTAATTGGAAATTTCGTTGTAATCTTTCTCTCATTTAATCGGTGCTAATGTGGTGGCAGGTGCACACCCAAGGCTGCCTGTCTGAAATCATCACTGTAATAATATTCGGACGTAACGTACGTGTGTAACGATTAACAACAGATAGCGATCGGTCCTTTTTTTTCCACCGAATGTTTCTTTTTTTTTCTGACATCCGACGTACAGGCAGCTACAAACAGTGTAGGGTAGATGTACCAGAAATAAATACTGTTTTGATTCAATTTCGTGCGACATATTATTAATCAGAATTAATATTATAAATAAATATTTAATATTAAAATTAATATTTAAATATATTTTCGAGATCTCGTTTTTAAGAAAAAATATAAATTTGAAAATAAATGACAATCGGAGTAGATTTCGAGAAAACCGCTTTAACGTGAGAATTGTATAAGAGACCAATAGAGTTCTCGTTCATTAGTGCATCTACCTTGACGCGAATCACTATAACAATGTATCTATCGATTTACGATTTTGTAGCTGTTCTATGCGCGGGGAGGATATACGAAGTATATACAAACTATGTCACGCCTTTGTACTTGAAAGAAACGGATCTAATCGTCATCGAGATAGACGAGCATATATTCATAAAATAACAAAGTGCTAGAGCTTGATATTCGATATGAATTGATGATTTTTCGCGTGTTAGACTATTATCTTGTCATGACGCGTATACAAGTCGAGAATGCTTCACACTAATAATAATATTACAAATAGCCGGTGCAAAGCAATGCTTGATCAATTTTCGAATTTTATACACGTGGAACGATAATAGATGACAAGACGAAAATCTCCCAGTCATGAAGGGTCGATTCGAGATAAAAAAATTCTAATACTGATATTAGTAAACTACCATGCATACGAAAGCGTTGCTTTTCACCACTAACTATATTTCTCTCAGCTAGCGAGCTAGACACTTAATGTTAACGTCGGTCAGAGTCATAATCAGATTACTAACAAACTGTTTTTTCTTTTCTTTCTTGTTAACTCGTGGTTGCCCGTGGCCTGTAGGCTTGGAGTGCTAACAATGGATATCCACTCGCCCCGTGCTAACACCTGGACTCTGGAACAGCATCCCGCGTTCGATCGGTTCACCAACCAGCCGACCACCTTCGCCGTCCGTCCGCGTCACCAGCCCTGTTCGTCAAGCTTATCCATCATCCTGTATCCTCTTAATGTTCAGAAATGTAGTTTCTCTTTCGGCGATTGGAATCGTCGATTGGATTCCGAGCCATTTCTCGTCATCGTCGACGAACGCACGATATGCAGGGTGTATCTTAAAAATCTCCCACTAAGCAAATAACGTTATTCCTGATTAAAAACCGAGTCGAAAAGTCCTGAAGCATTTCTTTCCATTTTATAATGCTTAATAATGCGGTAATTAATGAGTAAAGTCGCGCCAATAAACAGACAAACTTCCTCGTTGTCAACGTATGAAGCAAAAAAATAAACTGTTTTGCGTTAATTTTTAAACAATTCATCTCTTCAGAAATCTTTTTAATACTTAAATCTTAATTATTTAATGAATCTTGGGAAAAAAAAATGATTCAGGACTCTTCGACTCGGTTTTTAATCAGGAATAACGCTATTTACTTGGTGGGAGCTTTTTAAGATACACCCTGTGTAATATATATAATATATTCATATAATATATAATTCATTTTGCAAAACATTAGCGTTATAAAGTGCACTTGCATAATATATTAGATATTCAAATATGTACAATTGACATATTATTTTTGGGCGAGTAAACGCGGGACTCGTTTATTCCGGACACGAGTCAAGTACGCGCAATTTCGGTGCAACAGTAGTAATTAGCGGTAGTTTTTATTACAAAGACAATATATTTTGCCAGATATTTTAATTTTTCCCTTCGAGGGAAGGGAAATTATATTATCGTAGCGTACGATATCTGGAGTATTTTATTTTCTCTCTCTTCTCGTGACGGCGAAATGAAATATTTTCGCGCTTTCCCTAGTACTTACGACTCCTACGCTGGCATACTTCGTCATCGGAGATGTGACAATATTAATACAACTTAAACACGATGAGATATAACACACCCGCGCGTTTTTTTTAGAATTAATCGCTAAGAAGGTGTTGCGCGGAAAAAAAGAAAACGCGTGAATCAGCTCTAAATGGATTGGAAACTCCGCTGAAGAAAATTGCAAATGATATTCTGTGTCTTCCTCTTTTCTCGTGTGACGCATCATGTCAAAAAAAAAAACTCGAAATTCTGTACAACTCTCTTATATAAATGTGCCTTATATATATATAATATTAACGTAGTGCGATCAAGTAGAGTCATGTTACTGATTTTTTTTTAAAGCTTTGTTAATATCGTACGTTTATTACGTAATTTACGTAATAGCATTAGAAATGTGCAATCAAAATTTACTTTCTCAATACATATACAAAGGGAAAGAGAATGATAGGATAAAGTTAGCCACAAATAAAGTTTAAAGGTGAATTTTTTTCTATGAATCTTTTTCGTGACAAACTGCGAAAAGGATCCATTAAGATACCTGCATCTAGAATCGCGAATATCCCGAAGAGAAGGCTTTAAAGATCCGTCATCGGATGCGGATGTACGAGAGCTACATGTATATATTGTTTCAGCCAAAAGTATTAAAGAATCTAATTTCTGCTAATCGCGGAAAATATTTTAAAACGTCAATTGTGCAATACTTTGATGACCATAAGAACAAGACGTCCTCTTCGGGACGTTTTTCGAGTGTTGCCAAAATTTTTATGGAATAAAAATTACAAATGTTTGAAGAAAATGTTGCGAGAATTTCTGATTTTCGAATCGCAGAATCATTGAATACGAATGTATTTGCATATATATGTACACATATATATTTATATACATATATATATATGTGTATATATGTACAGTGGGCGCCAATAATGCCTCAACATATGAAATTTGTCGCATTCGAGATTAATAATCACTAGATATTGATACTATCGACGAAACAAAAACAAATGAGATATCGATTTGTCGTTACGTTGCAAAATTATTTACAAGATATTATAATCATACGAATAAACAAATATGTATGTAATCTCCACAGGTGCAAGAGTGTTTGCGTGAGAGAGTGATTTACTTAATATCGACTTTATCGTTGTGTATTAGTTGCACCATTTTTAGGTCTGCCATATTGTACATGTAACGACTAAGAACGATTTCTCAACAGAGTTGCACGCGTTTATAAATCCTATGTATAGTCATCCATGTGTCAAATGTTATACTCGTTCTTTCTCGACAGATATTTTTGAATTTTTATCCGAAGAGTCCCTTTTAGATACCAATAACTTGGTCCTCTGTGTATATATATATAAATGCTGAAAAAGCATACATACACACATACAGCTACACATTAAGAGTGATCTGAAATCTACTTAAGTTCACAACGTAAATATCCGATATATATATATATAAATATATATTTTATTATTGTACGTAAATAATTGATTTAATGAAGTGTTTTGAATATTATTGTCCTTTATTAGAAGGAGCAAATTACTTGCGCATTTCGCGATGGATTATATACAAAAACAGATATGTATACTCTTTATGTATATGCTGTTTAATATATGTATGCGCATAAGAACATAAATTATTACACATGTATACATAATGTATTATACATATGCACTGACACTCAGTTAAACATCTGGATGATATGAATAAATACGACTGTGGTTTACTTTTGCGTTAAACGAAATTGTAATGTATATATATATTTTGCATATATATATATATATATATATATATATATATATATATATATATATATTACAATTATTATTTAACCCTAAAGAGTAAATTTATTTTAATTTTTACATTTATTGTAAAAAAAGTTTATACATTTGTACTACGATATAATTTCTCAATCATGTAAATTGCATATATATACGTATAGATATCATTTTATTATTTAAAAAAATGTTTCCCTCGATATTATTTCTATTATCATCGCAAAAGTAAATCCCGGGATAATTTATTTATATCCTGTTATCATATTTATAAATATGTATACAGATAAGTTATATAAGGAAATATATATGTGCAAGCAATCTTGTTAGATCTTATATAGCATGCGAATTTACATTTATTATTCTATAGTTATATATAGTTTTTTTTTTGCCGAAATTTATTATATGATAATTTTTTAGTTTCATATTTTATTTTAATGTTGAGATATGTGCAGAATATATGTGGCAATATTATTGTATAAGTGACAATGAGAAGCTAATCTGTTTTCTGAAATCTCGGAAAGATCTGATTATGTGTGAATCATACTATACTGTATGCTACTTACGAAAGAAAATTTATAGTTTGCAATAAAAGTGCAAATAAAATAGTTTATACGGAAACATGTATAAAATATTATGATGAACGGCAATAAAAATATTTTTTCAATACTCGATAACCTCTTTTTGATTTTTGAAGGATCAAAGGAACTGAGTTGAACACACAAGTCTTCTATTTCATTGAAATTGTATATATGTATGCTAATTATTTATTAAGAAAGTCGGTAAATTGACATTTTATGTATAAATATGTATATATATAAATACTCAATATATTGGAGTATTTATGCATTATAAGTTTGTATTATATAAACTTTATTTCTCTATCAAGAAAAATATTTTTCTGTGGTAATAAGAAACCAGATATCGCCTTTATCTTAATATCACAAATTATGTTTTTCTATCATTACTATACAAATGTAATCTCACAAATGTGATCTCGTGTATCAAAACGTCGAGAATGAAATAATGAGACAAAAAATTTATGATTTTGGTAATCGATAGAAACTACCGGAGAGCAGTAGTTGATGTTCCCTGACTTTTCTATCCAGAAATTGCCTCAATTCCGGTAAACCGCATTCCACGGCGCCGGGTCCTTGAGATGCAAACATTTTCAACATCTGATGAATCCTTTCTATTGGCATCGAATCTAGATTCGTCAACATTCCAACAATATACGACCAAAACACTTGCAGTTCCTCCTCTCTTTGATCGCTGGCCGAGGCCATGACGCTTTCGGTTTCCTCCTCCTCAACAATGTCCGTTGATAAGCGATTCTTGGATGTACTTTCTTCTTGCAAAACGTATACATCATTGGAAGTTTCTTTTAAAAGGCCTTGCGATACCCAGAATGTCATCTTACGTCGTAAAACAGTTGCTGGAGCGTGTATCACTTCCGCCAAATCTTGCAAAGCCCATTCACCTATAAATCAACTTTAATTAGTAATCTTCTCACTATCCCAGGTAGAACATGAAACTCATAATGACATCATTATGACGTTATCATGATTTTATTTATCACTTAAAAGTTACTTAAACAAAAGTGATTAAAAAATGAGTTAAAGATGACAAAAAGAATCATAAATTTTTAAGTTCAATAATCACATGATATAATTTTAAAAAGATTATGTTGCTTAAATATAATTAAAATATACATGAATAATTAAATAAACAAGTAATTGCGTAATATATATAAAAAATGATATTATTATGATTGATTCTTAAGATTTCATACGCGACCCAGGTAGAACATGAAACTCATAATGACATCATTATGACGTTATCATGATTTTATTTATCACTTAAGAGTTACTTAAAAAAAAGTGATTAAAAAATGAGTTAAAGATGACAAAAAGAATCATAAATTTTTAAGTTCAATAATCGCATTATATAATTTTAAAAAGATTATGTTGCTTAAATAAAATTAAAATATACACGAATAATTAAATAAACAAGTAATTGCGTAATATATATAAAAAATGATATTATTATGATTGATTCTTAAGATTTCATACGCGAAGTATATATATTCTCCAACAGAGTTTGCTAGAATTGTTTAATATCAAAAATAAGTCATCAAAACATTGCCAAAAGTATATCAAATGAGATCATTATGATTTTTCTAAAATGACTTTTAGGTGACGTCATAATGATGTCATTATGAGTTTCATGTTCTACCTGGGATATGATTATGTTTACAATAATAATCGTCCATTGTACTTACTTTTATCTTGAAAATGCAAGATAATCGTTGCGTGCACCGGCGTAACATTTATGTCCAACTTTCTATCTTTCAATTCAATTTCCAGACTCACATTTCCTAAATGAGGCTTCCAACAGAGCGTCCTATTTCCCTTCAAGGCCTCAAACGCCTTCACGTACTTATTCAATTGATTCTGCACGATATTCGGTAGTTTCAGCTTCCAGTCTTCTTTGAACGGCGGCCAGAATTGTGCCGACAATATGAGCGCGGAAGTGGGAAAGAGTTCCCTCTGCAGATTGTAACTGGTATCGGAGTGGATATTACCGTCTATTCTTTTCGAGTCGTAAACATCTTTCAGCATAACTTCGCAGTAATGCAACTGATTCTCTCCAAACCGTCTCTTCAATAATTCTAAGTGACGTATCTCACGTTCGGTATGATAGTTGAGTTGCGATAACAATCTGTCTGCCAGCAATGTTCGGTACTCGTTGACAAATAAATCCTGACTACCGTAGACGTTCACTAACGTAGAGATTATGTCGGACACCTTGCGCTGCGTTGATTTAGCTGAAAGAAAATAAATCCTATATATTTAAAACTGAATTATGAGCAAAGCCACACAGAGAAAAATGTATACTGTATTCAAGAAAGTATTATTTATTTTAAGTATATCATAAGTTTGTATATCCGCAAATATATCATAAGTTCACCACAAGCATTAAATTTAATTGAATATATTCTGAATTTTAGTAAGTGCAGTATTTTAGTCAAGAATATTAAAACAAAAATTTGGTTTGCTTACTACAAGAGTTGACGTAGAATAAGTTTGATTTTTTTAAATACAATTTTACAATATTCTTGAAAAGAAAATAATTTCTTTTTTCGAGTATGATAATGAGATTTTCCAACACTTGTGATGAGTATATTTTAAGACTATTATCAAGAATATATTCTTTGTTGAAGAAAATTATTACTTAAAAAAAGGAAAAATAAACTGAGTAATCGCTTTTCTTGGCAATAGAATGATATTTTCCTCTGTGCAGCCAACATAATGCAGACTGTTTTAAAACGCCGCTAGTAAAATCTCGCGATTTACCGGGATCAGCATCGACTGGATCCGGCATCCATTTTTCCCAATCCTCGGTCTCGTCATCCGCCGAACCGTCGTCCAGTTGCAGACACTCTCCCTTTACCAATTCGTCAGCTAATTCACTTGGCGAATCGTCGAGCAGGCTATTAACAACAGAACGTACGGTATCCTCTCTGCTCCTCAAATAACTCCTGAAGAAATAAACATATTTGAAAAATCGATAGGCGAAAATTTATTATGCGACAAGATGCAGAGAACTCACTTGATAGGTTCCGTTACAGCTTCCAAAAGAACTCCCGTCGAATCGAGATGCTTGAGTGCTTTGATTGCGGCAATGTAAGCTGTCACTATATCCGGAGTGTTCACACCAGGATGTAGGAGCCTCGTTTTAATCGCTTCTTGCAAATTTTTAATTAAGACTTTTCGTTGATCGGTTCTTTCCAGGCAAATTCGGAGATCATCCACTGCGGGTTGTGACTCGGGATATTCTGCAGAAAAATATAGCATGTAAATATAAATTATTATATTTTATAAATAAATATAAATTATTATATTTTATAATTTTATAATTATTATATTTTATAATTTTATAATTATTATACTTTAGATGTTATATATTATTATACTTACAAGGGGAGGTCGCGGTTGACTCATCACCGATTTTGATCTCCTTTGGTGTGGTGAATCTACATCGAAAAAAAGTTGATCCGTGTTCGAGCTTTTCGTCCAATGCGCCTTGTAAAAAAAATTTTTTTTTTCTCGAAGTGCAGAGAAATTGCCAGGTTCGTTATCAGGCCTAAAGAAAGACTCTTTTTCGATCGGTGTCGCTAGTCCAGCGGCAGAGCGCAAGACTAGTAACTTGCGGGATCCCAGGTTCGAGACCGTGGGCTCTGATAATTTTTTTAATTTTTTTTTAATTATTTTATTTATATATGTGTGTGTATATGTAACATGTATTATGTTAAATAAATATTCGGTATACTAATAATGTCACACACTTTTCATGTTTCATAGTTGTTGTTTACAAAAACGGTTTTTCTACCTGCTGTGAACCGCTGGATGCTACCGTTAAAATATCGTTACAGAAAACGTTACGAGGGGGGGAGGGGGGAAGGCTCGTGTGTTCCTGTCAAAGATTCTAGAAGGTCGATTAGAAAATATATCTTACTTATATATTTATAATATATTTATTACATATTACATATTTATGCAGAAAATAATAAAGAGTAATAAATTAATAATAAAGAGTAATAAATTAAATAGATAGATAAAGAAATAATTACATAATAAATACATAAAGAATTATATAGATACATAAAAAAATAATTAGTTAAAAAAAATAAAAGAATAAATACATTTTTTGTTTATTTGTTACATTGCGCCGGATGATATAAATCATAAAAACATGCAAAACATAAATATTTTCCGCATACAGCACATTTAATAAAAACGCACGCATTACAATTACATTTTAACGAACGTATCTATTTAATTTATTCTTTATGTATTTATTATGTAATTATTTCTTTATCTATCTATTTAATTTATTACTCTTTATTATTAATTTATTACTCTTTATTATTTTCTGCATAAATATGTAATATGTAATAAATATATTATAAATATATAAGTAAGATATATTTTCTAATCGACCTTCTAGAATCTTTGACAGGAACACACGAGCCTTCCCCCCTCCCCCCTCGTAACGTTTTCTGTAACGATATTTTAACGGTAGCATCCAGCGGTTCACAGCAGGTAGAAAAACCGTTTTTGTAAACAACAACTATGAAACATGAAAAGTGTGTGACATTATTAGTATACCGAATATTTATTTAACATAATACATGTTACATATACACACACATATATAAATAAAATAATTAAAAAAAAATTAAAAAAATTATCAGAGCCCACGGTCTCGAACCTGTGATCCCGCGAGTTACTAGTCTTGCGCTCTGCCGCTGGACTAGCGGCACCGATCGAAAAAGAGTCTTTCTTTAGGCCTGATAACGAACCTGGCAATTTCTCTGCACTTCGAGAAAAAAAAAATTTTTTTTACAAGGCGCATTGGACGAAAAGCTCGAACACGGATCAACTTTTTTTCGATGTAGATTCACCACACCAAAGGAGATCAAAATCGGTGATGAGTCAACCGCGACCTCCCCTTGTTAGATGTATACATATAAATGACATACCATACCTATTATTATATTAAAGAGATGATTGATTCTTATCTTGGTATATGTTTCATACAGAAAATGAGATAACTTTTGTTTAAATTTATTTATGGCATTACGAATTTCGTCACTAAGTGTTACTGTTTTTGAAAAGCCACCGGAATAAATTCTTATCAGCCAACTCATGACGACAGTTTCCAGCCACTATAAAAATACAACATCAATATACATAGTATCATTAATGTATAATAGTTTTAAAAATTCACATACATTTTCTAATGGAATCAATTGCGACACATCAAATGTTTTGTCGCATGTTTGAATCACGTGATTCTCGATACGAATATGAATTAACGATGTGAGCACATTTCCTACAAGTCTCTCCAATAATTTCAGCTCAATTAGTTTTCTGTTTGTCTCGTGAAATATGTAAACTATCATTTGGCATTGACAGTTCTCGACTTCCTGAGCACATCCAACGCATTGGATCTCATTAACCGATACATCTGCTTTGAAATAAATACATTTCTGTAATAACTCATACATTTTGGAAAAATCATGAGTAAAATGAATTAAGATAAATCTTGACATTTACCTGGCGACGAATTATCCGAATTGCAAAATACATTAAAGGCGATTTTATAGAAATGTTCTATAATACATTCATGATACAGAGGTAATTGACTCAACAATGTTGCTCTCACAATGAGCTTGAATCGCGCTTCTATATCATTCTCGACGCTTGATGGATCCGTAACCACATCCTGGTTCTGTCTTAAATATTCCAACTTTTTCAAAAGAGGTAGAAACTCGGTGAGATTGCTGTACAGATCATCTACCGCAGACTTGAACAATTCAAATCCTCGTTTACTGTCTTCTGTATTCTCAAACTTTTCCCAGAACACTGGTGCTACATGCCAACGAATGTATTGCTCTATATGATGAATAACAATATCCTCGACAAATTGTGACAGCTTCAGAACTCGCACATCCTCCGCAAGATTCGCAAACTCCTCCTCTGTGCATTCTTCCTTAGTCTGAAGAAGACAAGAACAATTATTTTTGGAAATAAAAAATAATCACTGAATTATTCCAATTAAAATTATTATTAGGCATGCTATGTGAGAATTTTCATCGAGTATTGTATATACCTATAAAAGAGAAGAAAATATATTTTTAAAATACATTTTTTGTTATTAATTTTTATGCCAAATATTTGTTAACGTAAGTATCGCCAAAATACTAGGAGCCATTGATTTTGATGACCAAGTCAAATTTGGAAGAACAGCTGATTTAAGTGAGATACAGAAGATATGGTACAATAAAAAAAAATTTTTAAATAATTTTATAAAAATAAACTATAAAATTAAAAATAAACTAAATTATTAATTTGTTTTTCAAATAAATGTCTCAAGAAAGCATAATATATATTACTATATATTATATATGATATATATATATATAATATATATGAAGCATAATATATATTACTATATATTATGCTTCATATATATTATTAAATTAATATATAATATTATATAATGTACAAATTAAATTAATATATATTATTATATAATATTTATTGACGTATCAAGAGTATAGTTTCACGGATTGTCAATCATCAATATCGTAAAATATAATTCAGTTAGAAAAATGCAAACTTGTAATATTAGCAATATATATTGTAAGTAAATATTACATGCAATAGCTTTTCGCTAAGTATTGGAAACGCCCGTTCTATCCGAACGAAAATATCTTCCACAGCCTCCGTCATGTTTAAAACTAACAGCAAGTTCGAATTGCTCCAAAACAACTCAAGGATGTGTTCAAAAATCCTACATGTGGGGTCAAGTATCCTTTGATCGACCAATCCAGACAAATAAATATTTCCTTCTTTTATTCTGATTGGTCAATTGAAATGCTATTCCATCCGACGAGTAGATTTCCGAATGTACCTTTAGGTTAGAGTCCGATTGGATTATGGTATGTGTCAGGTTAAGTTAGGCATGCTATGTGCGAATTTTCATCGAGTATTGTATATATCTATAAAAGAGAAAAAAATATATTTTTTAAATACATTTTTTGTTATTAATTTCTATATCAAATATTTGTTAACGTAAGTATCGCCTAAAATACTAGGAACCATTGATTTTGACGGCCAAGTCAAATTTGGAAGAACAGCTGATTTAAGTGAGGTACAGAAAATACAGTACAATAAAAAAAATTTTTTAATTTTATAAAAATAAACTATAAAATTAATAATAAACTATATTATTAATTTATTTTTCAAGTAAATGTCTCAAGAAAGCATAATATATATTACTATATATTAGCTTCATATATATTATTAAATTAATGTATATGAATAATGTATATTATTAAATTAATGTATAAATTATATAATGTATAATTATATGTATATAATAATTGTATATAATATAATTGTATATAACAACAGCTGATTTAAGCGAGATACAGAAGATACAGTGCAATAAAAAAAAAGTTTAAATAATTTTCCAAAATTGACTTGGGCCACTTGCAAAAGATAGAGGAGGGCAGCATTTAATATATCTATTTATTATAATATTATACTAACAAATGTCATATTCAAAAATAATTTATATATAAATTTCATTTTCAGAGCCTTGTAGCAAAAAATGAATATATTTTCATTTAAATATAGAAACTTAATCTTGGGTATAACAGCAACTGCTGTTGGATATTATGCAGTTCTCATGCCACATACTATCTTTTTAAGTAAATACAGATTTATAGTAGCCACGTATTATCAGTAAGTAGCAAAAGTTATTGAGATTCACTCTAAATCTGAATCTAATTTAATTTACTTTTTGTTTACTTTTCCCAAACATATAGAATGGGCAAAGAAATCCCCGTAGGTTTTAAAATACAGCAGAGAATCCAGGAAGTAATGAACGATTTAAAACTATCCGATGACATTAGGAATATTATACAGCCCTTCAGTGTGTTTGGTCTTGATTTATTTCATGCTGGGACCCTCAATAACAAGTATGGAGCGATACTGGGAATTCCTGCCAATTTTACTAATACGACAGAACAACTCTACAAGAACATGCAAGTTAAGGAGCAGCGGATAGACTGGACGCGACAAGACGCACAAAGCTTGTTGAATGGGGTGACGCTCTCGGAGAGTGCGCAAAAATTCGCGATAGCGTGCGAGATTCTGCGAATTCAGGCGGAGGAGCCATATTTCAATTCATACCTCTCAGCTCTGATTATAACAATATTGTGGACACTTTATAACGCTATAACATACAAATTCAAATTGCGTGGCCAGAATGTGGTACTGTGTCGAACACTTTACTCGAGTTTCACCATAGTGGGTGCGATATCGTGGTTTGGAATCAAAGATTATCGAAGTTATCAGCTTGACAAGAAGGACGATGAAGCCTTGTGTAATCTAGGAGCAGAGTATGTTAAAGGGGGACAAGAATTTTTTGAGAAAACGTTAATTAGAAACAGAGCCTTAAGATCTCTCTTAGGAGAGGAAGGAAAACGTATATATACAGCTTATGGAAATGAAAAGACTCTTTTGAGGGAGAAACACGTGCCACTTTCTCACAGAAAAGACTTTTTTGATTCACGTCTACAACATTTAGAAAACGTGAAATGAATATTTTTTTCGCATTTACAATAACTAGAAAAAGCGTTCTTTTTACATGATATTCAATTCATCCGTTTCATGCTTTTTGCTGCACTTGTAATCAGCGAATCCATTTTTCTACAATACTTAAAAAAAACATGCCTTTTCATTTAATTAATTGTGATTTGACCGCTTTTTGTTAATCAAGAAATTCGTAAATGCATCGAAAACTGTAAATGTACGCCATTACATGTAGATATGTATATTTCTTATGTCATTAATGTCAACGCAGAATGTTAGTGATAATAAACTGTTACTATTTGAAATACACAGTATTCGTTATATGAATATATATATTATCAATTATACTATGTATGTACATATTATTCTCTTTCCTTAAAATAGTTCAATTATACTTACAACATATTGCTCTAAGTCCTTAATGTATAAAGTATTTATCGTAAAAGTGTATACTCTTCCACCATGAGTATCTATAGCAAATATGATATACTTTATGCAATAAAGACCAAATATGATATACTTTATGCAATAAAGACCAGAAAAGTAAGGACACATTTTATAAATCATCTATATTTGCATAATATCGTATAAGCCTTATCTCGCTCGCGTATGTATTATATAACATTCTGTTAAATTAATATTTATAAAAAATTATAAGAGTAGATATTTTTACTATTTTGTACAATTCTCTTGCTTTCCTCTTTATATATCAGACTAAAGCTGTTCACGTTATTATTAATGGCCTATAGAAATATAGAAATCGCATCAATTATGGAACATTGTGCATCTCTATATAGAAAAGTACATTTCGGACTATGAAAGACCAAGCGACCCAAACTGAAAAAAAAATGTGTAGATGCGTCAGTCATATTATGTTACGTACAAAATTCAGGGTTAGGTAAGTTTATATTTTTTTTTAAACTAAATTAAGTTAAAGTTAATGGGTTAAAAAATTAATTTAGTTATATTAAAAGTTATACAAATAAAAAATTAACTCAATAAAAGTTACGTTAAGATTAAATTAACGTTAGTTAAGATAAAAGTTAAAATTTTGAAAAGCATTATTTCACTTTATATTAAATTAGATTGTAATTTTAAAATTAGATTACTCTAAATAATAATAATATGAATCATCAAATAAATTTGGAGAGAAAGTTAATAAGTTTAAGTTTATGTGTTTTAAAAATAACTAGTTAAAGTTAAAAGTTAACTCTTTTTAAATAAATAACTAAGTTGAGTTAAAAATTATTAACTTTTTAACCTTTTTTTTAACTTTTAACTAATCAACTAATTATTACCCAACCCTGACAAAATTACACATTACAGTTGTGCTTACCAGAGTCAGTTTGTCCTCTTCTTTTTTAAGTATTTTTGTGGTTTGTTCTTGGTCGAACTTAACAACAGCGGCAATCACTCTGGCAAGTACCATGGTCTCCCTTCCCATCATATATTCGAATAGAATATTTCTAAGATACTCAATTTCTGTCGAATCCTCCAACGTATCGTGCCGGAGTTTTACTAGCTTTCTGAGCTCTGCAATCTCTCGTCTTTGAGATGTCAAAGTCTGTTGCAGTGTGTGAATTGAACCGGTGCTCGTTTGTATCGCGGCCATCGCCACGCGCGATGTGCTCTCTAATTCCTGTGCAAAATTTTAATTTCATCTCAATTCATATTTTAATTGCTATACATGTAGAAAAAAAAGCAATAGCTGTTGAAGAAAAAAAGAAATAAAATGTAATAAGCTTTACCTCGGAAGCTGCTTCGGTTTGTACATCAAGCTGAAAATAATGCGAACACATATAAACGCAAATTAAAAAATTAAATTTAAAGAAATACATATACGCGAAAACGTGCATGAACGAATAATCATCTCATTTGGAAAATAATGCACATTCAGTTCTAACAAGCGCGCTAAATCAAATTATATTTTAATTCAGGATTGTGTGAAACTTACCTTTCTCTCATTCTGCCATTCCTTCGTAAGTTCGTTTAACTCCTCGTCGTGTTTACCTTGCAGATTATCTATCTTCTGTTGCACTATGGCTTTCCATTTTTTTTCTATTTCTTTTATTTCGTTGCTATGCTCCTTCTTAATCTGTGCGATCATTTCCACCAAGCGATCGATATCCTTCCCCTTTTCCGTCTCCGCATCTTTCTTCTCTAGAACAAGGCTCTCAAGTTGCTCGGACTTCTCTGTCAATTCTATTTGACAATCTTTTAGTTGTTCTTTATACTGTTGCACAAGATTCGACTCGTAATTCTGTTGGCGATCTATAAAAATTAAATATTTATGCGTTATATATCTTGAAAAAAATATTTCAAGATTGTTTCATTTTATACACATATACAGGGTCTTTAAAAAGTCCCGGAACGCTAAAATATCTCGAAAACGATCAACTATAATAAAAAATATGTAAGGAACAAAGTTGTAGGACTAAATAAATGTACCTAATGATGATAAGAATTTTATCTTGGATGATTCATTTTTCGATTATCTTATCTTAATACTTTTATGTACAAAATAATGAGAGGAATCAATTGGTGTATAGAAAACACATAGTTGTTTCGAAAAAAAAATATGTAACTGTTAATTGCAAATTACATATTTTTTTTCGAAACGACTATGTGTTTTCTTTACACCAATTAATTCCTCTTATTATTTTGTATATAAAAGTATTAAGGTAAGATAATAAAAAAATTAATATTTTACAAGACATTTTACGATTCATGTAAAATTAAGAAGCGATTTCAAGCCTCATAACTCGGAAAGTACTTAATGAAAACTAATTTAATTATAGTGTTTTGGAAAGCTCTTGAAATAAGCTATAAGAATATGCAATAAAAAATGGGGAGTCCCATTTAAAAAAATCAACTTGATCTTCATATGACCTTGAATACTTCATCCAAGGTCAAATTCTTATCATCATTAGGTACATTTTGTTTAGTCCTACAACTTTGTTCCTTACATATTTTTCATTACCGTTGATCGTTTTCGAGATATTTTAATGTTCCGGGACTTTTTGAAGACCCTATATATATTTTTTTTTTTTAAATAAAACATATTTTACCAAAACGTTTCTCCAACGCGGCTTGGAGCTCCTCTTCTTTATCGTGTAACTGAGCTTGGAACTCTTTCACCAATTGCTTCAGCCTCATTCCTTGTTCTTCTTCGTTAGTTTTTAAATCTCCTTTTAATTGATTGGTTTGAGCTTTCAATTCACTATTCATCAATGTCATCTGCGTCTCTTTCGCTTGGAATGTTATCAGCGCTTCGTCGAGCTGCGCCTCCAATCTCTTATTCTCCTCTCGCAATTTGTCATTATCGAGCTGGCACTTTGTATCGTTACGAGCGATTTCTAATTCTTCTCGCAATGTATCGTTCATTCGCGCGAGAGAATTAATTTCCGACTGTAGGCTAACGATCTTCCCTTCCAACGGTGCGATGAAATTTTTCAGCGAATCGACTTCCTTTTTTTTTTCGTCGATTTCCAGCGAAAACTGTCTTAAGTTTCCAATCTCTTGCAACATATTGGAATTTTTGTCCTCTAATAATCTTATCTCCGCATCCTTCTCGGTCAATAGGTTTCTCAAGACGTCCAATTCCGTCGACGAATTCCTTTCGGATTGCAAGGCATCCAATTCTGACTGCAATCTGCTATTTTCTGTGCGTAGGTCGTTCAAACTAGATATTTTCGATTGTAAATTATTTACATTGCTTTTCAACTCTATGTTACAAGACTTTAGATCCTCTAATTCGATCATTTTATCTTTTAAGGCCGCCTGCTCGGCGATCAATTTATCATATTCCAAACGTATCGCCTCTGTGTCCGAATTCCTTTGGATGAAATCGTTGAGTTCCGATTTGAGCTCTACGTTTTTATCTTCTATGTCTTTCATTCTTGCAACTTTATCTCTCAATGATTTTAATTCCACGAGAAGCTGTTCGTTCTTCTCTTTCAAAATATTACCACTTGTTGCAGCTGCATCCAATTTGGAAACTTTATCATGCAATTCGTTGTTTCGTTCGTCAAGTTTTTCTTGAACCTCTTGCAATTGTCTCTGAGTGATCGTCAATATTTCACTTAATGAATTTAATTCTGTCTTTTTATATTCAAGATGCGTATTAACGGCTGTTAATTCAACATTCAGACGTTCCACTTCCTTGTCATGATCATTTAATTGAGATTTATACGATTCCACACAATTTTGCGTTGTTCTCCGTAATTCTTCAATATCCCTCTCGTAATCTCCGATTTTTTGCTTCAGATCCTCTTCATTTTCGCATAGCTTTCGATTGCGATTCAAAAGATCGTTATATTTATCCTTCAAATCCTTATTCTCCAAAGTAATCTCCGCGAGCTGGGCATTTTCCAATTTCAGCGATTCTATTTGTTTTTCAGAAGCTTCAAGCATATTGGATAATTCGGCGTGTTTACTCTTCAGATCGTCAAGTACAGCGTTCATCTCTTCGGTCGTTTTATTCTGTCGTTCTTTGATCATTTTCATCTTTTTTAATTGTACAAGCTTAACATTTATCGTTTCTTGCAATTCTTTATTATTTTTCATTAATTCGGCAGTTTCTTTTACGTGACTTTCACTCGCTGCTTGATATTCCGCCTTCAAACTTTGATAATCCCTGAGAGATTCTTCGATTTTCTGTGCCTGAGCATCGCGTTCCTTTATTTCACCTTCCTTCTCGACCAGGTCCTCCTTTAAACGAGCAATTTCCAATTTTGAAGCGTGCAATTCCTCTCGAAGCGCATCCTTATCGCTGTTTTCCGACTTCAATGAATTAATAATATCGGTCGCTTCGCGTAACTTGACATTTAATTCATCCACTTCTTCAAAGATATGACTGGCTTGGGTGTGCTTCTTTCTTAAATCATCAATTTCTATCGATAATGCGTGATTTACAGACTCAAGATTTTCTAACACTCTTAATCGTTCCTGCAAAACCTTGACTTCTTGTTGCGATTCCGTCAAATGATGCGAGGCCTCTTTCAAATCATGTACTTTAAAAGTAAGATTATCAATTTCGGCTGTTAATTTACTATTCATTACTTTCAGCTCGTCATACTGATCACTTTTCAAAGTCATTTCTTGCAATTGTTCATTAGTTTGTTTCAGTTCCGCTTCCAAAATGGATTTGAGATTTACAACTTGTGCCAATTCCGATTGCAGTTCTACTGCTTTAGATGTGAATTGTTCCATATTCTTGATTTTCGAGTGCAAATTATCCACTTCGGATTTGAGTGTCACGTTTTCTTCTTCAAGTTTTACGAAAGACATAGCAAGAATCACGTTCAGATTCGATATTTCGGCTTTTTGATTTAAGAATTCTTCTTTAACAACACTTTTCACATTTACGCAATCTTGCTTTAAACGCTGCATACAATCGTTGTAATAAACAAGACGATTTATCAAATCGCTCCTTTCTTTTTTCAGTAAACTTAAAGCCGAATTATCCGCTTGGACTTTATTTTTAAGATCGTCGATCGTGGATTTGCAAGATTCGAGCTCATTTTGTACCGCACTCAATTCTGACTTTTTATTGTCCAACTCCTTCTGCGTCTCCGAGAGTTCCGTCTTGTCTTCCAATTTGACTTTAAGAGACTTTATCTGTGCCTCTTGTTCCGTCAGTTTATGTTTAGTCTTTTCGAGCATAGCTGTGTACTGCTGTATCTTTTTATTATAATTCTCGCACACCAGATCCCTGTCGATTAATGCATTCCTCATGTTCTCCAATTCCTTGTCGACGCTTTGTACCGTAGCCTGAAGTTTCTCGATTGTCGCATCAGCATCTTTCTGTTTCTCTTCCATGATAATTTTTTGCGCATTGTATTCATCCTTTAATTCCGAGTATGTTTCTTTATAAGTTGTCAGTTGGGCGTGTAACGCTTCTTTGTCATGTCTATACTCGACAATTTGTTTCTCCAGTTCCTCTAATTTACATTGCAATTCTTGGAATTCCATTTCCTTGTCCTTCAAACGAAGCGTTAATTCCTCCAACATATTCTCATCTTTTCCTGATCTCGTTTCTTCGCTATGATCGATTTCGTCGCGATGTCTTATAGCCTTTTCCTTAGTCTCATGCGTCGTTGTGTCCTTATCTGTTGTAGTATGCGAAGATTTCAATTTACCTAATTCAGTTTTATATTTCACTATAATTTCGTTTAAATTCTCTCTATCTTCAATCGTGTGTTTCAGGTCGAATTGTAATTGTTTGATGTGTTCTTCCTTCTCTTCAAGTTCCCTGTGAACCGAAAGTTTATTCTCGGCTAACGAAATTGCCGATTCCTCCTCGCGTTTGTGCAGAATATTCACTTGATCCGTTAGTTTCTCAATCTTAGTATGTGCTGTACTCAATTCAACTTCCATCGCATTTATTTTTTCGGCAGTGGAATTTGTTAGTGCCGTATAATCGTTCTCCAAAGTACTCTTCTCCTTCATCACTTCAGTAAATTTCTCCTTATTACGCTTCAAGGAATCCTTATATTTTAAAACAAGATTTTCCAATTTTTTTAACTTATCCTTTAACTGAGCATTTTCTGCTGACAGAGCGTTATTCTCATCCCCATTAGACGGCTCATTGATCAGATCAATTAGATTGTCTTTAGAATTTTCCTTTCCTTCTTCTGATACTGAATTGTCTAAAATTGGTCCGCTTGCTTGTAATAATTTTATTTTTGTATTTAATGTATTTATAATGTGATCCTTCTCTTCTATATCATTTCTCAATGCCTCTTCCAAATGAGCTTTTGCTTGTTGTTCTAATTGACATTGTTCTTTCAGGTCGGTTATTCTCCTTAGAACTTTATCCTGTGTTTCAACTAATACAGATTCCAGCTTGCTTTTTACTCTGTCCAATTCACGATAATGAGTAGCTAGATCAGTATATCTACCACGATATTTATGATACTTTGTTTGTACCTTTCGATAAGCGGAATATAACTGATCCTTTGTAACTCTATCAAGATGAGGACTAATATTATCATCTACTTCGCTGGCCGATTGATCCATATCTGACTGTAAAATTAAAACTTTTAGTTTTAATAAAAAATTATTAACAATTTGCTAGATAATTAAAAAACAAACCTGTAAGTGATATAGATTTGGAGGACTCTCGTACATTGGAAACAACGAAGATGCATCACTAGTGACACTGCTCACCGAAGATCTTCTCGAGATCTCCACACGATTTGGGGATGGTGACATTAGGTCAACATTTTGGAAACTATGTTTTGCTGGAGTATTCTTTGGTGTTTCTGTAAATAAAATATCATGTGTTAATTTAAATCTGTAAAATACATGTAAGATATGTCGCCAAGAGAAAAGAAAGAGAACACTTATATATCTGTCTGAAATATATCGTATCAAAGTTGAAAATTATTTAAATATTCAGTTTTTGATAACATTTGAAATCTTCGAACAATTCGTTAAATATTAACCTAGGTAGAACATGAAACTCATAATGACATCATTATGACGTCACCTAAAAGTCATTTTAGAAAAATCATAATGATCTCATTTGATATACTTTTGGCAATGTTTTGATGACTTATTTTTGATATTAAACAATTCTGCAAACTCTGTTGGAGAATATATATACTTCGCGTATGAAATCTTAAGAATCAATCATAATAATATCATTTTTTATATATATTACGCAATTACTTGTTTATTTAATTATTCGTGTATATTTTAATTTTATTTAAGCAACATAATCTTTTTAAAATTATATCATGTGATTATTGAACTTAAAAATTTATGATTCTTTTTGCCATCTTTAACTCATTTTTTAATCATTTTTGTTTAGGTAACTTTTAAATGATAAATAAAATCATGATAACGTCATAATGATGTCATTATGAGTTTCATGTTCTACCTGGATTAAGTGATTTAGATGCAAACATAAATATGCTTACCATCTCCATCTTCTGTCAAGCTGAAATTGTCACTTGACGCTGACACTTCCTGAATCGAGCTGTTAGATAATGCTGGTGATACCACAGCCTATAAAATATAACAATAAAAAAAAAAGATCGACGTCAAGTCAATGATAGTTACTTGATTGTCAATTATATTTAAACTGTGTCAAAAAAACGTCAAACAAAACCTGCCAACCTGCGCCAGTTGTTGAACGCTCGCCTGTAACCTGGCGGGCGATTGCTTCATTTCCTCCGCTAATTTATCTTTGAATTTCTTGAACATCCTGGTGTTTATCGGAAATTGCGGTTAAGCTTGATAAGCGCGATAACGTCTGAAATCAGAGCTTTTTGAGGCGTCAAGCGGGCGCGATGTTTACGTGGACTTGACTCGGGTTGATGACAGCAGGAGCGCGAGCTGGAAGAGTCCGTCCTACGTGGTTCAATACGATCAACATAGTGCAATCGGAATCTCGTATCTCATATTCCCGCTTTTCCCAAGCGAAGTAGAATCGGTCGATGCGAAGAATCGCGTCTAGCTCTACATTATTTGATTATGTATTCCATATATATGAACTGTATGCCACATATATACCTCGCTCGCCATGGTATAAGTAGTCAGTGACGTCATTTGGACATTAGATACAGTTTTCAACGCAGATTCCCTGAATCGACTTATAATTGTCATATTTGCAATGGCATAAAATTTCGAAAATTAGATTTGTTACAAATAAAAATACGAATACTAGTAATTAAAATAATTACGTAATTTTTTTCTAGCATCATATAAATTTTAGAATAAAGATGCGTTATTAATAAATAATACATAAAATAGAATCTAAATATCTGTCAACAAAACATATTGATAAATTACAAGATTTTCATCTTAATTTTAAAAATTAAAAGATTTACATCTTAATTATTATGTAACTTTTTCCTAGCATCATATAAATTTTAGAATTACGTAATTTTTTTTCTAGCATCATCTAAATTTTAGAATAAAAAGATGCGTTATTAAAAAATAATATATACTATATAAAATAGAATCTAAATATCTGTCAACAAAACATACTGATAAATTACAAGATTTTCAGCTTAATTTTAAAAATTAAGATTTACATTTTAATTATTATGAAAATTTTTTTCTAGCATCATATAAATTTTAGAATAAAAAGATGCGTTATTAAAAAATAATAGATATCATATAAAATAAAATCTAGATATCTGTCAACAAAACATACTGATAAATTAAAAGATTTTCAGCTTAATTTTGAAAATTAAAAGATTTACATCTTAATTTTGAATAAACATATGCATCACTTAAAATATACAATACGTTAACTTTTAAGGAATCGAAAAAACGTGGGAGAAAAATAACAAAATCCATTTTATAATTTTTGCAAGTAGTTCTCCTGGGAGTGGAGGATGTTTATTTAGACAACTTCGGCCGCTCTAACGCCTCCTTTGTGAGTTTTCGATAGAAAGTCGGCATATTCTTGATACGGCGCCTTAGCCAGAGCCTGTTCTTTCCACAAGTCGGGCGTAAGGTACGCGTACGTCTTGGCAATCGCAGCGTAAGTCGCCTTAGCGAAATTACCGAGCGTACAGGTGGATCCCCTGGCTGAGGTGTAACAATCCTCGATACCAGCCATCTGAAGCAGTTTCTTGGGAACCGGAGCAGACACAATGCCGGTACCTCTGGGTGCTGGTATCAACCGCACCTGCACGGAGCCGCATTTGCCAGTCACCTTACATGGCACTGTGTGGGGTTTGCCAATCTTGTTACCCCAGTAACCGCGTCGAACAGGCACGACGGAGAGCTTGGCCAGAATGATAGCACCGCGAATAGCAGTGGCTACTTCTTTGGAGCACTTCACTCCTAATCCAATGTGACCATTGCTGTCTCCGATGGCAACAAAAGCCTATATAAAATATTTAATTTTAATTATTTATATCATTCATAATCTGTTAAATATTTAATTATTTAATTAAAATATTTAATTTTAATCATTTATATCATTTATAATCCTTTTTAGTCTTTAATCAGTATTAGATTGTGTCGCATCTTTTTCTTCTTCTGTCAATTTTAATTAAAAAAAGAAAAAGACCAAGTTTACCTTAAAACGTGTACGTTGACCTGCTCTAGTCTGCTTTTGCACCGGCATGATTTTCAAAACCTCGTCCTTTAGATCCGGTCCAAGGAATTTGTCAATGATCTCGTACTCCTTGATAGGCAAGGAGAATAGATAAATATGCTCGAGGGACTGGATCTTGCCGTCTCTGACCAAACGACCAAGCTTGGTGACAGGGACCCATTCCTTGCTGTCTTCTTTGCCGCGTCCACGGCCGCGTCCTCGACCTCTACCGCGACCTCGGCCTCTCAAGCCTCCACGATCACCTCCACGAGAACCGAAACCCCCACGAAAGCCTCCGCGTGCGGCTGGAGCAGCGTCCGCCATTCTATAATTAAAAAAAAAACGTTATAATATATCGTTAATTATTATTAAAATAATAACAAATTATAATAATATATTATTATAATTTAAATTAAATATATATTATTATACTTATATAAAACCTATATAAATTAAATATATATTATTATAATAATAAAACGTAAACGTAATAATACTAATAATAAATATTATAATAATAATAATAAACGTTATTATAATAAAACAACGTTATAATATATATATAATAACGTTTATTATTATTATTATAATATTTATTATTAGTATTATTACGTTTACGTTTTATTATTATAATAATTTATTATATATATGTATATATATATATATATATATATATATATATATATAATATTATTATATATAAAAATATATATATATAATATTATTATATATATATATATATATATATATATATATATATATAAAGATAAAACAAAATAATTATTTTAAAACACTTTAGCTTGTTGAAAATATTGTTGAATATTTAGGTAACTACTATGCCCAATATCCTATCAATAAAATCACTATACTTGTATAATGTTAAATATTTCCTAATTGTTATTAATTATATAAATGTAGAAATTGCATTAGGAATATTAGAAGAGGCAATAATTCTTGATATTTAGATCAAATATTGAGGGTTATAATTAACCTAACAAGTACATGTGATACATAAAATATTTTAAAACCGACAATATTTTCTCCTCATAAAAGATTTTTTAACGTCTTATATAGCTCAACAAAAAGCATGTAAAAATTGTTTCCTTATTATGACATATACGTGAGATAATATTGAAAAATTTCGGGAATACACTCACATCACTTCTTTCCTACGCGTGGAATCACGGAAGAAAGACCGGTTCAGCTTTCGAGGTGACGCTTCTTCCGCGTGATGTCACATCCGACATTTCAAAAAATGGCGCGTTTCCTTATTCCAGCTCTGACAAGGCACGAAGCAAGAAAAGTTCAATCAAATTATGTAATATGGATTTATTATTATTATTAAATATATATATTATTATATTTATTATTATTATTATTATTAAGCTACGTATACATATTCGATATATTTAAGCAGTATACATACTTAAAAATTCAGTTTTGAAATTTAACATTTTAATTTTTTATGTAAAACTTTATTTCAAATCCTAAATCATAAAAATTTCTTTTTATGATTCATAAATTTTTATTGATTTATACGTTAAAAGTATGCAGCAAAAAATTTTCTTCCTTCTTAAAATAAAATTACATAATTGTTCCATAAGAAATACATTCTTAATAATAATAGCAATAATAATAATAATAATAATAATAATAATAATAATAATAATAATAATAATAATAATACTAGCTCTAATAATAATAATAATAAATCCATACCACATAATTTGATTGAACTCTTCGTATGATAAAAAGTTTGACACGGGAAATAAAATTCATCCTGTACATATTATTTTATATATATATATATATATATATATATATATATATATATATATGTATATATATTTTTTTTTATTGCTATTGTACACTTAAATAACGCTTAACAACATATTGTCAATTACTATGTCCTCGGTCATCACTCGTAGAAATCGCGTCGATCTCGTCCCAGCCACATATTGTGAACGATACCGTAGGACAATCGATGATATCAGATCTATGGATGTATCTAAAAGGTCTATTAACTGTTACAGAGATCGTCTTCTGTATATACAATCTTACAAAGTACATTAAAAAGGAACCAAAGTCACTGCATACCCGCATCACACAATTTTCCTAATAGTGATAAAAAAAAAATATTGAATATATTATCGCGCCGTGTAAACAGGATCTTCAAGCCGAAACGCTTTATGAATCACATTAATATTTACTTTATCTCATCAACATTGAAGACACTTAGCGATATCCAGTATCGGTTATAATTTTATGAGAGATTATGTAGATATTTCTTATACGGCATGTATCAAAGTACCTTGATAAATAAACACATCGCCTTACTCTTATTCTTCCTCTAGCATAATCGCCTCGAAACCTGAGTTATAAAAGTATTATTGTACTGAGAGGGAGAGACACAAAGAAAATGGATCGTGTGTCATGATGAAGAGATCTTGTGCTTTCAAAATGCACAGATAATACCTTAATAATGTGTACTGGCGGCGAATAATCCGTATATAACGCTCTTACGAAGCAATGTCCGCGGGTAGCAAGACTGATCATCGCATTCATATCCATCGCGAAGCCATGTCAGAAACATTCGAAGACGATTAAATATAACTCGCTTACAACGCTGCGTGTGTGTATGTGAGACTCCTTGAATTAAAAATATTAATTCATCTAAAGTTCATCTAAAAAATGTAGTCGTGTCTCTATTGTGCATCACAAAACTGCGAATTTACTGCGTTTTTCTATCAAGACAAAATGCCTACGTAAAGCGCAAATTTTTTTTTCAATTTTTTGCACGCTAAATTAATCTGATATTTAAGATTTTATCGCTTATTTTTTATTTTACTCTCTTTCTTTATTCTTATCTCATTTCATTTTCTCTTGTTTTTTCTGATTGATTGACAATATTGTTTAACTAAATTTCATTTTAGAATGTGCAATATATAACATTTCATGTTATGCTTGTAATCATGAAATTTTGATTTGCTTTCCTCAAGAAATTTAATTTCCAAATAATATTAACAATATTTGTACGAGTTTTTCGCTGTCTTATGAACTTATACACTTCATTCGAAACCTTTTTTCACTTATCGAGTCAATGTAGAATATATTAATACTGCAGTATACTGCTTTGATCCAGTTCTTTTCCGATCAGATATTGCAAACGTGAGCGTTTCTCGATTTACGACGCGCGCGACCATCGCCAATCTAAATTACCAAATATCACGTCGATGAATATACAATAATAAACTATCCGTATTTAACATCTCATGTACGGATAATCATATTCTCGTATGGGCGCAAAGGTCTCCTTAATAGATTGCGGAGATGCCCAGCGAAGAGCGTAATGCGGTCCACCGGCTTTGTCATTTGTGCCGGACATTCGACTGCCACCGAACGGTTGTTGGCCGACCACGGATCCGGTCGATTTGTCGTTTACGTAAAAATTACCGGCAGTATATTTTAAATCCTCAAGTGCCTTCTTCGCCCATTTTCTGCAATAATAAAGGAAAAAAAATTTACTTTATCGCAATACAATACATACTTACACAGAAAAAAGGACATACTTGTTTTGAAAATATATTTAATTTTAACATGGAAATCTTGAAATGAGATTACATTGCGTTAATTAAAGAAAAATATAATTGCTTGAATAATTGCTTACTCGAATGAAGCCATTTTATATAGTTCAATCCGGAAAAATATTTTTATGATTTAAGATTTAATTTTCTCAAATAGAAAAGAAACAATGTTGGATAGAAAATAACATTTTTAAATCAAAGATTATAATTTTTTTAAAATAGAATTTTTTAAAATAGAATTAAATAATCGTATATTCTTGAAGTGACAATTACAATATTAAAATAAGACTGTAATATTGTTGAAATTTAAAATTATTAAATTCTAAGATAATTATAAATTGTTTTGCGTATATACGAAACAATGAACGCGTTAGTTTAAGTATATAAATTTTGATTTGACACTTATTTTTTTTCTATGTATAAATATATAAATTCAGCACACAGAAAAAAACAAAATTATTGTTTTGAAAATATATTTAGTTTTGACGTGGCAATCTTGAAATGAGATTATATCGCATTAATTAAAGAAAAAATTGCTTACTTGAATGAAGCCATTTTAATAACATAGTTTAATCAAGAAAAATATATTCATATGATTTAAAATTTAAATTTCTTGAATAGAAAAGAAACAATGTTGGACAGAAAATAACATTTTTAAATCAAAGATAATATAATTTTCTTAAAGTAGAATTAAATAATTATATATTCTTGAGGTAACAATTACAATATTATAAAATAATATTATAATATTGTTGAAATTTAAAATTATTAAATTCTTCTGAAAAGATTATAAATTGTTGCGTATATATGCGAAACGATGAACGCGTTAGTTTAAGTATATAAGTTTTGATTTGATACTTATTTTTTTTCTGTGTAAATTTAAGAGAATTCAACATGCAATTTAAAATATTACATATTTCATCTGTTTTTTTTTATCATGTGGAACGTCAAATATAGCAATTACCAGGCAATAATTCTTACTTACTCGTCTTCCGCGAATATTGCGCCTGTTAAAGCGTATGGTGTGGACGTTTCTACCAGTTTCACCGTTTTGTCCAGATCGGAATCCTTATAAACGTATATCGTAAGTACCGGTCCGAATATCTCTTCCGTCATGAGTTTTTCTTTTGGATCTTTGCTTTGCACTATTGTCGGTTCAATGAAATATCCGCACCTAGAAAGGAGATTCGCATCTTAAGATAACGATATCAAGGTTGTATTAATCACGATACAAAAACGTACGAATCGTCGTAGCCTCCACCGCCGAGAATCTCCATCTTGGGTGATTTTTTCGCATAATCAATGTAACCAGAAATACGTTTAAACGCGGTGGCATCTATAACGGCGCCGGTGAACACAGTAAAATCTTGAACATCGCCGATCTTGAGTTTTTGGCGAAGATCTAAGAGACCGTCTTTTACCTGGAACAAATGGTGTTTTAAAAAAAATCACTCAATATATATAATAATAATAATATAATAATATAATAATATATATAAAATAATATAATAATAATAATTATAAATAATAAAATAAAAAAAATAATAAATATAATAAAATAAAATAATATAATAATAATAATACATGTTCGAAAAATGAACATTAAAATTGAACCCGGCGGCATTTTCACTCACCTTACCCCATAAAGATTCCGGCACGTACATTCTACTGCAAGCGGAGCACTTTTGTCCGTTGTACTCGAACGCACTTTTTATCGTCGCGTTGATGACCGACTCCACATCCGCACTCGAGTGAACGAAGTGGTAATTCTTACCGCCGCACTCGCCAATCAATTTTGGATAGTTCCTGTATCTGGAGAGATTCTGACCGACCTGCGCCCACAAACGATTGAACGTCGGCACCGAGCCGGTAAAGTTGAGTCCGGCGAGATAAGGCGAGGACGTGATGGTGTCGCCGAACACGGGTCCCTCGCATGGAACGAAATTCACCACGCCAGGCGGCACCCCGGCTTCCCTGCATATCTTAAAGATCCACCAGTTGGACAATAACGCGGTATCGGATGGCTTCCATAGCACAGCGTTACCCTGCAATCGCGGTATATGTTGACACGCGCTTATGATACGTTTATTATTGATGCGAGAGCCTCGATTAAAGCACTGTCACAGTATGGTTTGCGTTACAAACCATCAGAGCCGGCGTGTAGCTGAGGTTGCCGCCGATCGCGGTGAAGTTGAAAGGCGATACCGCCGCGACGAAACCGTCCATGCCGCGATATCTCATCGAGTTGAGGGTCTGCCGATCCGGCGAGATTGGCTGATACTTGAGGCTCTCCTTCGCGAAGTACGCGTGCATCCTGAAGAAGTCGATCAGCTCCGCCGCGCTATCAATCTCCGCCTGTATCACGGTCTTGCTCTGGCCGAGCATCGTGGCGGCGTTTAAGTACTGCCTGTACTTGGTCGCCATGAGATCCGCTATCCTCAGCCACATCTCCAGCCGTTTCTCGATCGGCCACCTTTCCCATTCCCGTTGAGCCTTCACCGCGACGTCGATCGCCTTCTTCACGAGCTCCGGCGTCGCCCAATAATACTTGGCGATCCTCTCCTTATGATTGTGCGGCTACAAAAATTCCGGTCGATTAGGGAAAAGTTCAAATTCGTTCCTATACGACTATGATATACGCACCATGACCTGATATTTGCACAAGTCCGTTTTGATTTCCTCGTTTCCTATTATTAACGGTACCTCCTCGCATTCACTGGCCATGTTGCCCAAAACCTTCTCCAGTTCCGCTCTCTCCCGGCTGCCCTTCTTATAGCTGAGAATAGGTTCATTTTCCAGCGGAAATTCCGGCGGGCTTGGCACCGGCACTATTGATCCTCCTAAGTACCTGGCGCTGACTCTGTTAAACAAAAAATAATAATAATAACATTAATAATAATAATAATAATAATAATAATAATAATAATAATAATAATAGTAATAATAACATAACTCCTAAGCACCTGGCGTTGACTCTGTTAAACAAATAATAATAATAATAATAATAATAATAATAATAATAATAATAATAATAATAATAACAATAACAATAATAATAATAATAATAATAATAATAATAATAATAATAATAATAATAATAATAATAATTGAGAGAGAGAAGAAAGTTATTTTTAATTCCGGAACAAAGATATATCGACAGATAAACGGAGATTTATCTAGCATCTCTTAAGAGAATTTCCCTGATAAGATTTTCAAATATTTACCCAATTATCTTTGTAGTAAAATCTTGAGTTAACAATCTTATCGTTGTCATCAAATATATATTTGAGTTTGGAGGCAAATCTCTTGTTTATTTATATCACACTTAAGCAAAAGTGGTTTATCTAATATTTCCGTTCATAAATATCGCAACCGTATTGAAGATAAGTATTAAGATAAAGACACATGTAAGATGTCTCTTATGCTGACAAAACTATTGCTCTTTGATCTTAACTATTCAATTAACACAGAACTAGAAGAGACGAGAGAGAGAACGATTGAGACATTCGCGTGGACAAAACATCAAAGCGGAAAAAAACACTATAATGTCTTCTTCGCTTGACCCTAATTAGCGTAGTTATCAGTAATTAATGTAGATAAATGTGACAAGTATAACAAACATAAATTTCATCTCCAAGAAGATGATGTATCCGTTCTCATAATAATATTGAGATTACATAATACTCGAGATATTTTTTTACAATTGTTCATTTCCAATTTTAATTATTTTTGGCATGATTATCAACATTAGAATTATTATATGTACTTTTAACAAAAGTCTGATAGAAATTGAAATTAAAAATTGAAAAAAGCATCCTTTTTTCGCTTAAATAAAAAATTTTTCTATTGTCGAATTTCATCTTTTTACTTGAAAAAGATATTCATATAAAAAAAGATACGACTATTGAATCTTCAATAGGTATTCGATCACGAGAATTATAAATTAATGTAAGGCCATAAGAAATAAAACGGTAAAATATGAGTCAAATGTGGTCTCGACGATGATGTCAGCTGTCAAGATACGTCCTTATGTTTGACAAATGGCATTCTTTTGCCAAGCTCCAGTTGGTCCGAATAATCTCTCTTTCATGCCTATCCTTTTATCTTTGAAGAAAGATGAAAAAGAAACTATTCTAATGCAAATACTCCATCGCTGAGTAACCAATTATAGTCCAAGAATTTTACATTAAGTCTGCTCGCGAAGAAGACAACGAACTTAATTAAAGACGCATTGTTACTTCTGTTGAAATCACACGATGCGATTGACTTTTTTACATACCACGTATACACAGAGAAGAATGTATAGTAAGACTGTATTCAAGTAAATATTATTTTTTTTAAGTATATCATAAGTTTGTATATTCGCAAATATATTATAAATTCATTACAAGCATTAAATTTAATTAAATATATTCTGAATTTTAGTAACTGCAGTATTTTAGTCAAGAATATTAAATTAAAACAAAAATTTGGTTTGCTACCACATAAAGTAAGTTTGATTTTTCTTTGATATAACTTTACAATATTCTTGAAGAGAAAACAAATTCTTCTTTTGAGTACATGATAATGAAATTTTCTAACACTTGATGAGTATATTTTAAGACTATTATCAAGAATATATTCTTTGTTGAAGAAAACTATTCCTTAAAAAAAGAAAAATAAATTGAACAATCACTTTTCTTGGCAGTAAAATGATATTTTTCTCTGTGTAACTTCAGTTGCACTACGTGTGACATATTCAACAGCGACAACTCGAGTATTTACATATGATTTTAAACTCGTTACGTCGACGACGTGACGCATCATGCCGGAACATCCGTTCCTAATAAAAGAGCATGCATTCAGCCGGACAATGTCGACATTGTCGACATTACGTCGCACGTTCGAGCATTTACAGAGACATCGTTCAAGCGTGTTGCTAACATTTTTTCGCAAACTCAAACTAGGAAAAAAATCGCCGAGCCAGGTTGGGTTATCCAAGGTGACCGTATTGTGAAGCTCGATGATCGATCGTCCGGAAGGACGATGGTCACGGTTCGCTCGAAGAAAAAAAAAGATTGAAAATAAATGGAATAATTTGGCGAATATATCGGTTTATTACTCACTTTTGGGTATTCGCCAGCAATGCCTGACGGCAAACCAGACCCAACATCTTGCAGCGGAGACGGGGACGGGATAGGGAAAGAGGAATGACGTCGGCACCCTTCGTTAAACACGATTATTTTGAAGAGCGAACACGAAGCCCTTTAATTGACAGATCCTGTCGGACGATGACACACACGTTCGACGGATCCAATCGCGACCGGATCTCTCTTCCTCCTCCTCCTCCTCCTCTTCTTCGTCGGCACTCGCGCCGAATTGCCAAAACTGCGAAGAAACACGGCTCGATGTCACCGCACACCATCGGGCGAACGCTTGGTCAAAGCGCGCTACCGGAGATTCCCCACCTTTCGCCAGAAAGCCCAGGGACGTACGATTACCTGGCGATTATCTCGGGGTTGTCCGATTTTATTATCCCATTACCAATAATTATCATTGCATATCGAGTGGAAATCTGATTTATTTAGAATTTCAAATTTGAAAAAAAAGCTAATTTTTTATTTTTGTCCAATTATATCAGTATTTATAGTCTCCTTTGAATTCCTTTGTATTTGCCGACTATTGTAATATTAAATTGAAAATAAGAATTTCATTCTTTTCAGAATTCTTGTATTAAAAAATAAAATAGCAATTTCTTTATTTTATTATCCCTGTGCATTCTTTTCGACTCTGAAAGAGAAGATAATTTGGACACGTAGGATTACCTGACGATTATCTCCGGATTGTCCGATTTTATTACCCCATTACCAATAATTATCATTGCTTACATATCGAGTATCTAGGGAATCTGATTTATTTAGAATTTCAAATTTGAAAAAAAAAAAATTAATTTTTTATTTTTGTCCAATTATATCAGTATTTTATCTCCTTTTATGATTATTTCAGGGTTGTCCGATTTTACTATCCCATTACCAATAATTATCATTGCTTGCATATCGAATATCTAGAAAATCTGATTTATTTAGAATTTCAAATTTGAAAAAAAATTAATTTTTTATTTTTGTCCAATTATATCAGTATTTTATGTCCTTTTACGATTACCTGGTGATTATCTCGGAGTTGTCCGATTTTACTACCCCATTATCAATAATTATCATTGCTTGCATATCAAGTATCTAGGAAATCTTATTTATTTAGAATTTCAAATTTGAAAAAGAAATTAATTTTTTATTTTTGTCCAATTATATCAGTATTTTATCTCCTTTTTGCATTCCTTTGTATTTGCCGACTATTGTAATATTAAATTGAAAATAAGAATTTCATTCTTTTCAGAATTCTTGTATTAAAAAATAAAATAGCAATTTCTTTATTTTATTATCTCTGTGCATTCTTTTTGACTCTGAAAGAGAAGATAATTTGGACAATCGCCAAGTCAAACAAGTTATATTAGACATCACTGCTTTTTACGACCTAAACGATATCATTTACGACTACATTAGGTCCAATCAAAATCAATGACAGTCGATCGGAGAACATGTATACTGTATAATAACAGTGTGTATATCTCATGCATAGTTTCGTGCAAGATAATCGAGAATCAACCGAAATTAAATTTTAAAACGCGAATATTTTAACAAATCTCTTACTTGACTGGAAATTTGACAAAACAATTTTCTGTTCAAAGTGCAATTATTCTTTTTTCTACAAGATATTCGCTTCCAACATTAATCTGTTTATAGAACAATATCTATAGACAATATACTATTGCAATAAACAACTGCGTATTTAAATGCGACTTACCGAATCGCGGGATATAAATGCGTAATTGATTATATTACATGATTGTAAGCAAATTTTTTTGATGTTAAAATAAAACTTGAGGAAATTATGCAGTTCTATTTCTCCAATTTTCTAAGTTACAAGTTAAAAAAATATATAATGTAAAATAAAAATGAAAGAAATAGAAATAGCAGTATATATTATTATACTAAAAGAAATGTTTAACACAATAAATTTTTAACGCTAATCACAATTACCTCTTGACATTATTAAAATCGAAATATCTGATCGCATTATTTACGTAATGGCAATTTTATTGATTTTAATACAATGTAGAGAAAAGTACGCTTCAGAAAAATCGATTTATGTTTTAATGCAAACCGATATTGCCGGCAGAGAAACTTTTAAGCTATTACATTTTAGTAACGCTTGTCAGAGATATCAAGTCCGTGTATTTTGCATTTATCGCGCTTTCTAATCGCAAACAATACGACGCAAACACAAAATCATTAAAGAATAAAAAAATGAGATAGGTCATGTATCTTTAGAAAACATCATCTGTACGATGGAAAATCGGAATGCGTTATGTAATGTAATCTATTTTTATGCAGACGTTCTCGTCATACATGTATATATGTAGATGCGTATTTCAGATTTGTGAATTTTTAGAAACAAACATGACTCATTATTCCAATGTTTACTAAATTCTTGACTGTTCTATATTAATATACTGTCATTTTTCGAAATAACGAAGACGTCCATATAGTAAGGAGAACATACATTCCCTGATTATATTATCGACGATATAATCAGAAAAGATAATCATCAATCATCATCATCAAGTGCAAAAAAAAACGAAAAAATTATTACTCTTTCTTTCTCCCTCCTTCTTTCTCTTGAAACACAAGATTTGATGCAGTTTTTTTTAGTTTTCCTCTTGTTGCATTTGAAGCTCACGCAAGAGTTGCGCCCGTTGTTTTTCTAGCTCATCTTCGGAAAGTTCATGATGCTCATTATTTTCCGTAACAGATCCCTCACTGTGAACTGAGGGCCTTCTGTGTTTTTCCTCTTTCCGTTTTCTTTCTGGAGAAGCCTCCTCGGAAGATGCAAGTCTCGAGTGAGAGCGCTATAGAAATATTGAGAGAAACATGATGAAATATACAGGAACTTTACTTTCAACCAGAGGGTTGGCATGTTTTAAACAATGTGTTTAAAACTGTTTGATTAAAACTTGTGATTAAAACAGTGGGCAATGTTTTAAACATTTTTGTTTTAAACTGTTTTAAAACTACTGTTTGAAAACTACTGTTTTGAACTACTGTTTAGAACCGTTAAAATATCGCAAATAAAATATATGATTGTTTAGAAAAGAAATTGTAAAGAAATCAAAAACAAACAAAAACTAATAGATATGTATATTGCAAAAAAGTTTTAGTGTTTTTAGTTTTTTATCTATATTATGTAACATATAGATATAAAAAGATAAATAATAAAATAAAAATGATAAGATGGGTATTATTTTAGAAGCATTTTATCATATTTATTTTTGGATATTAAATAACAATCAATACAATAAAGATTACTTATAAGATATTGACTGACTTTATATTTTACATTTTAGCATTTTAAATTAATAGTACACAACTCATAGCAGGTCAGTAGTTCTAAAAAAAGTTCTTTTTAAAAAGAAGAATTGAAGTTTTTTATTTATTTTTTATTTATAATTTATGTTGAGAGAGTTAAGCATGAGGTTACTTAATAAAAATAGGAAAGGAACCAAAGTATTATATATTAAATATTATTAACTAGAACTTTTTTTCTCCAAAAATAAATAACTCCAAAAATAAATATTCTGATAAAATAATACCCATCTTTTTATTTTATTATTTATATTTTTATAGTTATTTATAATTATTTATAGTTTAACGATAGCGAAAAATTTAAATATTTACACAGATCAAAGCTATTAAGTGTTTTTTGCTTGTTTAAAACATGCTTTTTTTTTAAATGTTTTTTTTACTTTACTTAAAAACACAAATAAAACAAAAAACATTGTTCTAAACAAAAAAAACAATGTTTTTTGTTTAAAATAAAAAAAAACAAGTTTTTTGCCAACCCTGCTTTCAACAAACTTTAGTAATATTATTAAAATACATACAGAATGACTACGACCTCTCTTCCGTTTGTTCTTCTTTCTCTTAGATTTCCTCGTTTCCGATTCGGAACTGTCAGACTTACTAGGAATACTGGGTGAACGTGACTTATGTCGCTTTCTCTTCAAGACTTTGTCACTACCTTCCGATTCCTATTAAGAAGAGAAGAGATAACAATTTTACATTATTTGCGCTCATTAAAACTATTAAAAGCAGAAAGCAATTGCAATGATTTAATGATACTCACGCTGTGTGAACGTGATCGCGATTTACGTTTCAATTTTTTCGCCTTTTTCTTCTTGCTTCTAATATGATGATGACTGCAGCTCTCCTCAAGTTCATGCTGATATTCCTTGAATATGCGTATTCTTTCGCTTTCCAAAGTGATTGCCTTGAAATCTTGTTCTTCTTCGATTTTCGTCCTCACATCTTCCCACGTCATTTGATAGTCCACATTCAACGTCTTGAGTAAATTTTTGAAACCGGTCTCTAATTTCTTAAACTTTCGCGTTTCTTCTTTGACGCGTTCCTTCTCGCGCGCTTCTGCTTTTTCCAACAATAGATTATATGTTAATTTAACGTTACCCGCGTCTAGAGTGGCTGACTTTCGATCTTCACACACGACTGTGGCGAATTCTTCGAAAGTCGTATTGACTTGCACTTCGAAATTCTTGTCTTTAAGTATCTCACGGATGATCTTCTTTTCGTCATGGAATCGTGACTTCAAGTCTTCCACATAGAATTTGAAAAGATCTAATGGGGTCGAACCCGATTGTCCGAGCATAGCCGAAAATCGAAGATCAGCGGACAGCATGGGATACAACTCTACCCATAGAGACATTGATGTGAGTTTACCTTGTTCGTGAAGTTCATCAAGTAGATACTGAAACATAAAGATTATTTATATTAATTATATTAATTATTTATTAATTTTTTAATTATAATTTTATTAATTTATTATAATTTTATTTTTATTAATTTTTTAATTATTAACTTTTTAATTTATTAATTTTTATTATTTATATTAATTATTTATATTATATTATTATATTAATTATTTATATTAATTATTGTCCTTACACAATAAAAAATTTAAACTTTGATCAAAAATACTTTTAAAAAAACTGAAAAAGAAATATAATAACGAGGGGTTGTTCACTAATGATTATAGTGTACAAAAATTACCTTTGATACGGATTACCTTTAAATTACCTCAGATTACCTCAGATTACTTAAGATTACCTAATATTACCTCAAATGAAGACTCTTTTAAGAGATTTTGCACGTATCTTTTCATTGGTATGGATGCATTTTGCAATTTTTTTATATTGTATTTTTAGTTATTTTTAGCTTTTTTGAATTTTGTTTTGAATAATAAGTAGACGCCTGACTTACGAAACGACTTTAAATGTTAATTTGAATAGTATTATTTCATCTGTAGCACTATCAGCAGGGTAATAAATTCAAACTATTGTTGACTTCGGGAAAGTGAATTTCGTTTTAAGGAATTAAGCGACTTCTTAACGCAAAGAAATTTGCCTAAAGTAGTTTGGCTCAGTGAAAATGCGATGGAATGGAATTACCGGTAGAATATTCAATACATGAAAATTGTAATATAGGTTTTGTTTTATCGTTAAATGACGATGGCTTATTAAAAGTTGTGAAAAGAATGCATTTCGCAATTTTTAAAAGCTCGTGTATTCGAGCATTTAAAAATTGCGTAATGCATTCTTATCCACAACTTATGGCTGAGAGATAAAGCATTGCGATACCGCGAAAACCTAACCACGACAATTCGTAGACTGCAAAAAAGCACGTTTTTACGAAGCATCGATTCCAAAAAACGACTGCAAATATTATTGTAAAAAGATACAAGTTCGTCAATGACGTTCACTAACTTCAAAAAGATTATCTTAGATTACCTCAGATTATTTGAGACTACCTTAAGAATACCTAGAATTATCTACAGATTATTTGATATTATCCTTACTTAGATTACTTAGATTTCCTATTAGATTACTCAAGATTATCTGAGAATGCTAAAGATTATTTAGAGTTACCAAAAATTACCTTAGATTACCCAAAATTTCCTTTGGATTACCGCTGAATTATCTAGCTGAATTATCTTGTACAGAAATTATCTCAGTGACCAACCCCTCGTATAATAATTATAATTATAAATTGAAAACAGTTTATGATACTTACTATGAAGCCATCTCTATTTTTCCTTTCTTGCCGTTTCCTACGTTTTTTCTCACACTCTTTCTCTTCTTCTTCGTCCTTCTCCAATTGACGAATATGATTTTCGAATACAATCAAGGCATCCTCCTTGTCCATCTCTAATAGGTCCGCGTCTTCTGCAAATGCAGGATGTTGCAGCAACAATGCTTGCGCTTCTTGCCATGTAGTTCTGTACGTCACCTCGGTCATAGTATCTAGAACTTGCGCTAGTCTTTTGGTATTCCTTTTCTTTAATTGTTTCGCCTCCTCTTTCTCGCGTTTTGCTAGATTGAAGATGACATCCTCATAAATGTCTCGGCGATCCGAATCTCCGACTGCCCTCCAAAGCTCCAGATTACCGAATAGCTCCTCGCATTTGTAATACTTGGTTGTACTCATCATTCTGTCATTTTCCAATAAAAATTGCTCCAGATCCTCCTTCGCCTTTTTCAATCTGCCAAAAAATACTGCCTTATTATCTGATTCAACATATAATCTTATAAAACTCAATAAGTAAACATGAAAGATCTACCTGAGTCTCTCCTGTTCGCGCTCTTCCTTTAGCTTTTGTGTCTTGTAAGAATTGAAGACTTGTTTACGTTCATTTAATTTTTTCATCTGTGGATATCTAGGATCATTCTGAATCAATTTAACCGCCTGCTCCCACGTGGCATTCGACGGAACGTCCCTTTCCCTCAATAATTCTTTAAATGCCTCAATTGCTTCCTTTTTATCTTTAAATTGCATCTTTGGCTCGGGCGTGCTGGTTCGACTGTCGTTAGCCGAGCCCATCGCGGAATTACTATCCTCGTCCGGCTTTGTAGGCGGTGTCGGAATATTAATTGCCGCGAGGGTCGCAGCCATCGCTTGCTCGATAGCAGACTTTCCACCTGGTTCTGGCGTACTGGTCTGTGATATAGTCGTGATATTTGGTGATAAGTGTTGCATGGCTACAGGAACCATATTGCTAAAAATACAGAAAATCATAACGAATAGAGGAAATATTAAAATAATAAACAAATATGTCTACATTTTTATATACAGGATGGACCAAAAGTCTGGATACAGTCGAATATCTCGTATAGAATGCATTTTAGAACAAAATGCTTTAGACAAAAGTTGTAAGGATTAAAAAGATGTATTTAACTATAATATCCATTTGATATTGAGTGGCGTCGCCAAGGTCAGGGCAAGGTCAACTTAAATTTTTTAAATGGAACCCCCTATTTTTCATTGCATATTCTTGTAGCTTACCTCGAGAGCTTTCCAAAACACTGTAATTAAGTTAGTTTACATTAAGTACTTTCCGAGTTATGAGGCTTGAAATAATTTCTTAATTTTACATGAACCGTAAAATATCTTGTAAAATATTCATTTTTCGATTATCTTAGCTTAATACTTTTACGTACAAAATAATGAGAGGAATCAATTGGTGTAAAGAAAACACATAGTTATTTCGAAGAAAAAATATGTAATTTGCAATTAACAATTAAATATTTTTTCTTAAAAGTAACTATATGTTTTCTTTACACCAATTGATTCCTCTCATTATTTTGTACATAAAAATATTAAGGTAAAATAATCGAAAAATGAATATTTGACAAGATATTTTACGGTTTATGTAAAATTAAGAAATGATTTCAAGCCTTATAACTCAAAAAGTACTTGAGGAAAAAATAATTTATTATAGTGTTTTGGAAAGCTGTTGAGGTAAACTACAAGAATATGCAATGAAAAATAGGGGGTTCCATTTAAAAAATTCAAGTTGACCTTGCCCTGACCTTGGCGACGCCACTCAATATAAAATGGATATTACAGTTAAGTACATCTTTTTAATCCTCACAATTTTTGTCTAAAGCATTTTGTTCTAAAATGCATTCTATACGAAATGTTCGACTGTGTCCAGATTTTCGGTCCACCCTGTATGTCTACATTTTTATATATCATAAATTAATTTTACTCACGAATTTGTGGCGTTTGCTACAGCGGCCGCGGCGGCCGCTGCAGCTTCCTCGGCCATGATTCGAGTTTTCAGCTCCTCTAGCTCTGGCGGTATTGTCCATCTGGATTCCTTGGTGGTTACATTATGATAATATATTTTGCCGTTTTCCGATTTATATTCCTTCCAAGGACATTGAGACAGCAACAATTCGCTCGGGGTTTTCAATTCATCTGGTTTTTCCCACAATGACTGCTTTGTAATACTATTGTAGTAATATGTTCTGCCATCCGGTGCTTTGTGTTCACTCCAATCGGTCTTCTTCTCTGATGTGGACATCGTCGAAGTAGTGTCGTTGATGATAGGTGAAGGAGGAGGAATTCCTGGTGCTGTTATCTGTGGCGATGCAGCTGTACAAAAGAAAAGAAGAACTTATATACATAAGTTTATGGTATCGACATAGCGTATTTAGCGATGGATATTAACCTATAACTCCAGCTTCTGGAGAAGGTGCAGCGGTGATAGGAAAAGTAAAACCTGGCGGAGGTATGGAAAACTGAGGCGGCATTATACCTGGAGGACCTGGCGGTAGACTAGGAGGAGGAATGAAGGGTGCCGCAGGCATAATGGGTGGTACAAAGCTAGATGCGATATTTGTCGTTGCCGATGGGAATCCTGTTACAGCAGCAGGTGGCGCAATACCGTCGTTGGAAGCCTGGTAATTTTTTGAACGTACATGTCAGTCAAAGTGATCAGCAATTTTGAAGAGTATAATTCCAGCTTACAACTGTATTTTCGTGTTTCTTCCTACAGTAAATATATGCATAAAAATAGAAAAAAAGCACAATAAGAACAGGCTGTAAACTCTATTTTGCTTTAATGACAATTATTAGTACTATTTATCAATTAATTAATATTACTTATCAATCAGTGACTTAATATTACTGTTATTCTAATTGTTGCGTGCTACTACACGTTAAAGTATTATTTCAAACAGAAAAAAAAATTTATCTTCAAACTTAACATCACGTATCTCGAAGAGAAGCTACCAGTTGTGGCGCTTATATATCTTAAACGCTCAATCTACATGCCATTTATATAGAGATCGTCCCGAGCAGGATTCTGCGAAACAGAATTTGCAATCGTTTGCACGATCAGAGCATCGATAACGAATTTAGCGTCCGTAAACAACACTTTACTTCACAATTCATAACCTGAGCACTGAGCTTGAATAATTATACATATGACTGCACGCATGCGTACGATTGCGATTATGATTTCTTGCCATCTAGCTGTCAAACTTGACAACAAAATTATTATCATGTGATAAAGAAATATTTTAACTTGTTAGTGATCGATATTAATTAATAAATCATATAATTACATAATTTATAATATATATAATTATATATAAATTATATAATTTATAATATATAATCAATATACAAGGTGTTTCAGACCATCCGTACCACCCATTTAAAAACTAGAAAAGTGGTTATTTCAAAAAAGTAAAAACACTTTCTTTATAAATCGGGTGCGCTCTATCGAATGGTAATATTTTCAATTTCTGATTCTGGCCGGAAATAGGCGATTCAGACCGGAAATGCATTTTTTTTAATGGAACCCTCTATTTTTCATTGCATATTCTTGTAGCTTATCTCTAGAGCTTTTCAAAACACTATAATAAATTATTTTTCCATGAAGTACTTTTCGAGTTATGAGGCTTGAAATCGTTTCTTAATTTTACATAAACCGTAAAATATCTTGTAAAATATTCATTTTTCGATTATCTTACCTTAATACTTTTATGTACAAAATAATGAGAGGAATTAATTGGTGTAAAGAAAACACATAGTTGTTTCTAAGAAAAAATATGTAATTTGCAATTAACAATTCTATATTTTTTCTTAAAAACAACTGTATGTTTTCTTTACACCAATTGATTCCTCTCATTATTTTGTACATAAAAGTGTTAAGGTAACATAATCGAAAAATGAATATTTTCCAAGATATTTTACGGTTTATGTAAAATTAAAAAACGATTTCAAACCTCATAACTCGAAAAGTACTTCATGGAAAAATAATTTAGTAGTGTTTTGGAAAGCTCTAGAGATAAGCTACAAGAATATACAATGAAAAATAGAGGATTCCATTTAAAAAAATGCACTTCCGGTCTGAATCGCCTATTTCCGGCCGGAAGCAGAAGTTGAAAATGTCACCATTCGATAGAGCGCATCCGATTTATAAAGAAAATGTTTTTACTCTTTTTAAATAACCACTTCTCTAGTTTTTAAATGGGTAGTGGTACGGGTGGTCTGAAACACCCTGTATATATAATCAAAAATATATAATCAAAAATATATAATCAAAAAATAAAATATCTATCTGTACCGAGAATATATAAATATACGTTTGGAAGTAATTGATTATCAGTGGATATTATAAATTAAGAGAAAACTCACTTGTAGAATTTGTAATATTATAATTCCTACTGATTTAGTGTAACATAATCATTATCTTTGTCTAATGAATGGTCAATAATAGAAGAACAATACAAAGGTATTCCTCGTAGAGTCTGCGAGTTGGCATTGTCGATTCGTGCAACAATGTAATCACCCGGCTGTATCTGCCTTGTTGTGGCAGAATGTCGATTAATTCGAGTAACTGTAGATAGTAATATAACTCTTACATTGCCATCGTTTCTACCTTGTAGATATTCACTACGTCTCTTGCTTGGCTAAAAATGTATAAATAATTATTACATTTGTATAGAATTAAATACTTTTTAAATTATTAAATCAAATTAAATTAAATTAAAATAAATTATTAAATCAAATGCCATTATACTTTTCATTATGTACATAATCGAATTGAAATACTTACGCCTTCCACAAGAACAAGTTGATGCTGCCCTATCTGTACTTTGTTTAATTTTTCTACTTCTTTTCTGTATAACATAATCATACGATTCATACGTTCTATTTTCACATGCGATTCAACGTCATCTTTGTATCGTCGATGTGCCGTAGTTTTCTGTTAAAAAAACGATAGTTTTTTGTCATATTTTGTTAAATATATTTCTTTTTTTATTTTAATTATCCGAGCAATTAAATGAATACCATACCTCGCGCATGCTGTAGGGATATAAATAGGCGTTGTTATATTTCACTTCATCTATTAACGATAACGTATCTTGAAATTCTTCTTCGGTTTCGCCGCAGAATCCGGCGATGAAATCGCTGGAGAGATATATATCTGGCAAAATATTACGTATATGATACACCAAGTCTAAATATGCTTCTCTAGTATATCCTCTTCGCATTCTGTCTAAAACTGCGGAATTGCCACTCTGAGCGGGTAAGTGAATCTGTTTACAGATGTTTGGTCTTTCGGCTATCAAATGCAGTACTTCATCGGGAAAATCCTTGGGATGAGGTGATGTAAATCTAGAAATCATCATATTTAGTACACAAGTATCTAGAGATAATTGATGTCTCCTATCTTTAACATGAAGATACCTTATTCTTATTTCCGGATTAATCAAAGAGACTTTGTCTAAAAGATCACTGAATCTTAAACCACCCTTTTTATTCTTATAAACCGTTTTGAAGCCTTTAGCGAGATGAGTTTGCATATCAGTAGGTACAACAAATTCCGATTGTGACAAATCTCTATAACTATTCACGTTTTGTCCAAGGAGAGTTATTTCTTTTACACCCTGATCCGATAACTGCCGAACTTCGTCGAGTATGCTTGCAATAGGTCGAGATCTCTCTCTTCCTCTTGTAAATGGTACAATGCAGTAAGTACACATGTTATCACAACCTCTCATTATAGAACTGCAAATTAAATATAATATAGATTATAAAGTCCATAAGCTAAAATCTGTAGAAGATTAATAAAAAAAAAAACACATATACATTATATTTTACAAAAATATTAATTGCTTTTAAATATATACGTTACACGTATGCCCCCACAGAATCTTGATCGAGTCTAACTGGTGTTACATCTGCATATGTTTCATCGAATGATAATACAACATTAATAGCTGTTTCATTGTCTGTTACTGCCAGGAGTCTTGGTAGATCTTTGTAACTGTCAGGGCCTGCTATCACATCTACAAGCTTCCCCTTGTCCAGTATTTTAGTCTTTAAGCGTTCTGCCATACATCCTGATATAAAAATTTATTTTTATTCAAGAGCATTTATAAGAATTCTTTATTTTAATACCATTAAATGTTAATGAAAAGCTTACCCAAGAGTCCAATCTTTATAGAGTTTTTCTTTTTTTTCTTCCTTATGCCGTTCAACATCTCCAATTTATTCCATACTTTTTGCTCAGCATTATCTCTGATGGAACAAGTAACAAGCAATATGATATCCGCATCATCTACGCTTTGCGTATGCTTGTAGCCATGAGATTTCAATATCGACCATATGATATCAGCGTCGTTTATATTCATTTGACAACCATAAATTTCAAAGTACACTAGAATATAAAAGAAAATTACAACAATAATTTTACAATAAACAAAAATGGATAATAAACTTTCTAATAAAAATATAAAAAAACCTTTTTGATTTTCACCACGAATATCCTGCACATACGGGACGGATTCTTCATTAGGAATATCGACAATAGACGATTCCACAAAATCTCTCAAAGAAGGTCCATCCTTGATATTCCTCATCGATCCTAGCTTTACAAGAGCTTCTTTATTTGCGTTTGTATCAATCAAGGACACAGAAGTTCCATGGATCGCACGTCGCATCCAAGGGCAATAAGAATTTGTATATTTTTGTAACATGAAGTATTTTCCAATGTACTTCCCATAATGTATCCCTCTCGACATATCCACGTCGTTTTAGAGTCTAAAAAAAAATTTGTATTATTGTTTTATTCTTTTTTAATTTATCTAAAATAAAATTTAAAAAAATAATAAAACAATACAAATTTAAAAATCTGGTATACATTGAAAGATTTACGAACGTACCGTATTATTAAATATTTGATAAATATTCAAGTATTAATGTGATTATTATTAATTTTAATATTTGTTATGCGAATATTTGTTATTAATATTAATATTAACGCGTTAATTTCTTCTCGTGTCAATCCACTCAGTTTTGGCAAACGAGTACGCGACTCGTAAGGTTAGGAAAATCACTTTACAAAGTACCTATATTTCGCACAATATTCAGTATAACCACTAATTTTTTTTATATTCTATTCTCTCATAAATATATATAAATATTTTTCTCTTTTTTTTTTTTTTGATAAAATGAAATATCGGTGAAAGAATTTACGACAGATGTTTCTGTCAATTTGTTTATTCATTTCGAGAGACTTATTTATCGTTTTACCTAAAATATAAACGTAAAAACGGGACAGTCGTTTCAATATGAATTTCGTCTATAATAATAATTACATATATACTAATACACGCACCTTATGTACAATTTCGTATATACAACAATGCAAATATCACTATTACTATTGTAGGTATTGTGAAAAAATAGTAATTAACATTTAGTAACATCCTAAATAATGCATAAAAAGAGAGATATATGATACAATTCTTATTTCCATCTTCATACTATTAAAATTAGAATGGCCGATATCTGATTTTCAAAGAATGAATTTGCTCCTCTCTTATTCTCTCTTTTCAAAATTCTGCATTTTGACGAGTTCTATCTAATATGAAATTAAATTTAAATTAAATTTAAATTTTCTTTTCATTTAATTCTGAAAAATTTTAGATAGTAAAAACAATTTCTATTAATTTGGCAACACAGATTTTATCGGCACATTGTAATGGATTAGCATGAATTGCTTCTACATCAAGCTTATGCTTTATTGACAATTTAATAATTGCACAAATTCTTGCATTTGTGTACAAAATTATACATTCCTGATATATGTATAATTTTGTCACTTTTTTGCTGATAAAATATACAATAGATGCTATATATAAACTGAGTTTTTGACAAAGTCAATTATTTTGAATCGCATTACAGTTGCTTTTGTTGAAATATTTGGGACAGTGAATTCTACATAAATGTCATAGTTTAGAACAGTCATAAAGTGTGCAGAAACACAATCTTACTTTGGTAGAATATTGGGTAGTATGTTATTTTTCACAGTTTCTAATTAAGTTAATAAAAAAATTACTTCATCTAAAATTCACTTTGTATAATACAATAATAAATAATCCTAATAGAGTAAAAAAAGTACAGCTGCGCTGCAACAAAAGAGGTTGTAATTGAGGTACTTGGAACTCTTTCGCACAGTTTTTCTAATTATCCATAATTATCCTTTTTACATACAATCGCACTTAGTGTCATATCAATAATTGTGTTTAATTTAATTCCCTTTACTAATTTCTTTTTGGAGCAAATAAGCGTCTAGCATCATTGTCTTTGTGCGACTCAGCTAAGCTCCATTATCATAAAATAATTTACGAGAGATATTCAACATATTTTCAACTAATAAATATAATTTTGTCTGCATTTCTTTTTAAAGAGTATTGGATATCAAGTTTACACGAAAACATATGGTTGATTATCTCACTTAAAATATTAATAAAAGTCTGAAAAGATTTAGGGGAAAAAAAACACTATTATCTTTTTATAATAATGATACAGAGTTTTTAAAGACTATGTACAAAGTGAAAATCTCTACAATAATTTATCATATATGATATGTCTTCAAATTTGTCCTAATTTCACCTTAGATGTTCTTCTATGAAAAGGAAAGATAGTAAAATATTGATGATACTTAATAATATTCCATGACATAAGCTATAATATAAAAATCACAGGTAGATGGTAAGTAAGATAATCATCCTAAATTGTGTTATTATCCTATGTAATATTTGGTCGAATTATTTTTGACAAATCAAGTAATTTTGATATTTACAACTAGTGGTGATACAAAGGAGGAAAATATCGCTATTAATATGCATTCCTTCAACCCACATGTGTATCAAAGAATTTTTTTTAAAGAATAATATTGCTTTAAATTGTTGCTATGTGTTGTACATACACATAAGGACTTGAGGATAAAACATACAATTTATTTTGCTCTACGTATGTTATTTCAGACATGTATTGCAGTTTTGATTCCGTTATACTATACATTTGAATTTACACAATTAGAGCAGAATGTCTATTTTGCTATGGTATCATAGTATTGCAACAATACGGCTACTTTCCATACAATGTCTCTTATACAAATTTATTATATTTATTATTATATTATTTCTTTCTCTCTCTCTCTCTCCCTCATACAAACATATACACACATAACAGAATATACATACATATATATATATCTCTCTCTCAAAAATTAAATATGTTGTACAAGAAGCTTTGGAGACTAGCCATATGTTACAAACTATGATACTATATTATTTTCCATTAAATACAAAAACGGAAAATCCATTACTTTGTATAAATTGTCTATTACATTATACTGAATTTGTTATAACATAATAGGCAACTTATATACAACAATAGATAAATTTATAATTCTTATTCTTCCTGATACACAATATATTTTAAATTAAATATGTTTTTTTTTAAGTTTGTATATACATAATTAATATACAAAAAAAATAAAGGCTTTGGAGACATAGTGGGTTGAATGATAAATACATTATATCATTTCAAATAGCATCATAGGCACTGTCAACCCTTCATACAAGATTTCATAATAAATTCAGTTTGTATTTAATGTCTTATTTAAATGTTATTTGGTATGATTCTATTTACGACAGATTTTGCAATATAAAAACCAATATCTCGTAATTTATGAAAAAAAAAAATCCACTGCAACAAATTTCTATTTTTATAATATTTTAATTCTATTAATTATATATGATAAAATGCATAATAAATTTTCTTAAAGAAGTAATAGAAGTAATGAAGATCTCTAAAATTTCGTTTTTTCTAACAAAAGATATGTCCTCATCTTTTATATAAATATATATGTAAAAAAAAAGATCATGAATAAGTGCAACACGCATATAATGTCACGTTGCATATGTGTCATCAATAAAAAGTCAGATCTTAGTTTACTTTTATAATATTAACAAAGTACAACAAAATTTACAGACAATTTGGTACAGTGTTAAACTATGGCATTTTATTAAACTTAATAATGTAAATCACAAATGTGTAGGTATGATGTATATAGATAGATTAAATATAATAGGAAATATAAGTTTATGAATACAATTATTCTGTCCTAAATTTGACATAGGTGCTGAGGATTGGGCAGCTGGTAGAATTATGCTTTGATTGCACTTGTACTTCGAAGAAATTTTATATATGCAGATTCACGTTTACAAATACTCAATATCGCATTATTCTTATAATTTCGTCTCATATATACGTATTATTGTCTTGTATGCCAGCATGCAAGACATTTATAATACACGTCAAATATATCGGCAACACTCCGAGAGAAAAATAAATCATAATAGACGATAAAATAAAAATGTGCAAACATATTTACATGTAACGATATAGAAACGCGTGCATATACTCGTATAAAGAATAAAAACTTAAACATATGTGTGTTGCATAAATATATATAAATATATATTACATTACGCGACTGTATGTTATGTATAATATTTTCAAGCATCCGAGACAGATAAAATTTTGGATTTCTTTTACAGAGTAAGATTTAAAATGGTCAAGTTTTAAAACGAGATTATTCGAGAAATATTAATAGAGTATACATGAGATAATATTGCTCCATGGTTTTTGTCGTTATATTCTGTGAATAAATTATTGCTTTAAATCATGACCCTGTTCCTTATTATACGAAATACATACTCGAAATTTCTACCAACTGATCACTCGCAAAGCTTAAAAGTAAAACGTGAAAGTGCCATGGCTTACTTAGTGGTTGACACCAAGAATGCTATTGAAATTTGCTAAGACTTCGAGATTGTGCAAGTCTTCCCAGTGAGTATCAAAAGTAGTTCTTATTTTTGAAAGCTCAAGACCGCTACTAAAATCTCTGGCAAAAATTTGCACAAGAGTTCTTTCACAATCTATTTTCCCCACTATTATTAAGATAATGCCCTGATTACGCATGTATCTTAACAACTTATCTTCGTGGCACCATTGTGATTCAACTTATGATTTATAGCGCAACCGTCCTCTTGAATAGTTTTAAGATACTCTTCTAACAGCGACGCCAGATTACGTCGTTTAAAGCGTAATGACTCCTTCACTATATCTTTCACAAATGCAAGCCGTATATCTAGGGTTCCCTGAATTTGATGTAGATGTGAAAACAGCGTTGCATAATCTGAAACAGAATAATATATCGACTATTAATATTATTACAAGATATATATCGTCGGTGACATATAATTTGTTAATCTTATTAATCTCATTTTTCAATATATCAAAGAGAATCGATTGATTTCAGAGACTTACTTGTCCCTCTTCTCCGCACTTCCTTGTAAACTAGTTCCCGAATATTCAAATTGTGTCGTCTGATGTCCTCCAATTCCTTTTTTGTTAATTTTTTCTCTTTCTCAGGCTTCAACTCACGTTTCTCTTCTATGTGGTTCGATAGTCTCTCTTCAATACCACTATCAACAACTCGCGCACTATTTTCGATACTATCGTTAACGGGTAACCGGCTGCACTCATTCCTCACATTATCTGTTCGTTCACTTTTAACTTCACCCTTCGACATCGGTATTGTATCGATATTGTTAACTATCGGCGTCAACACCGGCGGCGTGTCCATATGATTATTAATATGTTCTATCGGAATCGGCTCGAATACCGGTATGGCCGGTGGCATTTCTGCGAGTCCGTTTACCAACTTTTCCGAGGCGCTCGAACATGGTACGGATGACACGTGACTTGGCGATACGTTGGGCAGACAGGTCAAAGTCGGTGGAGTACTCGTATCAGCAACTGGTATCGGTGTTGCCTGATTCTTCGTTTCCTCCATCATCCACGGAATTGGCGAACTCGGTGGAGTGTTCGTAGGCGATGAGTACGACGGTCGTCGTACTATTACATCTTTTGGTATTGGTCCGGGCTTCCTCTTGTTAGGTGGCGGTCTTGGCGAGGACGGGCCTCCGCCATCCGACTGCGGTAAAGTGCGCTTGAGACCGCTTTTTGATGTAGAGGATGTCGCGCCGACTATATCGATATCCGCTTCATCCACCATCATTCTCTTGTCTATCTTGAATGGGTTGCCTGTAATTGAAATATAATACAAATAAATATGACAATATATTTATAATTTATACAGTGTACATATGTGTAACATGCATATACAGGGTGTTTCAGACCACCCGTGCCACCCATTTAAAAACTACAGAAGTGGTTATTTCAAAAAAGTAAAAAAATTTTCTTTATAAATCGGGTGCGCTCTATCGAATGGTGATATTTTCAACTTCTGGTTCCGGCCGGAAATAGGCGATTCAGACCGGAAGTGCATTTTTTTAAATGGAACCCTCTATTTTTCATTGCATATTCTTGTAGCTTATCTCTAGAGCTTTTCAAAACACTAATAAATTATTTTTCCATGAAGTACTTTTCGAGTTATGAGGCTTGAAATCGTTTCTTAATTTTACATAAACCGTAAAATATCTTGTAAAATATTCATTTTTTGATTATCTTACCTTAATACTTTTATGTACAAAATAATGAGAGGAATTAATTGGTAAAGAAAACATATAGTTGTTTCTAAGAAAAAATATGTAATTTGCAATTAACAATTCTATATTTTTTCTTAAAAACAACTGTATGTTTTCTTTACACCGATTGATTCCTCTCATTATTTTGTACATAAAAGTATTAAGGTAAGATAATCGAAAAATGAATATTTTACAGATTTTTTTTTTTTTTTTTTTTTTTTTTTTTTTTTTTTTTTTTTTTTTTTATTTTCATTTCTTATGTTTTTAACATTGAAATATCATGTATTTGTTATTTATATCGAAAAATGAATATTTTACAAAATATTTTATGGTTTATGTAAAATTAAGAAATGATTTCAAGTCTCATAACTTGGAAAGTACTCAATGAAAAAATACTTTATTATAATGCTTTTAAAAGCTCTCGAGGTAAGCTACAAGAATATGCAATGAAAAATAGGGGGTTCCATTTAAAAAAATGCATTTCCGGTCTGAATCGCCTATTTCCGGTCGGAACCAGAAGTTGAAAATATCACCATTCGATAGAGCGCACCCCCGATTTATAAAGAAAATGTTTTTACTTTTTTGAAATAATCACTTCTCTAGTTTTTAAATGGTACACGTGGTCTGAATACACCCTGTATACGCAAATAAAATTAGTACAGCATAAATTATCTCTGCATTATATGCTGTAGAGATATTATACTTGCTATTATACTTGATTATTAAATAATTACCAAACATATGCTGTCTCACTGGTACACTCTCAATTTCCCTCAATGGTGGAGTCATGCGTTTTAAATATTCTTGATAATTTCCCATTTGAGCTAAAGGCATCGAGTGAACGTAATCATCATCAAGTAATTTTGTATGCAGTAAACCAGGCTGTAAAAAATTCGCGCGCATTCTCATGACTTGATCGAGCAAGGACTTTCTCGGGACATCAAAGGCATTCCTGTAACTGTGTGCGCCACGTTGCTGCTGTTGATTCTTTACTAATCCAACTACAAAACCTCCAAACTCATTTAGTTGATCGCGAAGACCCGTGAACTTATCTTGTAATAAAGGATGGGATACCTGAACAAAGCATAATTTTTTACACACAATTAAAATATTGTGAGATATCAGAGCAATCTATCTTAATGTGCTAAAAATCTTACCAAATCTTTCTTCAGCGGTGTTCTTGGTATTACTCTTACTCCTTCTGTCACCGTACTCGTGGTACAGTTGGATAAATTTTTCGTAAGATTCGAAACAGCGACCTGCTTAGAAATGACTTCGCTACAAAGTCGATCGAATTCTAGCTTTGCCAAGTTTTTCAGTCGCTTTAAATAAGTTAAAACACTATATGACAAAGAAGTATCCATAGTATCCGGTAACAATGTTTGTGCTAGAGGTGCAGACGCACCCATTCTAGTTAAAGCTCTTCTCAACGACTGTAATAAAGAGAAACGTTTTAAAGAAAGTAAAATAATATATAATTATACAGGATGTATCTTAAAAAGCTCCCACTAAGCAAATAGCGTTATTCCTGATTAAAAACCGAGTCGAAAAGTCCTGAACCATTTTTTCCCATAATGCTTAATAAAGCAGTAATTAATGAGTAAAGTCGCGCCAATAAAAAGATAAACTTCCTCGTTATTAACATATGAAGATTTGGATAAGCAAAAAAATAAACTGTTTTGTGTTCATTTTTAAACAATTCATCTTTTCAGAAATCTTTTTAATACTTAAATCTGATTAATTATTTAATGAATCTTGGGGGAAAAAAATGGTTCAGGACTTTTCAACTCTGTTTTAATCAGGAATAACGCTATTTGCTTAGTGGGAACTTTTTGAGATACATCCTGTATATCCAATATAAAATAAGACTTACAACAGCATAATAAGTAGGCATGGTCCTTATGTAACCTTGAAACTGTGCTCTCCATTCGGGAGTCGGTTTTTGCCTATGCACCTTAAATAGCTCCTCCAACAGAGGTAACAAAACAGGATAGTTATAAGGCATAACGAAGAGATTTACGCAAGTTAAGTTTGTACTCGCTTTCAAATATCCGAACGGATGGCCCACTTCGCTCGATTTAAACGAATTGGCGACAAACACTTGCCAGCAAGTCGTCGGCTGTTTCCGCGCCAGGATGTATTGAGTCAAGGGACTCGGTTCCAGTTCATATTTGTCGAATGGTAGATTTTCGATTACCATTGGTTCCTGGCTACTACATGTAAATTTCACATTTGGATGCGCCGATCTCGGCGGTAACGAGCTGGCGTTGAGATCCGGCCAGAAACTCTCAGGAATCGGCCAGAATCCGACTGCGAAACCTTTCTGCGCCGATCGCGGTACATAAATTAAACGTCTACAGGAATACCAAGCCGTATTGCCTGGCGCTAGTGCGTTTGGATATTGAGCGCGTGGTCCCGCGTTACCATCGTCCTCATTCTCCTCTTCATCCTGATGTGATGCATCGTTAGTCAACGGCGGAGGATCGGGACCGATTTTCTCGAAATTTATCACTACGCCCGATTGAACCTTTTGTACTAGCGAATCTATGCACTGTATCATCATTCGGAATGACGTGATGCAATACGAACGACCTGCAACGTCCAAGTGTTAATAATACACGATAATTAAAGTTAGAGTTTTGTATTTCACAGGATTGGCAAAAAACTTGTTTTTTTAATTTTAAACAAAAAACATTGTTTTTTTTGTTTAGAACAATGTTGTTTTCTGTTTTATTTGTGTTTTTAAGTAAAAAAACATGTTTTAAACAAAAGAAAACATGTTTTAAACAAGCAAAAAACACTTAATTGCTTTGATCTGTGTAAATATTTAAATTTTTTGCTAGCGTTAAACTGTAAATAATTTTTATTTTATTACTTATATTTTTAATAGCGTTGTCAAAATTGATAACGCTATTAAAAATATAAGTAATAAAATAAAAATTATAAGATGAGTATTATTTTAGCAGAATATTTATTTTTGGATATTAAATAACAATCAATACAATAAAGATTACTTAGAAGATATTGAATGACTTTACATTACTTTTACAAATACTTTTACATTTTAACATTTTAAATTAATAGTACATAACTCATAGGTCAGTAGTTCTAAAAAAAGTTCTAGTTAATAATATTTAATATATAATACTTTGGTTTCTTTCCTATTCTTATTAAGTAACCTCATGCTTAACTCTCAACATAAATTATAAATAAAAAAGAAAAATAAAAAAACTTCAATTCTTCTTTTTAAAAGAACTTTTTTTTAGAATTACTAACCTGCTATGAATTATGTACTATTAATTTAAAACGCTAAAATGTAAAATGTCAGTCAATATCTTCTAAGTAATCTTTATTGTATTGATTGTTATTTAATATCCAAAAATAAATATTCTGCTAAAATAATACCTATCTTATCATTTTTATTTTATTATTTAAATTTTATATCTATATGTTACATAAATATAGATAAAAAACTAAAAATACTAAAACAAAAACTTTTTGCAACATATACATCTATTAGTTTTTGTTTCTATTTTATTTTTTGTTACAATTTCTTTTCCAAACAATCATATATTTTATTTGTGATATTTTAAACGGTTCTAAACAGTAGTTTAAAACAGTTTAAAACAAAAATGTTTAAAACAGTGTCCAGTGTTTTAAACAAGTTTTAATCAAACAGTTTTAAACACATTGTTTCAAACATGCCAACTTTGGTATTTCAATCTTATTTTTGCAGAATAAATTGACAAAGATTCCAATAAAAAATTTAAATTATTGCTTGCTATTCAAGATGGATGATTCTATTAATAACTGATTAAGTAGATACAGTAAGATTAATAAATTCTCGCTGTATATTTTTTATAACTTTTTTATTCTGTTATCTAAAGTAGAAATATTATTGAACACTTTTTTAAATTTTATATTGTCTAGCCAATTAAATTGATCATAACATTATATTACAAAGAATTAAAGATAAAATTTAAAATTGTACTTTCTTTACCTCCGGTTACTTCGCACATTGCATCAATCGGTGACGCGTCACTCGCCACCAAGCCTATATCTCGTTCAACGGCTGGTGTTCCCGATAAACGCAATACCAAAGAAAACAATCTTTGGTCCCATCTAAATGGTTCCTTTGTTAATTCAGACCCGGGTATCGGGGAATGCATAGGCAACGTGAACTGTAAAAAAAAGTCAATTTTCATACATTGTAATCCCATTTAACATATTTGTACATATCTAAGATTATTGCAAAAAATTACACTTACATCTTGATGCACTGGAGGCACACCATTGGATGTATATTTTCCTCCGTCTGTTATAATAACTATAACAGATGGTTCTAAATAAAATGGACATCTTCCTTGACCATATGTATCTATGCCAGTTTGCATGCGATTTATATTCAACACATCCAAAGCATGCTTCAAAGCAGCACCTAATGTTGTTAAGCCGATGCATTGTAAATTCTTGAGTTCATTCATAAAGGTTGCCAAGTTTTCCTTCCATCCTGCCTGAAACGACATTATTCCCAAATTATTACTTAGTTTTCTTAATATCTGAAACTCCAACAAGATCTTTTTCTTGCATCATTATTTAAATAAAAGATAATAAAATAAAAAAGATGAGAATAATCAGAACTATCTGTCACAAAATAAGTTTAAATATATATTCCTCTCGCACAAATTTCATTAAATAAATCTATATATTATCTATATATTATAAAAATTATCTAAATAAGAAATAATTTTGATAAGTTGAAAGAAATATTTAGACAAACTTGTCCCTCAACATTAAATTATATTCTATTCTTCTTTTAAATCTGTAAATCCACAGAATTCCATATAATTAAATCCATATAATTAAAGATATTCTATTATAATTCCTTGTTTACATTTTTTTTAATAGCATATTTTAATACAAAGACTCATGTACTCGCTTGAAAAATGGAATTTAAAAGGAGAGAAGGACAAAACGGACAATTGCAAAGTAAGAATTGAAACAAATGGATTGCATTTGAGTTTCTTTAAGGATGTTTTGTATATACAATCCCAGCAAAAAGTAACTGAAAATCAATATTGACAAATATATTCACTTTTGATGTATTTTGGGTAAGAAATTGTGTGGAATATTACAATTTGATTTTAGCTACAATGCAGAGATGTAATTTTTAATATTTATTGCGTTTTTACTGAAATATTCCGAATTTTGTTAATCGAAATGATTAATTTTTATATGGCTAACTTGATTGAATTATATTTAATATCTTTTTAACCAGTTAGTACTTGTATTATATTTGACCAAATATTTCCTCTGTATCTAAAATTTTGCAAATTTTAAACAAATTCTGGATATTATTTCCATGTATTTTTGTCATTTGAATCGACGTGGTTATACATGGTTTCCCATAAGAACACATATTAATTTGGTGCAAATTAAAATCCTTACAGCTTGTGAACGCTTTAGTGAATCGATTTAAAAATGATACTGAAGATTCTAAACATATGTAAGGACATTCTGTACAATTTTCATTAAATTCTCAATATTTTGAAAATAGGTATAAAACATCCTTAATCGAAATGATCAACTTTTGGCAGAGAATTTCGCCTTGTATCAGATATATGGCTAACTTGATTGAATTATATTTAATATCTTTTTAACCAGTTAGTACTTATATAATAATATTTGATCAAATATTTCCTCTGTATCTAAACTTTTGCAAATTTTCAACAAATTCTGAATATTAATTCCATGTGTTTTTGTCATTTGAATCGACGTGATTCTACATTTCCCATAAGAACACATGTTAATTCGGTGCAAATTAAAATCCTTACAACTTGTGAACGCTTTAGTGAATCGATTTAAAAATGATACTGAAGATTCTAAACATATGTAAGGACATTCTGTACAATTCTCATTAAGTTCTCAATATTTTGAAAATAGGTACAAAACATCCTTAAATCGGTGTGCAAAATTCCCGGCGCGAGGAGGTGAGACGCCAGAGGCCTTTCGAGGATTTCGCTTTTCTTTCTCCCAACCATCGCGTCTCCAATAATGCGCGTCTTTCGCAGCTGAGCGAGCTCTGCCGCCTGTCCGTGTCCGTGCCGCGTATTAATTATTATTCGGCGCCATTAGTCGAACCTAACCCAACTCGAGACGGTCCCGCGACTCGAGAGGGAGACAGAGACAGAATCAGGGAGGGAGAAACTTAGGGAAGGGAGAGCGCGAACGCTTCCCGACCCCGGGAAGCATCCTCGCGCGATAGGCCGTGGATATTAACGACAACGCGAGGAAAGAAACACACACACATATATATATATATATATATATATATAAAAAAGAAAAAAAACCATAGAAAGCTCGAAAATACGAGACCCAAAAATTTACCTTGATATTCTGAGGCGGCTCTTCGGACGTCAGAAGCATGTAACGATCCCCCCGGCTCTCCGGCGATCTCTGTCGAACCTGGAACAACACAGATTTCCACTTTTCACACACCAGCAAAACAATAAACGTCCCATCTCACCCTCGTCGCCGGGAAGGCTACGTGCCTGAAAGAACGAGAGGCCAAGAGAGAGACCGACGTACGACCTTTCCCTCTCGTTCTCTCTCTCTCTCCCTCCCTCTATACGGCACCATCACGACGACGAGGGCGACGAGGACGGCGACGCGGTGCGACACGACACGACACGACACAGCGCGAGCGAGCGTACCTTGACGAAAGTCTCCACGGCGCTCTTGGCTACGTCCAAGAGCGTGGGCCGTCCGCCCAGGTATGCCCTCTGATTCATGGAGGCCGACGTGTCGATCAGAAAGACTATTATGGTCATCTTCGGGGGAGCAACGACGACGGCGACGGCGACGACGGCGACGACGACGGCGACGACGACGACGCGCGCGCGCGTCGTGGCGTACTCGTGCTCGTTTATCAACTGGCGGGTACCGAGACACGACTCCCGTCGTGCTGGCCGGTCGGAAACTAGCTAGTTGGATGCCCTACGACGACGACGACGGCGGCGGCGTGACGCATAGCTGCCGCGACCATTGAACGGCTCCCCGAATACGCTCTCTGAAAAACTTCTCTTTTATCGTAACGGCGCTCGCTTGGTCCGTCTCTCCCTCTCTCTCTCTCTCTCTCTTTCTCTCGTCCCGTATGGAACTAATACATGTGTGCGGCTTAGAGCGTGGCTCCCCGTGCGATTGTGTGACGCGTCCCCCCCTCTCTCTCCCTCCTTCGCTACGGATGTATCGCTCGGCGAGGGTTATCTGTCTCGCTTCCTCCGATCGCTCCGTCCTCGTCTCTCTCGCTCGCGCGCGTGGCGCCATCTCTGTCGAGCGAGGCGCTACGACGCGGGGCGGGCCACGTGACCGCGTCCGGCGCGCCGCGATTGGTCCCCCACCACTCGGGGTTTCTACTCGCGTTTCTAATATCTGCGGCTTCGTGCACGCTCGCGCTCTCTTTCTCCCGTGGATGCCACGCGACACGTTCGTTATCGTTTTGCGGAAGGTGTAGAAGGTGCACGAGGTGCTACTTTTTCCTTCCTTTCGATCGACTCGTGTCACGGGGTGAACGTTGGATCTTTGGAAGATACGGCGTCACTCGTTTTGTTATATGTATTTGGGTTACGGTTGTAATTGATTCCGATTGTTTTTTTTTTCATTTTAAAAATAAATTATTAGTCATCTTGATTAATCGTACGAGTGGTTATTACTAAGGACGTTCGTCCAATGACGTGACCGCGACGTCAATGAAAAATATCCATATTGATTTTACAAATATTTCTGAGTTTACGCATCTAATCAATGGAAAACAGGAGCTTGCTATAGTAGTAGAAAAAAAACTGCTTGTGTGATAATTAGAGCGAGTATAAAAATATTAGAACTCGAAATGCTTAAGTATAATAAAAGTTTATAATTATATAAAGATGTTATTGATTAAGATTCACTGTTGGAAAGCATCGTGAGTGTCCTTGGAATTGTGTCGAAAGACCTCAATGAAAGTGCAGCAGCTTTTCAAGCCAGAGAAATGCAATGGGTTTCATCGAGATTCTTATGAATTCCAGAAATTATTCCAGCTATTATATGTATCTGTATTTAGCTTAAGTTTATAATTGATTCGGATTGTTTTTTTTTATTTTAAAAATAAATTATTAGTCATCTTGATTAATCAATGAAAAATATCCATATTGATTTTACAAATAATCTTGTTTAAGTTTACGCATCTAATCAATGGAAAACAGGAACTTATTATAATAGTAGAAAAAAAACTACTTGTGTGATAATTAGAGAGTATAAAAATATTAAAACTCGAAATGCTTAATTACAATAAAAGTATAATTATGTAAAGATGTTATTGATTAAGATTCACTGTTGAAAAGCATCATGTGTCCTTGGAATTGTGTCAAAAGATCTCAGTGAAAGTGCAGCAGCTTTTAAAGCCAGAGAGATGCAATTGGTTTCTTATGAATTTCAGAAATTATTTCAGCTTTATATGTATCTGTATTTAGCTTACAGTTGTAATTGATTCCAATTCTTTTTTTTTTTCATTTTAAAAATAAATTATTAGTCACCTTGATTAATCAATGAAAAATATCCATATTGATTTTACAAATAATCTTGTTTAAGTTTACGCATTTAATCAATGGAAAACAGGAACTTATTATAGTAGCAGAAAAATAGTACTTGTGTAATAATTATAGCGAGTATAAAAATATTAAAACTCGAAAATATTAAAAATATTAAAACTCGAAATCCTTCATTACGATAAAAGTTTATAATTATATTAAGATGTTATTAATTAAGATTCACTGTTGGAAAGCATCGTGAGTGTCTTTGGAACTGTGTCGAAAGACTTCAATGAAAGTGCAGCAGCTTTTAAAGCCAAAGAAATGCAATTGGTTTCATCGAGATTCTTATGAATTCCAGAAATTATTCCAGCTGCAAGGCAATCTCCACAGCCGCTTACACTGAGAATCTCGCTCGACTTTTCTGGAATATCCAAAGCAGGATACAATCGAGATGCAATTGAGGAATTTGTAATCAATTTTCCATTCTTATCGTAAAAGGGCTCATCTTGCAAACCTTTGCGTGTCACCTATAAGATAAATGATTGATAAATTTGGCGAAATATTTGGTTAATTCAGAAAATAAATTGAGAATCAAACAAACCAGTACTCCTTGTGGTCCTAAAGTAGTTATAACAATTGGAATGTATTCGAGCAATTGTTCTGCTATATTTTTCACAGCTGTCAGATCCATGTTTTCAGGAATAGAAATATTAAAGTATTTGCCTATGACTTTTAATTCGTTCCGATTGGGTGAAATGAAATGTAATACGTTCCTCCATTCTAGGCCAGCTTCAAATATTTTTGTCGCAGTTTGAATATCTGTGGGCTCGTACCAAACTGTAACAGAAAAGGGAAATTATTAAGATTATAATTGTTCAATTATTACAAATTATTTATTATAAATTATCAAAAATTGTTTATTATAAATCTCTTTTGTTTTTGCATTAAATTTTTCAACATTAACAAAAAAAAAATATGATTCCACGATGAGAAATAGAATTCAAAAAGATTTTAATTAATTTTTACTTCTCGATTAACATGAAAGAAAGTTACTTTAAAATAAAATTTTAAGATAAGAAAAGATAAGATAAGAAAAAAAAATTCAAAATTTGAAGGGGGACGATGTGGGACAGGTAACGCACTCTAGCGTTCACGCAAGAAGCTAACTTTTCCATGAAGGAGATGCGCATCTCAGGTGGATGAGTGGCAATAGCATATTCGGTGACCGCGAGAAGTTACATTTCTTTTTCTTGCGCTTATTCATTCTCTATTAAGTATCAGTGAGCGACAATCGTAAGCAATGGGGAAGACGAGGACGGGTAAAGCCGCCGCTATATGCACGGCGGTGGCATTCGTTCTGGTGGTGATTGCATTTACCACACCCAATTGGTTGGAGACTGACGGCAAACTGGATAATCCGCAATTTGTCAAGATTGGTAAGATTAGATGCAACACTTGAAATATGTGCGTACATGCATATGTATAAAAATCTATAAATAAAATAATTTATATTATTATATTTATATCAACATTCACATCAAGAAATTAGATACTCGTTATATGGAAAGAAACCAGCTCCAATAATTATTATATAAAAAAATTATAAAATTAAATAATAAAATAAATAATAATTTTTATTTTTTTCAAGATTGACATTATGAAATAGAAAATTATATAATAAAATATTATGAAATAGAAAATTATATAATAATTTTCTATTTCATAATGTCAATCTTGAAAAAAAATAAAAATTCAACTGGTAAAAATAAGATTGAGAAATTGTGCCTTTGCAGGTCTTTGGCAAGTGTGTTTCAAAGGCTTCCAGGATCCACGTCATCTCTACGACACCAGATTCTATGGCTGCTGGTGGGTCTTTGAGGAGGAATATTACATCATACATGATATACTCTTGCCTGATTTCTTTGTTGCTACGCAGTTCTTTTTTACGCTGTGCTTGACTTTATTGCTGATAGGGAGTTTTCTGACTATTTTGTACACCTGTTGCTCTCGTCATCATGACAAGTATCAGCTTCTTCTATGGGCAACAGGTGGTAATTTAACTTTAGCTGGAATATGCGGTGTTATATCAGTGATTATATTTGGCGCCAGAGGCGATGGACGAGACTGGATGCCCAATTGGGAGCACAATGACATTGGCTGGTCTTTTGCATTAGCTGTTGTGGGTAGCGTTACTCTGATAGCAGCTGGTATTCTGTTCCTAATCGAAGGTCGCAGGCACAAAAAGAAACAAGAGCGAATATTGACTGAGGAACAGAAAACACACACAACCATTTAGCACATATGTACAGACTAATATTAATTTAACACAAATAATATTTTTTTTTGCCATGTTAAATATAAATTCAAATAAAACTTTAAAGACTTATACATTAGATTATATCTGTACTTTATAACATGACATATTTTGAAGTTAAAGATATATGCATATTTTAAATTACATAGAATATATTGAGCTATTCTGATATTATTACATTAAGATTATATGTGAAATGTTATCTGTAAAAATGTGAAACGCACATATCTGAGATAATCCGTCCATTATATTTGTATCATTCTAAAAATGTTTGTAGGAACTAATTTTTATATATGTATGTACATAAGTTTAATAGATAATGTTTTATGAATAATCTCTCTTATTTGTATATTACATTTGTAGAAATTAATAATAAAACAATTTTTCCTAACCGTCTTGTTACTCGGATATTTAGAATGCATGTAATAATTCTCGAATGCGAATGAAATCAATTAAGTATGCCTCTATATGTAGTAACCTACTTTGTTTTCATGAATTCGTATTCATTGTTAATTATGAGACACAGGTCTCGCGTGCACACGATATATCCGGAAGCCGTTGGCCTGATTTAAATTCTATTTTAATCGATCGCGTTGAACTTTCCGCAGTTGATTAATCCGCGAATGCGTCATTATAAATTGTGCATGAAAATCTCATTATAACGATGAATGATGCATCCGGTTCCTTCGAGGAATCTCATTAAGTGATGATTCGTGCGAGACTGCAAATAATTTTCATGCGAGTTACAGGATGTACTTTTCATCCGACAATGAATGAATATTATATGTGCGAAAAATGAGACAAAAAAAAACTTGACAAGCGTTCAGTTAAAGGGAACAGGTCTAGAAGAAAAATAATCGCGCCTCTCCTGCAATGATTTAGATTGAGAAAATATTAAATCTTAATAAATATATATTATATAATATATTTATAATAATTTATAAATATATATTTATAATATATTTATAATATTTAATACTTTCTCAATCTAATATATATTATAAATATATATTAAATATTATAAATATAAATATATTATATATTAAATATTTATTATATATTAAATAATATAAATATAAATATATTATATATAATATATTAAATATAATATATTATATATAATAAATATATATAACAAATATATAAATTATATATAATTATATTATATATAATATATATAATAAATATAATAAACATATTACACACACACATACACACACACACATATATATATATATATATATATATTATATATCATAAATATATATTATAATATTAAATATTAGATTGAGAAACGCATCTATTCGCGGTTCGCTTACGTCCTACAGGACCAAGGTTGGAATGCGACTAAGGATTATAGAGAAACATGTAAATAAGATGTGACACATAGATGTGACACATGCACCTTGATAGACCAGGAGCGTATAAGGCCGACGTACAAGTTGTTACATCATGAATTTTCAAAAGAATCGCCGCTCAAGAACTTGTTTATGCATTCCTCAAGAATGAACGCTTTCTCTTCCCATTCTACGGCTCATTGTACCACCAAGGAAGCTTCATCTGTCTAGTGGCGGGGACAGAGTGAGAATTGTCTCTTTTTCCATTGTCACCTGTCGCAGACGATCCTGCATACGCGTACACACACGTACGATTCTTTACGTTTACGCTCTCAACTCGTGGGATATTAGCGCGTGGCTCGAGGTGAGATCTTTCAGGTTCAGCTAGGTTCGACTGCTCGCTCCGCCAATAACACAAGCTGCCTGGGTGTGGTTTATTAGTGCCGTGGGATAGCGTTTCATGAGAAGGCTACAGTCTTCATTGCGCGTCCAGTGATCGGGCGTTCCATTTGAGATTGGCGACTCCCCAAGTGACGGGAATACGTATGAACGACGACATGAAGAAGAGAAGCCTGTCCGGCAACGTCGGCGTCGGCGTGTTCCTGGTGGCGTTCGTGAGCGTGTGCGTTGCGTTCGGCACGCCCGCGTGGTTGGTCAGTGATCCCCGGATCATTGGAGCGCAGCTCGATCGACTCGGTCTCTGGATGCACTGCTTCAGGTCGTTGCCGAATCCTCAAGAGTCTGACGCGCCCCGACGATTCTTCGTTGGCTGCAGATGGGTCTACGACCCGTTTACCGCTGGCTACTCCGACATTCGTGGCTTCCTGTTGCCTCGTAAGTGCTTCCAAAGACACCATGTCATTTCTTTTAATTGCAATGTATACTTTTAATTTTCTTCGGGGAGAAACGTCTAAAAAATATTTCACAATCAAATTCACAATCAATAACCACCTGTTAATAATGTGCATAATTTGTCTTGAGCAATTTGCTGCATATCGAGCTGTCACTGAATTGGAACATGTTGATGATATAAGAATTTTTTTGTTACAGCGTTTATGATAGCCACTCAAGTCTTCTTTACGATATGCTTTCTGCTGGGTCTAATATCATTCTTCCTGATATTACTCTTCACACTGTGCTGCGATCCAGAACGAAAGAAATATATTGAGCTGATAACTACTATTGGTTTTTTGCTACTAGCCAGTGGTATCAGCGGTGGCATAGCGGTCATCATATTTGCCTGCCTTGGTAACGCAGATGGCTGGATGCCTGGACACGCTAATAATTATTTAGGATGGTCCTTTGGTCTAGGTGTCGCAGGTAGCGTACTGACATTAGTAGCGAGTGGCTTATTCCTGGTAGAGGCAAGTGTACAACGAAAAAAACGAGATTACCTGAAAGAATCTCAAACACGGTTTCAACTCGAGTCTCGCACTTAAATGAACGACATGACGATTGTTCGATAATGTGTTCATAAGAATTGCATATACTAAAACTCTATTACTAAAACTTTATCATTCCGTCCACAATGTTCAAAACTATCATAGATGAATCTCTTTTTGTAGAATGTACAAAAGCAAATTCATATCTTAATTTAATTTTAAGTTTAGAATGAGATACATAAGTTTAATATTTTTGTATATTTTATATATCTCTTTATATGTAGAATGATAGTATTGTATAATAGTGTTACCATTATATATTGTAAATATATAGGATGTTTTATATAATTCATGTTTCAAAATATAGCGGAAGAAACTTTTTAAAACTGAGTAATGTAAACAAAATTTTTATACATTTTTTTTATTCCAAATGATAATTTTTTTAAATAAAATACAATTATTTAAAATGTAATCAATCACAGATTATAATTTAAAAATTACATTCTATAAATTTATTACGTTTTATTACATTTTAAATTTTTTATTACATTTTATTACACTTTAAAAATTGTTTATCCATTCTAGTAAGTATTGCACAGTCACTTTTATCACTAAATTTTTTCCATTTATAAAGCATTCTATATATTGTTTCTATATGTATGTATATCATCATTAAACTTTACGCACAAAATGTAAGATTATCGCACATATAGACTTACATTCTCTAACGCGAAAATATCTGATGAAATTTAGACTGTTTTAATAACGAAATCAATCAGAGATATTCAAATAAATTTTATATTCCGTCCTTTGTCAAATAAAATTTTTAATTCAAAATGTTTTATTTTATACATATCCTGTATCACTTTCACTTTCATCTGTAAATCTTAAATTCAATTAAATTATATCTTGATGTGAGGCTGCAAATTTGTATATATAATTGTATATATAAAATTCTATATAAAAAAAAATATTAATAATTATATATTTTTTAAATAATTAATAAATTAATAATTATAATTAATAAATTATATAGTTATTAAATATATAATTAATAATTCACATATAATTTTGAAGCGATGTATTATATTTTACATTTGTTTAGATTATATCATCTCAATATATCATCTCAAATGTTTTATTTTATACATATTCTGTATCACTTTCACTTTCATCTGTAAATCTTAAATTCAATTAAATTATATTTCTTGATGCGAAGTTGCAAATTTGTATACATAATTGTATATATAAAATTCTATATAAAAAAATATATAATTAATAATTATATATTTTTTAAATAATGAATAAATTAATAATTATAATTAATAAATTATATGTTTATTAAATATATAATTAATAATTCACACATATAATTTTGGAGCAATGTACTATCTATATTTTACCATCTGTTTGGATTATATCATCTGAATATATCATCTCAAATGTTTTATTTTATACATATCCTGTATTACTTTTACTTTAATCTGTATATCTTAAATTAAATTATATTTCTTGATGTGAGGCTGCAAATTTGTACATATATAATTGTGTATATAAAATTCTATATAAAATTAATAATTAATAATAATAATAATTATTATTATTATTTATTATTATTATTATTTAATAATAATAATAATAATAATTATTATTATTAAAATTTATAATGTATATAAAATTCTATAACAAATATATAATTAATAATCTACACATACATATAATTTTAGAGGGATATATTATATCCTTCTAAAGCCTTCATATATTATATCCTTCTATCATCTGTTGGTAAAGTACAATAAAATCGTAGTCTAATAAGGTTGGCAGCAATGCTGCAATGCAAGGTGTGGCAAGTTTCTACATGAAAGAGAAGCACCGAAACGAAAACAATAATTTTCAATGACCAAATAATTTGAGTCGATCGACTTTACGTCAAAGTAGGCTCGCGAGCCAAGAGCCGAGAGTTCACTATGTCAGTGGATAAACAGGAATATCACAGGGCTTCCAGTAAGTAATTGATCAAGCATAGATTGTTGAAGCATCATTTCGAATATTCTAATTGCTTTTGTTTTCGTTAATAGACGCCGTTGTTTTCGGCGGAAGCATCACCTTTGTATCATTATTTCTTTTAATGATGGCTTTTATAAGGTAAATATACTATCTTTCTAAAATTAAGCAACAATTTTGCTATCTCTCAGCTTGATATAATTATTTCTTGACGTGCATGTAAGACTGCAAAGCAGTGTTATTCATTTTTCCAATAATTTCCAGCCCATATTGGATAGAGTCATACGAGGAGACGTTCAGCAATTTTAAACACATGGGACTCTGGGAGTATTGCTTCGAACAATTTCGTTATCCTTACTACCAATTTGACAAGCAATTCGACGGATGTCATCATATCTTTTCACAAGAATATTACGTCATAAGGGAATGGCTGCTGCCAGGGTGGCTCATGATTGTACAAGCATTTGTTACACTGGCTTTATTACTTTCTCTCTTTGCTTTCTTTGTGATAAGCCTGATCTGGGTACGATGGCCATTGAGATTTGTCCTGCATTATGAATGGATTCTCTCGTCTGTCGTATTCATGTGCGATGCAGTTGCCAGTAAGTGTGCTCTAACATTAAAGTTAGAAGAAAAGGATCAGATTTTAATTTGAGCGTTTTCTCGTTGCAGGCGTGCTCCTCTTTTTAGCAGTATCCATATTCGGTGGGCAATGTTGGCGTCGAGATTGGTTAATGTATCCAAATTTCAATCATTTATCGTGGTCGTATGCTTTCGCAGTCATATCATTCATGTTCCATGGATTTGCTGCGTTCTTTTTCTACCTAGATGCGCAAGCTGGTTATAAATTACGTAAAGAATCTCGCAATTTGGTAATGCAGATGCATCCAAATCCTCAATCTCATCATGGACTGCCACCACGGAGTGGATATATATAATATTAAAGCAGATATATATATATAATATTTGATAGAGAGCTTTTGCACAAAATTTTTATTGCTGTTAACAATTGAACAAGAGCACAAGATGTGTTTCTTAAAAAAACTTTTATATATTTAAGTGTAACTTCAATCCAGCCAATTATATTTTTACCCAATATTTTTAGATAGACTTTAAAAATTCGGTAAAAAATACGTGATGGGATTCTCATTCTTTTCATACTAATTGCGTTTTTTCAAACTAATTCGCTCTTGTGCGAGTAATATCCGTCCATTGTTATACTCGCATATCAGATAAATTTTTTTATCTTTTTATCTTTTTAATTTTTATTATCTTTTTATATACACATATATATATATATATATATATATATATATATTTTATATAAATAATACTTCTGTACAAACAAGTTGGAATTATGTATAATACTCTTATAGATATGTAAGATACTAAATAAAGAAAATATTCGTCTTCGTAGAACAGAGGTAAATTATTATACAGAAATTTTCACTCACCTGGAACGTTTGCTTGCGAGGCGATGTCGAGCACGCAACGGAGGGTATCCAATCCGGGATTTCCATCGAGAACGATAAGACTAGCTTCTTCGAGGTACGACTGATATTCTTTTATCAACTTCGGGGTGATCGCGGTAAAGGATTCCACTTCGCTGATACAGAATTGACATTCACCGTTGACGTCCACTATCACTGTGAATCTGTAACATAATGAACCTGTTAGACAATTCTTATTGCCCATCAAACGAGTAGCAAGATTATAAATTCATACCTGGCGGTGTTCACGTCTGACATTTGTTTCACAATTTTTCCACCAGTTCCTAAACTTTCAAGAATGACCTTTCCATACTCGTCATTGCCAACGACGGATATCAATTGCGTGTTCTCCAAACCAAGCTTGATTAGGGCATCGGCAACATTTCGAGCAACTCCGCCGCAACTACGTCTGTTTTGTCCGACATATGTTCTGCCATCGTACTGAAAGCAATCAATCTCTTCAAGATCTTTTAGAATTAACATAGACTCGACTAGAAATTAATTTTCCCTGGAGTTATATTTTTGTAGAAGAAATGATGAAAATACACAGAGAAAAATGTACACTGTATTCAAGTAAATATTATTTATTTTAAGTATATCATAAGTTTGTATATCCGCAAATATATCATAAGTTCATCACAAGCATTAAATTTAATTAAATATATTTTGAATTTTAGTAACTGCAGTATATTTTAGTCAAGAATATTAAATTAAAAGAAAAATTTGGTTTGTTTACCACATAAAGTAAGTTTGATTTTTCTTTGATACAACTTTACAATATTCTTGAAGAGAAAATAAATTCTTTTTTCGAGTATGATAATGAGATTTTCCAATACTTGTGATGAGTATATTTTAAGACTATCATCAAGAATATATTCTTTGTTGAAGAAAATTATTACTTAAGAAAAGAAAAATAAACTGAGTAATCGTTTTTCTTGACAGTAGAATGATATTTTTCTCTGTGTAGCAAAACAATATTATTTTTGAAGAGAGCATCTCTCTTTTTTTTTTTTGAAAAAAAAAAACAGCTGAAAACAAAAAATGCTTTGATGCGCTAGCACTTTTCTGATTTGTAATAATTTAATTACATATCGGAGATTCATTTCGGTACGTGATTGAGAGCAGGTACTTGAATCAAACAATACAAGAACCCTCTCTGTGGTAGCTAAACTATGTTTGCTTTTCCGCTCTCTTCACCCCGTTCCTCTACAGTCTATAACTGATGCATATGTATTTTCTCCCCCCCTCTCTCTCTCTCTCTGTTCTTTTCGCAGTTCTATCACGTCCGGTAGTAATATACAGCCAGACATTTGTATCTCTCCACCTCTTCTACCTCAACTCTATTTCTATATTCAACGCTGTAGTTGAAGATGTGCGCACCCCTCGCGAACAAGTCTCATCGATCAAACATGCTATATTCCTCACAGATGATCCCATTTCCATTCTACGAATAAGCGGGTTTCATTGACTCCTACAAAATAAACAAAATAATAACATAGAATAAGAATTTACTTCGCGCATTGAGAAAGAACCAAAGTGCAACTCACTTGTTCTAGGCGATTCATCATCCGCCCTTGCGGACTCTCCCTTCGTGTCTTCCCTCCATCAATCCACTTCTCAAGCGACGGCGCCTTCCCGAGTCTCGTGCCATCATTCGTCGCCTCTCCGGTTGCCTATCTCGGGCGCTGTCCTCGACAATCTTCCGGTTCGCATATCCTCGGCGCCGCGTTGACCAGATAGATAGGAGAAGATGGAGAGACCATACGATATAGATAGCTAGCTAAGTAGCTAGGTAGGTGGCTAGATAGGTAGGTAGATAGATAAGTAGATAGATAAATAGATAGATAGATACAGAAAGAGAGGGAGAGAAGAGTCGCGTGCGTCCTCCTGTAACGCATAATATTGTCTCATGCGCCGGACGAGAAGCGTCGAGGCATCGTAGCCGCGGCGTCGCGACGCTCAAGCTCTCGACTCTGCGTGATTCGTGGCAGTGAGTGTCAGCGCATCTACGAAGCTCCACGAGCGACATGCGCTACGGCTGGCGGCGGCCTTGTCAAGTGTCGACTGCGATCAGGAGGTGATCGGAACAAAGGGGACCCCATCAACGCCGGCGAAGAGATCAAAGACGAAGACACCGTCCAGGAAGACGTCGTCGAGCTGCTGGTGAAGGGTGTACCAGGCGACGCATGACGAGGAAAAGAGGGTGACTGGCATGAACGACGTGGACGACGTTGCCGAGGACTCTCGCGGCGATGCCCGTGGAAGCAGGGCTACGGGCTACACGAAAACGAAGACGACGACGACGACGATTACGTTCCTCGTGTACGCCCCGACCGCTGTACGGTCGGCCCGACTGACGACACCCGGTTGTAACGATTCGCCTACGCAGCGATTTGCGTGTACGTAGGTGCCGATCATCGATGTGCGAAGCTGCGTCGTAAAACGAGCAGTCCGAGGTCGGATGAGACGCGAGGATTTAAGATTTGGATTTTTTTCCAGTGTTTTATGCCGAGTGAGTACACGTAGGTGAAGTCAAATTGACGAGTTCTCGGATGGAAAGACTTCTTCGTGAAGAAAAGGACTTCCTCTCTGATAGCAGGAATCTCCTCTGAAGAACGGATTTTTTTTCCAGGCAGAAATCTCTGCCTAGAAGATCAGAAAGACACTGAGCTACTCTCGGAGAGGCTCTCCTCTTCAACATCGTGCGTGTTTCGCCTCGAGGAATCTTATGCAGAGGTATCTAAGGGATCGAATAGACCGGGAGGGTTAACATTCGTTCAGTCTTCCCTCGTTGTGTCATCGCAAGTTGAACTTCTGATGAAGAGATCGCGATTGTTTCAGCTCTGCGTTGAAAGCTTGAGGCACCGGGAGTGCATCTCTCGAGGAGAGTGATCCAAAGTATGCTCGCGTTCAGGGATGCGCGCATCCAGCGGTTCGATTATGCGATTAGCAAGGCTGAAGGACGAATCCGAGTGACGGCGTAGCCGATGGACGCGGCGAAAATAGGACAGAGCGTTTGCTAGCTACGATAAATTCCTTCGGGAAGGTCGGGAGGAAGATTGCATAACGTCACATTCCCTCCCTACGTCCATTACCACCTTCTAGCCCTCTCTCGTTCCTCGCCCTCCACCTACCCCCTTATCTTATACATGTGTATGTGTGTTTGTGTGCGCGCGTGCGTTTCTTCTCGTCGTCCTTTTTCTCTCTTTTCGCGCCTCCTCTTCTTCGGGAATATGTCCCTCGTATCGATATCTAATTAAAGGCTATCGGATAATCTTTTTTTATCACACTCCGTCCGTCCGTCCACCACCCATATCTGTAGAAGGCGGTGCGGTAGGTTCGTTCAGGCCTCGCTCCGGCATCCGGCATCGAGAAAGGATTGCACGCGATGCCGCGTGCGACATCGATCTGCGCGTGACTCTTCTCCTTTTTTTTTTCCTCCGCAAAATTATGTAAAATAAGCAGTATTGGACGCCGGCCAGGACGTTGACTGTTTGTCTGACACTGGGATCGTTTCTTCGATTAACGAAAGAAGGTAATGCGCTCTCGATCTCTCTCTCTCTCTCTTGCTCTCTCTCTCATTCTCTTGGTCTCTCGTTTTTTTATATATATATGTATATATACATATATGTTCCTCGTTCGTAGTCGTGTAGCGGTGTAGAGCGCGCGCAGGGTTTGAACGATCGATGGGCCCTTACCGCTCTCTCGCTCTTCCGTGTTTTCATTACAATGCGTCACTAGCATATACTCGTGGTAGCGGCCTGCATGCAACGCGAGTGCCGATGCATGCACTGAGAAAAATCGTTTGATTGTACCAACAAGACGTATATGATTGAAGGCATTTTGGTTAAATCAAACAAGAATTTCTAGTTATGATAAGACTCGATTTCTTATAACTAGAAACGTTTAATAACGTTTAATAAATTTTCTGGTTGGATCTATAAAATTTCTTGTTACATTAATTTCTTTGCTTGTCACTCTTAACTTAACTCGTATTCAATATTTGCATTAAATGTATATAAAGAACTAGTATTAACGTTAAATACAAAGTATATTTTTTTTCTCTTACGAGCAGTAGTGCCAGAAAGAAGACGCTAGCTCTCTGATTGTGTGTGTTTGAGCTGCATTTTCTTCTTGCATCATTGTTTATCAGTTTAATTTCTAACAAACTGAATTTAAAATAATTTATTCAATAATCTGGATTGAATTTATCCAATAATCTTGTTGGAATTCAGAATATTAAACAGATTTTTGTGATTAGATGGAAAAAATTTTAGACGACTTGGTGCCGGCGAGTTTAGTATTATTAATCAAAAAATTTGGTAAATTTAACAGGAAGAAATTAATCAGATTCATCTGATAATTCCTACAAGAATTCTGGTTCGTCCATTTTCCAACAGACATACTGGTTAAAACTATCAGAATTCTAATTAATGCCACCAGATTTTTTCTCAGTGCACTGTTTATCAGTTTAATTTCTAACAAACTGAATTTAAAATAATTTATTCAATAATCTGGATTGAATTTATTCAATAATCTTGTTGGAATTTAGAATATTAAACAGATTTTTGTGATTAGATGGAAAAAATTTTAGACGACTTGATGCTGATGAGTTTAATATTATTAATCAGAAAATTTGGTAAATTTAACAGGAAGAAATTAATCAGATTCATTTGGTAATTCCTACAAGAATTCTGGTTCGTCCATTTTCCAACAGACATACTGGTTGAATCTACCAGAATTCTAATTAATGCAACCAGATTTTTTTCTCAGTGTGGAAACGAGAGCACGCTTTGGCGCATCGCTTTGGCAAAATAGAGTTCTTCTATCGTTGTGGTACGATTCTGATGAAGAGATCTCGAGGCAAGAACATCTTTACATCGAGATCGTTTCTAAAATCTTATTTCCTAAATTTACATGTTTGAAAACAGTAGTCTCCTTTGCTTTCTATTTCGTATATTTTCATTGTCTTTTGTATATTTTCGTCTTGTCGTGGCAAATTGTGCTTCTCTCGAAGTATTTTCGTCTATTATTGTATATCTTTCTTCGCAACTATCGAATATATCTTTCTCGATTCTTCATACACTCACTCAGGCGTATATCCTCTCTCTATCTCGCACGATTTATCTCTGTCTCTCCTCGAAGAAGCTACATAGAGCTAGGTGGCGGAAAATCGATAAATAGAATCGCCTATCGCACGCTACAACTGTCAGAAAGAAATACAATCCGCTGAGGTACACGCTAGCTTTCTCCCACTTCTGGCTTCGACTCGAATGCACGCACGTTGAACGTTGAATTCCTTCTTAAGCGAAGGGAGGGGGAAGTCTGTCCTCTGCATCCAGAGGATCTAGGATCAAAAATCAAACATTTAAAAATTGTACAATCATTCGATTATCGAATGATATAGAGATAGACCTGACAATACTTATTCGAAAAAATCTCCACTTCTCTCACATGTTTCTTATATGTTCTGTATATCCGCAGGAAGAACATCCACGGTTACCGGAAGACGTCCAAGACGGTGCTCAACGTGCACGATAATTTCAAGTGCGCGTGACACGAGGGGAACCATGAGTGCTACCAGGAACGACCTTCCGGTGCGGCGATGCAGTACGACGTGCATCGCGTGATTCGCGCCGATTTCAAGTAGAGGATCGGCCTCCTCCTCCACCTCCTCCTCTTCTTCCTAACGTCGTAAGTACCGCGGCGGCGGCCACCACTTACGGTGCAACGCGCTGGCCCGTCTCTCCCACTCGACCCTCCACATTCGCGGGGGTATCAATCCTTACGACGAGGACACGCACACCAGGGTGGCACGATAGTATGACGGTGATGCTGCTGCAACGTTCAGTCACCCCGCAGTCGACGCACAGCCAAAAGACAGCGACGAAGGACTGCAGCGCGAAGCCGCCCTTTCTCTTTCTGTTGGACGATCGTGAGGAGCATCGCCACTCGACCGACACCAACACCACGACTACTACAAATAACAACAATAACAATAACAATAATAACAATAATAACATCAACAATAATAACGTCTTCAAGAGGGGCGCCCGGAGGAGCAGTAGCCACGATTGCGTCGCCGACGAGGCGCCGTCGTCGGTGACGTCCCAACGACTCGCCGGCGGTGGTCAGGACGTCGCGATGCGATATTACCGTCTCTGGATCTACGCCTGTAACCTGGTGTTGCTCGGTAGCGCGGTCGGCTTCGCCGCCGCGGTGTCGCAGACCCTCTTATTCACCGGCGATCCACGTCGCCACGTGGTGCCGGGTGTACCTCGCGTCTACGACCCCACCGCGCTTTACGGTTATTTGGCATTGGCGGCACAATTAGGCCTGGTGCAACTGCTCGGCTGCATCGCCGCCAGGCGACTCAGCGCCCGGCTGCTTCATTTCTACTGGATACTGTTGCTGGTACTGCTGTTCGGCGACGCTGTGGTTGGCGTCGCCTGGATATTCCGCTTCGAGAAGATGCGCACCGAGCTCAGGCCCACGCTCAAGCTACGTTTACAGGTGCGAACATCTTCTCAGATTCTATCCTGGCTCTCGTTGTAAGAATATTGGATTTATTAGAAACGAAAAATTCAACATTTTTGTCTAGACTATTGAATATTCCAATGTTTTTATCACATACAACTTTTCCATACATTTGTATTTGATAAGAGAGATTCGTGAAGGATGATGATTGTAAATTATATAATTAAGTCCACTTTTCTTGTGGAAACATAAATATAAATTCAATTATAATTAATTGATTTGTATATTATTCATTTATTAATAATAGTAGATAACTTGGAAGCTTTCAATTTTATATTTAATCGAGCGAGAAAATAATGATTGCGAGAAAAAAATTTATATTAATATATTTATTATAAGAATTTTTCGCTTCTTAATACGAGAGATAATTTGTGGGCCTCAAGTCCTCGCCTCCGATCGATTAATGGGTTCGTGCTTGAATATGATGACTCTCGTTGGTATTTGCAGGTAGACTACGGGAAGGAAACACGATTCAGCGACCAGTGGGACCGACTTCAGCGAGAATTTGCGTGCTGCGGGGTAACCGGGCCTAAAGACTTCCCAAACAACCGCTGGCCACAAACTTGTTGCGGGCCGAGTGTGAACGCGAGTGATCTCTGCCAGAATCCGCACGGACGCGGCTGCGAGGAAACGCTCGTACGTTGGCTCAGAAAAACAGCGGATCTGCTGTTCGTCCTGGGTTTTTGCGTGATCGCCTTTGCTAAGCTCTGCTTCCTCGGAATATTACGCTATGAGATACGGGAGATGATACAGAAGATACGTTTGTTAAGGGAACCACCACCTCCGGCTACGCCATTCGGGCAACCGCCCTTCTGCCAAGTGCTGCCGGAAACCGCCAATAACGGCAGCATCGTCAGACGCACAACTCTGCCTAACGCGATGACGCCTTCCGGTAAGATTCAGTTTAAAGATGTTTTGTACCTATTTTCAAAATATTGAGAATTTAATGAAAATTGTACAGAATGTCCTTACATATGTTTAGAATCTTCAGTACAATTTTTAAATTGATTCACAAAAGCGTTTTCACAAGTTAGAAGGATTTTAATTTTCACCGAATTAACATGTGTTCTTATGGGAAACGTATAACCATGTCGATTCAAATGACAAAAGCATGGAAATAATACTCAGAATTTGTTTAAAATTTGCAAAAGTTTAGATGCAGAGGAAATATTTGGTCAAATATTATTATACAAGTACTAACTGATTAAAAAGATATTAAATATAATTCAATCAAGTTAGCCATATATCTGTCACAAGACGAAATGCTCTGCCAAAAGTTAATCATTTTGATTAACAAAATTCAGAATATTTCAGTAAAAACGCAATAAATATTAAAAAATATATCTCTGCACTGTAGCTAAGATCAAATTGCAATATTCCACACAATTTCTTACTCAAAATGCACCAAAAGTGGATATATTTGCCAATATTGATTTTCAGCTACTTTTTGCTGGAATTGTACATACAAAACATCCTTAACGTAATTCTCACCTGTAAAAATCCTATAGGATCACAGAGTCGCCTGACATCAACGATTCAGATGCCAAAAGTTCATTATCTAGATTCTAGTTCTTAGCTATTAGCCAAGTTATTGAAATAGAGTTCTTATCCGATGACATTCCACTAATAGATGTCTGCTCGGATATGTATAGATTAAAAAATCCGCTTCGAATACTTAGATATCCTAGTAGCCACTGTTATCTATAACAGAACAGAGGCAGAAAATTAATGACAATCTTAATCAGTATAAGTGTGTACTTGGCAGAGACAGTAGCTTTTCGTGCCAAGCATATATATCTAACGAAAGAAGAAGAGAAAAAGAAAAAGACATGAATGAAAGATACTACAGACTACGCAGTCTATTTCTCTAATTTGGGAAATAAACATCGTCTCGTTTCTAGGCAATGCGTCCCTATTGCTGCAATCGGACGAGTGCAATACCGGCCGGCATCCATTGTTGGCGAACAATCTGCAAGACGGCGGCGCTGACAGTGACACCAATAGCCATTGCGCGCTAATACTCGAAGAATCGACACCTACTTCGGCCAACAATCACAACAATTGCACAGCCGGTCGTGAGAAAAGCAACGGCAACAACAATTACGAAATGCGTGAGTTTAATCGCAGATTGCTGTTATCGAACGGGGCCAGTCCGGGCACAGGCGTAACGGTAACGAATAGTCAGAGTAAGCGTACCTGACTATGGAGATGGTGGCGAAACACCTCGAATCGTTTCCTGTACAGGAGCAATCGGCGGCATGCCGACATACCGCTATACAAATAGAACGACAACGTATACACATACTCTCTCAGGCGTTTTAGTTTCTTTCGAAAAGGTAAAGTACACAGCGAGCTACTGGCTGGCGCGAATCCAACAGACGGTGGAGGAAACGCTGTCGTCATCGTTGATCGTGTCGATGAAATCGGCAAGAGTGAAAGGGTTTGACAACCCACTGCATAACTTGTCTCTTATAGCGTGTCCCCTTTTACCTTCAAGTCTGCCGATTCGTGCACTGAGAAAAAAATTTGATTGCATTAATTAGAATTCTGGTAGATTCAACCAGTATGTCTGTTGGAAAATGGACGAACCAGAATTCTTGCAGGAATTATCAGATGAATCTGATTAATTTCTTCCTGTTAAATTTATCAAATTTTCTGGTTAATAATATTAAACTCACCAGCACCAAGTCGTCTAAACTTTGTTCCATCTAATCTCAAAAGTCTGTTTAATATTCTAAAACCAACAAGATTATTGGATAAATTAAATTCAGATTATTGGATAAATTAAATTCAGATTATTGAATAAATTATTTTAAATTCAATTTGTTAGAAATTAAACTGATAAACAGTGCACTGAGAAAAAATCTGGTTGCATTAATTAGAATTCTAGTAGTTTTAACCAGTATGTCTGTTGGAAAATGGACGAACCAGAATTCTTGTAGGAATTATCAGATGAATTTGATTAATTTCTTCCTGTTAAATTTACCAAATTTTCTGATTAATAATACTAAACTCACCAGCACCAAGTCGTCTAAAATTTTTTCCATCTAATCTCAAAAGTCTGTTTAATATTCTGAAACCAACAAGATTATTGGATAAATTCAATCCAAATTATTGAATAAATTATTTTAAATTCAGTTTGTTAGAAATTAAACTGATAAACAGTGACACAAGAAGAGGATGCAGCACAAATACACACAATCAGAGAGCTATCGTCCTCTTTCTAGCATTACTGCTCGTAAGAAAAAAAAATATACTTTGGATTTAACGAGAAATTTTATTAAACGTTTTAGTTATAAAAAATCGAGTCTTATCATGATAACTAGAAATTCTTGTTTGATTTAACTAAAATGCCTTCAATCATACACGTTTTGTTGGTACAATCAAACGATTTTTCTCAGTGTGATAGTGTATACTTAACATGGTAACACTAAGAAAGACTATGACGACAGATGTTGGCGTTGAACGCTGAAACACATGAGAGACCAAGAGCATTCACGAATCGATATCACGGTGGAATTATATACACATTAACGAAAGACCAAATCAAAACGTATATACAGTAATAAGAGTATCTCCGTTTTGTAAGGAAACTCGCGAAGGGAAGTTTGAGTTTGAAGTTTTCGCGTAAAAATGAAACTCGGTCGATTTTATGCCAATTTTATGCCATCGGAAAGAACAAGGCTGATTCGGAACGTCGTTGCCCTATGATTCCTTAAATAGTGCGGCTCACGAGCAACTCATCCCGCTTAAAGGATAGTCGAAAAATAGTTCTATTTACGTATGCTAATTTTGTCATCGTCGATGTCGAGAGTTATAAAGGGTAGGTATATATTAATTTTAAATGATCGTTAGAAATTACTTTCTTTAGTCTTCTGACTTTTATACTCTTTTTTTTTCCCCTATAAGCTTTCGCTATGTTTGTGTGCGTCGACATTACGTCGCGAGTTGCTTATCAACTGCCCTGAACTCTCTTCGCAAGTGTATACCTTATACATATATGCATGTCCTTCCGTCCTCGCGGTCGGTGTAACTACTTTGGTAGATTTATTTTTAGTTGTAAGACTTTCTTATGCTTCCCATCCGAGTAAGGCATCATCGATCGTGTCATCAATGTGCCGGATATCGTTCATCGTGTTGTTTCTCATGCGAAAATTAAGTCATACGAATCATGCTGGTAGTATATCACACAGAGAGTAACTATATATTATGGCATACGAGGCTCTTGAGGCACCGGATTTCCATTTCGATTATCTTCGGGATGACAACTCTGCGAGTGAATTAAAAATTCTGAGTTAGTAATCGGATATCTCCTATAAATTTTGATCCTATCTAGAATATTAATGCGTTATCTTCATAGAAGGATACAATTACATTTTCTTTCTTTCTATTCTTTTTCTCTTTCTACGTCGCCAAGATACACTGTAAAAAATTTTTGTGTAAATTTACAACTATTATAGTGGGTAATATTGAGACCAACTATTAAAGGTGTATATTTACATACATTAGTAAATTTACATTTCATAGATAAAATTATTATCTTAAATGGTAAACATCAATAACTAAGCATCAATAAGAAAGCATCTTGTACTAATAAATTTACATGTTAGAAGTAGATTTCTAGAAATGTTTATGTAATAATACATTTTGTATATGTATTTATACAATTTCACATATTAAATTTAATTTAAAATTACATACATAATTAGTGTAACAATTATGCTATTTATAACGGAAATATATAAATTCATGTACTTTTACAAAAATTAGTTATTTTACTCTTTATTGTGTAAATATTCGTTTATTAGTGTAATTATAGGTGTAATTTATAAGTGTAATTTTTAAATTTTATATAAATGTTACAAAAAATTGTACATTTACATAAAATCCAAAAATTACACGTTTAACCTTGTATTTGTAATTTCTCATCAAATATAAACGAATATTTACACAATAAAGAGTAAAAAAACCAATTTTGGTAAATGTACATGAATTTATATATTTCCGTTATAAATAGCGTAATTGCGTAATAGCGTAATTTTACATACTTTTTTTACAGTGTATCTAAAAGATCTCTGTCTTGCTTTTCTAGATATTTTTGAATATTTTTCGAATTCGTGATGGCTTTATTATATTCAATTAAAATCGATGTCCAAAAAACAGAGAAATTAGTCAATTAAAAAAACTTTCAATTCAAGACTTGTCAACAGCTTTCGTTGTTCGAAAAGAAACTTGGGATTACACTTTTTTTTACGCGTACGTTTCTCTTTAATAACACAACCTGTATGTCTGTCTAGACAAGGTAACTGCGCTTCTCGGGAACGTTGCCGCCTGATGAATTATTGAATCACACGACTATATTCATAAAACTCTATAATGATTCTTAGATCCTTGAGGATAATTATGATAGTTACGAGAGAATATTGTGAGATACTGCCAAATTGATTCTCCTCCCCTATTCTCCGATAAAACGAATATACATCTATTTGGATGAACCTTAAACAAAGAAAGTTTGTTTACTTCCTTCGTTAATAATAGAACAAAAAGCGTAAAAGAAAACAAGAGAGAGAGAGAGAGAGAGAGAGAGGGAGATAGAGAAAGAGAAATATTTCCAATATCCGATAAATAATAGGCGACAATTAAACAATTCCTATAACAATTGCTTTTACATATATACATCTAAAAAATACGCGTCACGCAAGTAGCTTGTACTGATTTGTTCCTTGCAATTGAATCGCCATTATTGGGCTAAAGTAAACGTAGAGCGCAGATATTATTTCACTTTCATCCTTCGAATTTTTTTTTTTCACACGCTTCATCAGGATGCCTGTTTTATCTCAATAATGGTGATCCATTTTATAAACAATAAAGACATAGGGTAAACTCGAAATAATTGGCTTCCTAGTTAGGCTTAAAGGAATCTTAGGGTTATACATTTAATGGGGATGCAATGATAAGAGATACACATAGAGAGAAAGAGATAGAGTAGATAGGTTGTATATATATCGACATATAATATAGATAATACTACGTGTCGATCGTCTGCTTAAGGAAAAACCGAGACATTATCTGTTAACTGTTCGAAGCCATGCGCGTCTCTGTCATGCTACTGAACGGGACACTTTATGTTCATCTATCTGTCGCAGTTGGATTTATGTGCATCGTGAAATCTGCTGTTCCACACATCTCCAAGTATAATTACACTAGTCTGGACAACAGGGTAATTATTAATCTCGAAGATTGCCTGAAAATTAGGCCGCTATTAGCATGTGAAATATTGCGTGTTGTCGCGATAAGATATAGAGTCGATTCCATCGATCCCTTTCCAAAGTTTACCAACAATGCGTAAGTCCGATCATTCTTTCTTAATCAGACCATCGAGTTATCGTTGAATGTAATAAGCTAATAATAACGTCAAAAAGCTTACACCTCGCAGACACACAGCCTCTGCCACTAAATGTATATAAAGATGTTATATACAAGAGATAGATTAATCGTTTTTTAATTAATTAGTCGAATAAAAAGATACGTTTGAAAAAAAAATGTACGAAACTTATATCACATTTTGAAATATTTAAATTCGCTTCGGTTCTCATGTTAATGTATCATCTACTATAAAAAAAAAAGAAAAAAAAAGAGCGAGAAATTTTAGGTGGTTATATTTTATTCTGGCGATATATCTTCATATTATACAACCACACTGCAAGAAAGACTTCAAAGTTCAAAAACGAACGTAGTGATTTGTAAAACGGATTGATATCTAATGTAATATACAAATTGAAGAAAAGTGAACGCGACAGGGAGCTTTGAATAGTGCCTGCTTAAGATCCAATTTATTATATCTTAAACTAGGTATCGAATAATTAGTCATTTATGGCATTGCACGTTAGATCGATGGATCAATCAATAAGAAACGAGTTTAATGGAAATTTCATTAAAAATAGATACGAGTAAAAATTTACAAACATCCTGCGTGTCATCTTTTTTAATACTGAATGATGCTGTTCTCCTCCAGATCTGCATTATTATAATAAAACATGTATGTAGTTTCGATTTGAAGATACGTTTGTATAAAGGTCACTCAACCACACACAGCTTTTTGACGAATCGATCCGTTTCTATTTGCGCGTGTAATGCCACAAATGAAACATTTCATAGAGTGACTGTAGCGCGATATCGGAAGTATGCATATTTAAAAGCTTTGATTACTTTAATATTGTATAAAGATGACGAAATATGACGCGAAACAAAGTATATCTGTGAAGAAGACTGTGTTAGTGAAGAAAGGACAAACACTAAATAATTACATGTAGTGTTACAATCGAGCTCAATAGCGCGTTTACGTTTGGTGAATCTCTCATAATATCGTATATCAACAAGCTTGCGTCTGTATTTAATTAAGTCATAGAGATATGCCGCTAATTATTGCAACGGCCGTATCTCATAGGTTTGCTATTCTATAAAACGTTTGTTAATATACACCGTATTCCTCCCCTCTATTCTACATATAAATACGCGAGAGTTCCCATTATTTGATATTATTAAGTGTACATAAAAAGAAAAAAAAAAAGAATATGGTGGTAATTGTATATAAATACTGTTACTGTTCTATAACTATATTATGTAATACGAATATAAGAAAAATTGGTTATTTAGTATAATTTGGATTGTGACGTTTTTGACTTACGTTTATTTTCTCCTTCACTTGCACAATAGTATCCAAGACAGCCCCGCCAATTACTATCTGAAATAAGACGTTTCAGTATATATTTCAAGTAACGTTATCAATAGAGATAGTGGAATGCTATATTTAACACTATGTTTAGCCTTGAATACGATATGTCTTGATAAGGTACATTGGTAGATATTTTTCAACATTGGGTGTTTTAAATTTCCTTTAGAAAATTTTATTTTCTTTCCAAACTTACCGGTTTTCGCTTCGATATTATCGATCCTTGCACGCAGGATATCCGAGATTTTTCGCAGAGATTCAAAGCAATCTCAGCCGCGACTTTGGCGTTATTTTCTATAAGAGCTATATCTGCAAAATTATTGAAAAAATAAATATTTTAAATGAGTATAAGAATAATATTTTACCATATTGCAATCTGTTAGTTTATGTTTACTCACTTGCTTCAAGGGATTGACCACATGTAATCTTGTTGAGTTCATTCAAAAGGAATGGCGTAACTTGCTTGCCCGTCACATGCATGACAGTGGCTTTTTCTAAAGCTTCAGATATAGCACAATCTACAATATCAGGTTTTAAGGTGTATTTTTCGGGAATCGATACTGCAAATAATATCCCTGTATTAATGCCCAATGTCCTTTGCGTCTTCATAATATCAGCTGCTTTCTTAGCATTGGAAACTTTATACGGTGCTTTTATTTTATCCAATGTCTCAGAACAATAAAAAGCTGGAAATTCTGGCGTTTCGCCAATTTTTATCACTGGTACCCCTTGAGTTTCCTACGAGCATAAAAACTACATTTCTATGTCAATTTCTGGAAATAAAGTAAATGAATACATATTAATAAGCATTATATAGAAAGAAACGCATTTTCATATACCTACCAAATATTCCAAGGTTTTGCCAATGTCTAAGATAGATTTAACACCAGAACAGACAACTGCTACCGGTGTACGTCCAAATTCTGTCAAATCTGTACTAATGTCGTAAGTCATCTCAGCTCCTCTATGAACTCCACCGACACCACCTGTTGCCATTATTGGAATATTTGCTGCATGCGCAATCAACATTGTGGCACTGACTGTTGTACCACCATTTAATCCATGTGATACAATGAAACAGATATCTCTGCGTGAACACTTCACGGTCTTTGCAGGGTCTGCTTTAGATAGGATCTCCAATTGTTCGTTGTTTAAGCCTACATGCACCTTTCCACCTACGATTCCTATTGTTGCAGGTACAGCACCCTGAAAAAAAATTTGCCAGCACTGTTACTTGGATTACTTTTGACAGTTTTGCATCAGTTTATGTAACTCGTAATCTAATATTAGATAATACATAAACAAATCTCTCATTAAATTTTTAAAAAATTATGGATATTTTGTATTTCTTGGATGAAATAATCAAATAAAATTGTAATTCAAAATTCTGGGATCTTATAAAGGATCTTATAAAAGATAAGTAAAGTAATAAATAACACAATAACATGATATAATCATATATATTTTTGAATTACTTTTCACAGTCGCATCAGTTTATATAATTCTAATCTAATATTAGATAATTCCATAAACAAATCTCTCATCAAATTTTTAAAAAATTATGGATTTTATATTTCTTGGATGAAATAATCAAATAAAATTATAATTCAAAAAAGTGAAAATTTTGGAACAGAATCTCATAAAGAATAAGTGAAATAATAAATAACACAATAACATGATATAATCATGTATATTTTTGGATTACTTTTCACAGTCGCATCAGTTTGTATAATTCTAATCTAATATTAGATAATTCCTTAAACAAACCTCTCATCAAATTTTTAAAAAATTATGGATTTTATATTTCTTGGATGAAATAAACAAATAAAATTGTAATTCAAAAAAGTCAAAATTCTGGGACAGGATCTCCTAAAGAATAAGTGAAGTAATAAATAACATGACATAATCATGTATATTTTGGCAAATAAAAAAAGTAACTTCTAATGCGTGACAAAATGTATAGAATTAATTTAAATGACAAAGATGCTTGCTGCTAACATCAAATGCACGAAAAAGGACACATAATTATAGATATTAATAAATTTTCATATTTTGGATATTTATGGCTGGATCAGATCGAAAAAAAAAAAAAAAATATTCGAAAGCTGTACGAACTTGCTTTCTGACCGCGTCCTCGACTTTTAGCGCGGTGTTCAAATTATCAGGATACGGCATGCCATGCGTGATGATCGTCGATTCCAGGGCCACGATCGGCAATCCATTTTTCCGGGCTGTCACGATCTCGGATCCGTAAACGAGCGAATCCTGGCTGATCGATCTCCGATGAATCGGCGGGTTGGATCTCCTCCATAATTTTGCCGCGAGATTGTTCAAACGAACACGATGCATGTCGAGGACATGCGCGAACGACACGTAAATTACTTGTACTATTTACTCCTGTCGGTCGTTTACCGAGAGATTTTCCTCTTTCCGGAGATAAACAGATAAACAACCGATAGCTGAATAATTTTTATTTGGACCTTCTAGAGATAAACAGTATCGTCGATAGAGCACAAGTGCTGATAATAATATTAGAACACTTAGAACGATAGCTTATTTCATTATTGGGCTGTATTCGATAATATCACGTTAAATTTTCATTTTTAGTCAATAAGGATCCCGACATTCCCGAATCGATATCGATTTTCTTGAATAACAACACCGACCACAAGACAGCAGTTGAGCCACTAAGCCGAATTTAGCCACAGATGACGTATAAGCTAGATGGCGACACGATGTGTTGACATTTGACACATGAAGTTGTGCACAATAATTAAAGCAGCGGGAACAGAATATATGAGTAGTATTAATAAGAGCAGTCAATTGATCTCTTCGATATTTATAATGTTCGATTATATTTATTATATTTAAATTATTTAAATTATTTAATTTATATATATATATATATATATATATATATATATAATTATATTATTTATATATATATATATATATATATATATAATTATATTATTTATATATATTTAATTTATATATAATTTAATTATATTTATTTATTTATATTATTATATTATTATATTTATTTATATTATTTATTTATATTATATATTTATTTAATATATTAATATATTAATATATATATTTATTTATTTATTTACACTAGATTTATGTGTTTTAAACTAGCGCCATATGATCCACTTTATCGATTGATTCACAACTATGGCCAGTATTCATAGTCCGAACTTATATTTAAGATTGTCTTAAGTCTGGTCCGAGGTTGACTGAAGACCTCATTCAACCAATGAAATAGCTGCATAGCGTTTCAAGCTCGAACTTAAGACGATCTCAAATATAAGATCGGACTATGAATACCGGCCTATATTTGATTCTCATAGTCCATGCTCGAAATTGAATCACAGCGCCTCAACGCAATTGCAAGTTAAGAAATTCAGTCGTTTTTCATGCGCGATTATTTGCAATTATTTAATTTGTAGTGTTTAAATATTTAGAATACAGATTTAATCATAATTAAAACCTCGAATGAGTGTCGAAGAAATAGAATCAATTCTTCAAAAATAAGGTATAAATCTTACATATATGATATACTTTTATTTCTTCATATTACTTATATTTCTATATTTATACTTTTATTTTAATACCATTTTGTTTCTATTAAAAAATTCCCTGTCTTTTCTTTTTATTCTTCTTATTATTAGACATAATTTTATTATACTATATCATTTATTACGTGTGTTAAATTATATAAGATATCAGGACAACCTCTTCCCAAGAAAAACTTGTAGCTTATCTCGAGAGCTTTTCAAAACACTATAATAAAGTATTTTTTCATTGAGAACTTTTCGAATTATGATGCTTGAAATAATTTCTATATAATTTTATATAATTCTAATAATTTTTATATAAACCATAAAATATATAGTAAAATTTTAATTTTTCGATTATCTTACTTTAATACTTTTATGTACAAAATATGATATATAATGACAGGAATCAATTGGTGTAAAGAAAACACATAATTGTTTCGAAAAAAAAAATATAATTATTAATTGCAAATTACTATATTTTTTCTTCGAAACAATTATGTGTTTTTTTTATACCAGTTGATTCCTCTCATTATTTTGTACATAAAAATATTAAGGTAAGATAATGGAAAAATGAATATTTTACTAGATATTTTATGGTAAAATTAAGAGATTATTTTTCTTGAGGTAAGCTACAAGAGTTTTTTTTTGGGAAGAGATTGCCCTGTATATGTAATAAACAATTATAATTCTAAATAGTATAAATATATGTTCTTTTATTAATAAAGTTGTTCTTTTATTATTAAAAAAATATTGATGAAAATAAACATATTTATAAATATTTGTTTATTTACAGAAATAAATCTATTGATAATGATGATGATGACTATATACCAGTTGCTTCCTTAAGCAAATGCAGCTTAGAGAAAGTTAAAAATAATAGATTATAATGACAGAGTATAACTAATAATGAAAGCGAAGAAGAATATTATACATTTAACAATTTGCACAATTCTAATGTAGATTGTATAATCGTTACATCAATACATTTTTTATGTGCACACCCTATAAGACACAATATTCCAATATCATTAATTGTTAATAATATTTATACACTATTCTAGAAATATTGTGTGCTTACAAGATGCGCAAATTCAAGACTTATTTAGCTTATTTGGATTTGAAAGATAAGCAACATATATTCTACCATATAAATAAAACACGTTTTTTTCTCTACTGTTTCAGTTAAAAATTATCCAAATAGAGTGCAAAAATAAATTAAAATTTTTTCATACAACAATTGTTCCTGTGAATCAAATTTCATCATCATTTCGTCAATAGATTTGTCGGCTAAGCTTTCTAAATTTCTTTCTTCTATTAGTTCTTACTTAATCCTTGGGACAGCGAGTAGCTAAGGTGATTGCCTGTTGAATGGTGGATCTCGGGAACAAATCGGTTGCCCTAATATTCCGCCTTTATAATGAAAGATCTTTTACTCTAATACTATTACGTCAGTTGTATTGTCCACGCATTGATCCACGCAATGTTGGATCGGGATAACGCGAAACATAGTGAGATAATGTGGATCCTAATCTTTATCAGACTCTACATTATCCCCACATTCGTTATTTCATCCAATTCAACATTATATGAATCAATGCTGGATGACATACAACTGATCTGTAGACCACAAATTATTTTTTTTAGATCTTATAATAATATTGTTTACGTAAAATTATTACATTCAACCAATTATACAACAAATGATATATAATAACAACAATTTTCTTGAGCTTTAGTTTTTAAAAAGCTTTACGTGTTAAAATATTTGTTTATATTTGGATTCGATTATTTTTATGCCTAATTATTTCTCCTTTTAATCAGCAAATTTTTCTTCAAGTGTATGCTTTTTTTTTCTAGATACAATTGCGAAAACTTTCAGAATTAATATAAGCGTATATTTGGCATAGATTATTATCACGAAAATAAACGCAATTAATTTTGACAGGTAATATAAATAAAAAATAAAGAATATAAATAAATAAAAAATAAATAAATTATAAATTGTACTCACTCCAACAGTTACTCCATCGGACACTCTCCCAGGAATTTTCTTCTCTCTTCTTCATAATATTAACATAATAACACTTATTTACGAAAATTTATAATTATTATATTAATTTACATCTACGTGATTAGAATACAATAATTAATATAACGTCAGTTATACGCGCATTTTTCAACATTGCGATGAAAGAATAAGAGAACAAAAGTACAATAGTTATTTTTAAAACAAAACTGCGATTTACTCGATCTCCTTCATGTGTCTCAAATTAATGCAAAAATAAATAAATAAATTTTAAACAGGAACAATCGAATTAATTGACTAGTTAAAACGCGACAAGCTGTTTGAAAATATATAATCGAAACTCGTTATAAGCATGATATATTAATAATGCATGATACATATAAAATCGAAACTCGTTATAAGCATGACACATTAATAATGCATAAACTTATACCGCAAAATAATGATACAGAAAAGATTTATAATACGTAGATTTATAACATAATTTAATTGTGTTTTGAGAAACGTGATGAGACGACATGCTCGCTCGAGTACCACGGTGCGAATGACAAGGTCACGACGCTTGTAAATAATGGCACGGGACATTGAGATGAGTATTATACTTTTTATGGACCATTCATTGACATCACGAAATATTTAACGCGTTAGAAAATAAATTTTGTCTTATTTTTAATTGTTCGATTCGTGTATTATAAAGTGCTCCCGATTCGAGAATGATAAATTTAAATGATATCGAAATTGATAAAGTTCGAAATTACGATACAAAGTTCGAAGTTATAAAGCCTAATTTAAGCATCGTGAAGAAATAATTATCACCCGTAATATGTGGCAATGAGACGATATATTATGTAATTTTTATCTCTTGCCATTTCGATCTCGGAATTTATCGCCCAAAAAATATTTATTTCGAGCGTTCATCTAAATGAGTGATGATTTGCGCACTTATTCATTTCGAATTGTAATCGAAGCAATAAATAGAATGGCAATTATAAAATATTGTTATTAAATTCATTATATTTAATTATAATTTAAGTTAATAATTATATTTAATTATATTTAATTATATTTAAGTTAATAATTAGTTTTTAAAAGTGAATAAAACTATATACAAATAAAGATTACGAGATAATATAATAGTATACGAATTAAAATTACGATATATACAAGCTAATATACGAAAAATATTAATTACATAATTTTAATATAAATATCTATTTTTCGATAAGCATAAACGATCAGCCCGATTTATAATAACTCAAATCTCGATCATTCAATTTTGATAACCAATCAAAGATACTATTTGTCATGAATTTGATTATTTGGTAGGCAAGGTGAAATAAAGAAATGAAAGAAAAATAGGAATCTCTTCGTGGAATAGACGTATCACTTTTTAGAAGGTTCGAAAAACATAATGACAATGTGGTCCATTTAATGTCCATTCAACGCTCGTAATATCATTTCATCCATTATTGATTAAAAATTAAATAAGGACAAATGATATTCGCGAGCGAAGTGGAACGTACCCAATATTTAGTTTAAAGTAAAAATATGCCGCTTTTCAAATAGAATTGAATGTCACACAATGTGTTTGTTTTCTACGATATATATACCGCGTTTGTTTATAAATGACGTTGATTACGAAAAAAACTAACAATAAGAAAGAAAAAGACAAGCGCGTGACGCGTGACTGTTATTCTCGTCGTGACGTTCGAACAAGTATGACCTATTATTACTTCTCGAAACTCAATATAATACAATTTTCCTGCATCAATAATACGTATATTTCGCAGGATTTACGCGTTGTATTCTATTTATAATAACAAGTTTCAATATTCATTATACTTAAATAGTTAATTAATTCGATTTGTCTCTGCCATATAAAATTTATCCCTTGCCTTATGATATTTCGCGGATATCAAGTAGATACAGCTGTTCAAAAAATAACAATTGTATTTTTCTTATCTTTCTTTCTTAGAATCATTGACATATTTAGACATATATAGACATATTATTAATATGTTTATAATTATTATTAATATGTCTATGATTAGAATGTTGTAAAATACGCATTATGTACGACTAATAAATAATTATATATTTTCGCGAATGATTTATGTTAATAAAGAAAAATATAAGAAAGAGAATTTCCGAGGGACCATTGGACAGAGCAATTATTAAGAACATAATTTAATTAATTTAATATTTTTAATTTATATCTTTTTTATTCTTTAATTTATTATTTATCTAACCCAGTCAAAATTAATTGTTCTTATTTACGCGATGATAATTTATGTTAAATATACATTCAAATTAAATCTGGAAGTTTTTGAAATTATTGTATTCAAAAAAATTGTACGTATGTAAAGAAAATTTGCCGATTAAAAATAGAGAAATAGATATATCGAGGCTTATAGAAATAACTATGAATCCACACATATAAAAGTTATTTTTTTTGTCTCAGCATCGTAAAATACGCATCGCATCGCTGACTAAGTCGTGCAAAATAATCATCATATGAGGAAACAAGGAAGAAGAAAGTGGATGAGTACAATTTATAATTTATTTAATTTCTTATTTGTATGCATGTGTTGATCTCGTAAAATTAATCGTGTTCTGAGAGAGTAAATGATTCTACATGTGCGCAAAATAAAAAATATTTATTGGTTAATGAGAAAGAATTTTAACAAACGCATTTTACAATCACTTAGCAATATATAAATATTATCATTATATTAATAAAAAACAATATTAGGTATTATTAATATATATTAATAAATATCTCTCTTGCGAGAGTTCTGCTTGTTAATAAAATTCATTATTCATGTATTGCAATGTTCCTATCAAGTTGACGTCAATTTTGGGGAATCATAGAGATTATATATGTCGATATAGAGAATGTATCAAAATTCGTGGATATAAAATGCCCAGCGTGATAGTTTGGGCCAAAAGAAACAATTTTTATTTTTGACAAAATTGCGTCTGAATATTACTTTTTTAATGAGAGCAACTTTAAGCTAACAAATAAGCGTTTTAGATTAAAATAAATCAGGGGCTGCGCGCACACAGCTTGCGCAGTTCGAGCATAAATGCTATTTTATTATTTTTTAATATTTTTATTATTTTTTAATTTTAATTTTATTATTTTTGTTAAAGGTTTTACCAGTTGCTAAAGGTTTTACCAGTTTTATCTATGCATGATAACTAAATATCTATTAAATATCTATTAAATATCTATTTTCAAAACAATTTACTAAATGAAAGAACATTTTTCACTTGATATCCCCCAAGCAATGACGGAAAGTAGATTAGATAACATATGAATAATTTTGATCCACACATATTAGATTTAGAAAAACAGTTCCATTGTGCAATCGTCACATCAGAAATGATTCAACTATACAAGAAAATCTTATCCGCAGAGCGAATATATGTTTACAAATGAAAAGCTTGCATATCGAACATATGCTTTCAAACATTTATTGATCCATTTTAAAGCAAAAAAATTCTTAGAACGTTGAAACAATAATTTTGAATCAAAATTATTCACATCTGATCTATCTTATTTTACTTTCAGTCATTGCTTCGGTATCAAATGGATATCAAATGTTTTTTCATTAAGTAAATGTTGTTTTGAAAATAGCTATTTAATAGATATTTAATAAATATTTAGTTATCATGCATAGTTTTAGTAAAATCTTCAGCAAGATAATAAAATAGCGTATATGCTCAAACGTTACATTCCCCTGATTTATGCGTAATCTAAAGTGCTTATTCATTAGCTTAAAATTGCTCTTATTAAAAAAATAATATTTAGAGTATTTAGCAATTTTGCCAAAAGAAAAAGTTGTTTCTTTTAGCACGAACTGTGCATCCATGAATTCTGGTACACCCCTGTATATTTCTTAACACGATTTTCTCTGTGTATGTAATTATAACAAACGATTTTCTCTGTGTATGTAATTATAACAAATGATCAATTTTCGGAATTTTTGATATAGCGCAGGAAACGAACAATCACAAAATTGCAGTTTGTTTTTAATTTTTATTATCTCCCTTCAAATTATCGATTATTTATATTGACGATATTATGTGCATTAAGTTCGTATTGGCTTTGCGAGATTACAAGATTATCGGAGGTCAATTCTAATCTTTCTGTGACTGACAAAAAAGAATGCATCACGCGTCCTATATAAGATAGAATTTCGCCCGACAATGTTTCGACAGTGGAGTCAAAAGACGGAAAACTGCAGCAGGTTGTGGATAGTTTTAGTTTAAAAGTGTGTACGATAAAAAAATGTCTCCGATCAAAGGAACACTTTCTCATATACAGAATAACAATCAGTATACGTTTAGTAGTTCGATCAAAGATTCATCGAATTCTGCGAAAGATATTCAACCGAATCTCACTGTTTATCAAGACGAAAAAAGGTATTGTCTTTTTTTTTAAATAAGTAAACTTAAATAAATGTAAATAAATTTAAATGTCAGATAATAAGACGCAAATGAAGAATTTAAATACAAAAATGAATTTAGGAAAAACAGAAAATTTAAATTAATAAAAAATTTTAATTCAAATAAAATTTTAAAAAAATGTTTTCTTCTATGCATGATACGAATATAAATTAGATAATTACATGAATAGTAAGCTATTATATCGAAACAAAATTTAGTATTAAAATAGAATAAATTAGAAAGAAAGTAGAAAAAATTTAAGCCATAATAAATAAAATATAATAAATAAATAAATGTAAATATAGAGAATTGATTATAATATATATGTTTTAGAGACAAATATGAATTAGCTGCTTATGGTTACGGTAAGAATAATGTCAAGTTGTTGTATGTGCGTCGAAACGATGAATTACATCACGAAATTCGCGAATACGAGGTAGACACGCACTTGCGTCTGGTTTCTCAGAAGGATTACATGGAGGGTGACAACCACGACATCATCGCCACAGACAGTCAGAAGAACACAGTCTATCTTATGGCAAAAAAACACGGTATTCAATCGCCTGAGGAATTCGCTCTCCTGCTTTGCTCTCACTTTCTCTACACATATAAACATGTAGCGGAAGTCAGCATCAACGTCGAGGAGTATCCGTGGACCAGACATTACGTTGACAAAGTACCTCACAATCACGCCTTCGTCATGAGCCCCATCGCGACCCGATACTGCCAAGTCAGCCAGCTTAGAAATGGTATAAATAAACATATAAAAATATAATTATAAAATAACATAATTGAAATGTAATAATCAAAAAAATAATTGAATAATAAAAAATAAATAATAATAATTGAATAATAAAAATAATAAAAAACGTAATTAAAATGTAATAATCATCGTGTGGCGAATGAATTCTTGTGTCATTTAGTTTATATCTCGATGAGATTGAAAAATTAAAATGAGAAAAAATATAATTATGAAATGATAATATTTTATATTATCGATAATTATGAAATTAAGAGTAAAGAATTAAAACATCACAAAATTAAAAATTTAAATTAAAAAAATTAAATTGTTGATTTTCCAATTAACTCACTTCTAGAATCTCCACAAATTCGCGGTGGACTGAAGGGACTGCGACTGTTGAAGACCACACAGAGTTCATTCACGGATTTCATTCAGGACGAGTATAGGACGTTACCGGACATGAACGATCGTATTTTCAGTACTATCGTAATGGCTACCTGGGACTTTTCCACCGCGACTGGGGTGGATTTCGATAATGTATGGTACACGGTAAAGGATTGTATTATGGAGAATTTTGCGGGTCCTCCTGAGACAGGAATTTATTCGCCCAGTGTGCAAAATACGCTTTATCTCACGGAAAAGAGTATACTTGACAAAGTTAAACAAGTAAGTATGATTGTTAAATAACAATTTATTATTTTATCGTAATTATTCATCTAATATATTTTGAATATGTGAGTTTATTTTGAAAGTGACCTAAGTCCATTTATATTTAAATTGAGATATTTAAGAGTTTGCGTTTCAATAAAATTAAAAATAATAAAAAAATAATAATAATAAAAAATAATTGACAAATGGACTTAGGCCACTTTCAAAATAAACGGCTCATATATCGAATTATTTCTTATTTTACTTTAATATACATTATATATACTACACAAAAATAAAATCTTTACAGATTAGTAGCGTCGAGATGCAAATGCCGAACAAGCATTACTTCGATTTAGATTTCAGCAAATTCTCCAAACTTGTACAAGCGGAAAACAAAGAAGTTTACTTACCAGTGGATAAACCATCGGGTATTATTTACGCTCGATTAAGCAGAAAAAGTTTTTCTGCTAGATTATAGACACGTATAATATAAACTTTAAGTTCTATAAGTAACAGATACGAATTAACGAATATTTATGTAATACACTGTCTCTGAACCTCTCAAGAGTAAATTGTAGGTATTGCTGCTTATTACCTTTATTTCGTATTATCTGGCTTTTAGAAAAGATGAAATACAATACACTTTTTAGAGACATACTTTTGAGAGGTTCCAGTGTAATATTTAAAAATTAAAAATTCCAAAGAATTTTTCTCAATTACGTATCTTAAAGTTTATTCTTTTTAGACGAACTGCACTAGTTCAGAGTTTATCTCTTTTATTCTATATTGGATGGAAAAAGATAAACTCTGAACTATAGTGCAGCCAGCTAAAAAATAAAAACAGATCTTATGAGATATCGATCGACAAAAAACGCTCAAATTACGAGAGAACATTTTTATTCGAAACAGAATTATCTTCGGGACGGATTGTGAGAAAAATTTTACGTTAAAAATTTAAATAAAAATAAAAATTGTCATAGACATAGACGAATATGTTCCCGTTGGCTGTAGATTTATACGATGTACCTCCGGCATGGTGGGAAACGGATTGCGTGAAATATGGGTAGGTTTCTTCATCGGTTTTCGAGTAACCTCAATTAATCGAAGCGGCTTATCAACGCAGGCTCAGTTATACCCCTGTAAGATCACGATTAACGACGCTGATGGGAAGTTATGTGGTGCGATTAACGGATCGTAAATACATGATGCAACTGGCGTCGAAGCTGCAAGAAGATTACGAAACGCAACAAAAGATTCGCATCGAACGAAGAAAATTGAAGGTCATTTCGATCATACCGAAACTGCGTGAATTACCGCCTGAATTATTGCTGAAAAAGATAACCCGGCGACATCAATGCGCGCCAAAGTATCACGCTGAGGCGGTTAAAAAGTGTAAACAGCTTCCAGGACTTTTACTCGGGGATGATTCGCAATCGCCATAAATCCTAAGCATATAATAATTTACTTTTATTTTTAACTCTTATGATTGACATGTAATCTACTACAAATATGTAAAAATACAAAAAGCGCAGATACTCTACGAGATATCTACACTTATAATAAATAAGAGGTCATTATAAGATTTATACACATCAGATAAGCGTTTAGATTAATTAATTAATCTAAAGTTAAAGAAACTTTGTCGTGGCGTTCAATATCGATTTGAATCGTTAGCGGAAATGTATTTCGTGGCTATTCTAAGTCATCGCTTTTGCCAGCTGTCGTTGTTGCCATCTCCTCAGCAAATAAAACATGTATTGGTTGGGCACTTGCAGCACTAATCCCTGACCATTGCGATCGATTGTATCTTGTGTATCATCCGATGCTGCGAAGAAGATTGATAATTTTGATTTACACAAGAGATTTTCCCTCTTCTTTTTTTTAATTTTTTAAATGAACGAACATGGCAATTAACTTTTGTTATCGTGAAATATTATCTGAACTCACTTGAACTGTCTGTGTCGAATAATTGTAGAAGATCCGACATGATTGTCGAAGGTTGAGGTAAATATTTATAATCCGGCCATCCCAACGACATAGTGTCGCTAAAAAATAATCGCTAGGATAAATCGTCGATCAATCGCGTTAGTGTTAACTTAATATAAATAGAGCTAAAAATTTAACAGTGAGAAATTGCAGATTCTTTCACTATTCAATCTCATTAAAAGCAATGAAGTGATGAAGAACCTGAATTATTACTTTCTCTAATATGCTACATATATGCTACATTAAGTTTTTGCTTGAAGATGATTGATTTCTCGTTGAATGCGATCGCGACGAGAAACGAGTTTAATCTTTTTATTTGATATTAATAGAATGTGAACATACTCATAGAATTTGTCGAGATCTCGTTTAGCTGGAATCTTCGGCCATAACATAGCGTAAGGTAGCGGATAATAATGCATATGATAATGCTGTATGTTAGACTTAGGCGGCAGCTTTTTTGTCTTCAGTGATTCAATAAACTGTTGCAAAGCCTTTCTTGAACTAAAATATGAGAGAACATATACAAATATAATTGAAGGTTTAAAAGCGAGAATTCTAAACAAATTTCGTAAAGTCAAAATTAAATTTTAATTTTTTCAAATCTCAAAATTAAATGCACTATTTTTTTAATATGGAGATTCTTCGGTTCATTTCAATTTGATCTTTCTTTACAAAAATGCTAAGATTTTGACTTGTATGTAATCGAAAATAAAGTATCTTTTGAAAACTAAGCTTTGAAATAAAAATGTTAAAAATGATTTTTCAGTTATTTTACAGTTAATTTTACATAAATCTTATTTCCTAAAACTTTAATTAAATAATTGATAGTATGTATTTTAAAAAGATAGCGAATCAAATTTTTTTCTCACGATTAGCTAATAAATTTATAATTGCTTGAAGAGTTTTTTTATATAAAAGAAAGTATAATTTATATATATAAATTATATATAAATTATATATATAATAATTATATATTTATATTAATATATATAATTATTATATATATAATTTATATATATACATATATATATATTATTTAGATACATTTATTTCTATCGAGCGCTTTAATAATCTTGCGAGAAGAAAGTACAACGTATGGTCACACTCACTATTCGAAAAAAAATTCCTCCGAAGGTCCAGCCAGTAGCATGATGAGCAATATCAACTGCAAATCACCATAATGATTAATTCTTATATTTTCATTCTGTTTTCTCTATATTTTTATATACTTGATGGCGCATGTATAACAGCAATTGTCAACAATTCCGTGTCACATGTTAATGTATGCCGATTAAAAAATATGTCGAATTTCATTCATGTTACACTAATGAAGATTATTTATATCAGCGAGTCATAAAACACAGTCGAATCGAATCAAATATTAATTATAGCGATAATTAATATAGTGATTTCGCGCCTGCTTTATTCCACTCATGATAAAACCCAAATTTACGCGAGATTCGCACGCGATGTTACCCCCGTAGAGTTTTTATATCCGATATTAAAGATATGTACTCGGACATTTACTTGCAATATCGGCCACGCCTTCATATTGTTGTATTAACTCGTCGCACTGATCGGGGATGTTCGTCTGCTGTGCGATACGTATACGACAAACTGAGAATTTCGATGAAACTAGATCGCTTTATAGCCGCGCTCTTACCCTCTTTCTCCTCGCGTTCTCATGCTTTTCATTTTTTCCCTTGGACGTTGGTTCATCAGCTGCAGATCGTTAAAGTGGCTTTTTTTTGAGAAGGTATCGTTGTCGTAATCATGTTTTTTCATGGTTATTAACAACTCTGATCTGTGTATTATGTATGATGCAAAAGTAATATAATTAATAAATTAATACCTTGTCAGTACAAAAATATAATTAATACATTGTATTAATAAATTATATAAATTATATAAATTATAAAATAATACATTGTCAGTACAAAGTTTGTTAGAAAGTAGGAAGTAAAATATAAAAGATACTTTTATTTTTAACTCCCTTTTATATTATTTCTTTTATCATTCATCCACAGGAAAAAAATAAGTGTCAAATCAAAACTTATATACTTAAATGCGTTCATTGTTTCGTATATACGCAACAATTTATAGTTTTCTTAGAAGAATTTAAATTTCAACAATATTATTTAATAATTAAAATAATTAAAATTTAATAATTTAAATTTCAACAATATTATTTAATTCTACTTTAAGAAAATTATATTCTTTGATTTAAAAATGATATTTTCTATCCAACATTGTTTCTTTTCCATTCGAGAAAATTAAATTTTAAATCGTAAGAATATATTTTTCTCGATTGAACTTCATAAAATGGCTTCATTCAAGTAAGCAATTATATTTTTCTTTAATTAAAGCGATATAATCTCATTTCAAGATTTCCATGTCAAAACTAAATATATTTTCAAAACAAGAATGTCTTTTTTTCTGGGCAGATTTTAAAATATTTTTCTCCAAAATAAGAGAAAATATCAAGATTCGTCTGCAAAATTCTTTTTCCTCTTTTTTGAATTGTTTAAAATTCCTTTCGATTCACACGTCTGAATTATTTTTGCATTCGTCTATAGATTCTTTCATCAGCTTTCTCTTTTTATGGCAGGATAAAGTTAAAAAGTCAGTGAAAAAAGCAAGAAATTATAAAAAAAATTTGCATATAATAGAGCAATAAATGCACCATTTTACTCCTGCTTTCAAACGAATTATACCGAGAGAAAAATATTTTACGACTATTTAACCTTTCTAATGAACTGAGAATCCTTTGTGTCTTGTTTAATACAATGCTTCATGAATGTGTATAATGTGTTACAGGTGACGCTCAGATTGGACATGTGGAACCTGCAAAAGCATTTCAGCTCATGAATAATATATCCCTCGTAATATCGGCAAAATGCGATTTTACTTTTCTCTATGCATGACAGTAAGAATAACACGAGAATCGCCGATAGCTCGACTAACTGGAAATCGACTTACTCGCGCACAGGATGTTCCACATGCGATTTTAATCGTGAGGACTAACAATTATACCTTGCGGGCACCTTTCACATTTGTGCATAAAACGGAAGATGAAGAAAGGTGAAACTAACATTATTGGATGATTAGCTTCGGTGCAACAGGTTGGTGATCACTTCTCGTTGATTCTTTCAAATTTCTTATCTGTTTTAAAGCGCAGAAATCAAACTTTGTTCGAAAAAGAAGTGATGTGGCAGAATATATCACATAAATTAAAAAACTTCAACTATTTTCTCTTTTGAACAAAGAAAGATCTCCTCTTATATCGAGTTGATATATCGTTTGACATAAAAAGTTTAAAGTGAAAATTCTATTGAAAAAAGAAACAATTTAAATATTGATAAAAATTTTGTCTCGATTCCAATTGATCATTTTATTAGATGGAAATTTGTTCGAGTATTATAATTTTCTTAGGTCCCAATTATGTAATTATCTCGCTCTTATTTTCATATTTAATTTTAACTTCTTCTAGACTAAGAATCGACAATATAATTCATTAGCATAATTTTGTTTTTCGAAAAAAATGTCATAAAAAGATCCATGTCGTTAACGAGACAGGTAACAATTCACGTTCGATTGATCGATCAGTAGATCTTTCGAATCCTGTTCGAAAAACGCGATTATTCAAGAAGTCAACAACAGGTTGGCAAATTGTTCTAATTAGTTTCGCCAGGATGTCAAAGTCGTCCTACTAGCATGATAATCTCTGAACCAAGAAAATGCGAGGAAAGACTTTCGCGAACGCGACCTGTCTTTCCTTCCTCCTTTACGCATGCAGCGACAATGATGACGACGATGACAACAATGACCGAAATCAGCAGTTTCTATTTCGTGCTCGCTTACGTGAAAGGCACGAGATGGATTGAATCGAACGACGTGTCATTATGGTTGAACGCGAAATAACGGTCTGTTTCCTCAACAAGAGAATGACACGAATAATAGTTATTTCCTTGAAATGTAATTATCGTCATTTTATCGCCCAATGATGAATGAAATGGAAATCTTTCCACAGAAAAGACTTTAAAATCAACAATTGTTGTTGTGGATGTTTTGTACCTATTTTCAAAATATTGAGAATTTAATGAAAATTGTACAGAATGTCCTTACATATGTTTAGAATCTTTCGTACAATTTTTAAATCGATTCACTAAAGCGTTCACATGTTATAAGGATTTTAATTTGCACCGAATTAACACGTGCTCTTATGGGAAACGTCGATTCAAATGACAAAAACACATGGAAATAATATTCAGAATTTGTTTAAAATTTGCAAAAGTTTAGATACGGAGGAAATATTTGATCAAATAATATTATACAAGTACTAACTGGTTAAAAAGATATTAAATTTAATCAATCAAGTTAGTCATGTATCTGTCACAAGGCGAAATTCTCTGTCAAAAATTAATCATTTCGATTAAGGATATTTAGTATTTATTTTTAAAATATTGAGAATTTAATGAGAATTGTATAGAATGTCCTTACATATGTTTAGAATCTTCAATACAATTTTTAAATCGATTCACTAAAGCGTTCACAAGTTACAAGGATTTTAATTTGCATCGAATTAACACGTGTTCTTATGGGAAACGTATAAACATGTCGAAAGATGTTCAAATGACAAAAACATGGAAGTAATATTCAGAATTTGTTTAAAATTTGCAAAAGTTTAGATACAGAGGAAATATTTGGTCAAATAATATTATACGAGTATTAACTGGTTAAAAAGATATTAAATATAATTCAATCAAGTTAGCTATGTATCTGTCACAAGGCGAAATTCTCTGCCAAAAGTTAATCATTTCGATTAACAAAATTCGAAATATTTCAGTAAAAACGCAATATAAATATTAAAAAATACATCTCTGCACTGTAGCTAAGATCAAATTATAATATTCCACACAATTTCTTACTCAAAATACACCAAAAGTGTATATATTCGCCAATATTGATTTTCAGCTACTTTTTGCTGGGATTGTACATACAAAACATCCTTAAAAAGATTACTTTTGTTTGCACGAAGGATGACTGATATCATCTTGCGAGAAGGATAAAGTTGAAATTTTCTGTACAATAGCCCTCTTAAAGAGGGAAAATTGAAGGAAGTGGAATACTACTGAAGGGAAAAAAGAAACACGATAATTTTAGATAGATCAATGAAAGTATCTTTATTGAATTTAATTTTTTTTTAAACTCTCACGAATCCCCCCCTGCCCTCGATCAATCGTCGCGACTGATGAGAGCAACCCCTCCAGCACCGGGGAGAGAACTTTCCCTACGAGAGAAAGTAGTGTCAAAGTTACAGTCGGAAAATTGTCGTAGTAAACCGGTTCTCTAGTTTATAGCGATTTTTCAATCGATGCATTGCCATCGTTCTCATCGATATGTATGATATGTAGTGCTTTATGCCTCTTTTTGCGGAAACAAAATGACTGCAAGTTGTACATACACACAACGCGATTGTGCGATTTCTCTCGCACGCGATTACTATCATAGAGAAATAAGTATGATTAGTAGCAGACAGGGAAAAAGATTGATTCAAGTAGAACGTACAAGTCAAATAGAACTCAAATTTGCAACAAATTTGCATCTGATAAAGTGATTAATTCAGACAAATGTTTCTTATCAATATTTGAATTGTTTTTCTTAATAGAATTTTCCACTTTAATGATAAAATCGAAAAATGCTAAATTACATATGTATGGCTGTTGAATGATGTCAACCTAAATAAGGGTAATATATTTTTTGCATTTAAAAAATAGCACGCATAACATTAGCATCTTATTTTATTAACTTCTCTCTTTTAATAAAATATAAATATTCTGAAAAATTGGGAAATTACTTTTTTGAATGAATTAGACCCAATTACACCAACAAATTATTTTAGTTTTAAACGAAACTTAAATATATGTCTGTCTTTATTTATTTAGAAAGAAAGATAAAGGTAGACATATATTTAAGTCTTGCTTAAAGCTAAAGTAACGTTGATGCAACCGGGACTTATGTATGTAATTGTTAACTTGTTTTTTCTTGAATTATCTTTGCTCGGTAAAGAAAATTTCACAAATCAGTAGATAAATATTTCTGATCATTGGATGGTCATAGAAACATTGACATTATCGATTTAATATAATATTCTTAAACAACATTATTCTCAACGTGTTTAACAATTAATTTTACAATTAATAAAAAGATATCGGACAAAAATGAAATGACATTTTATCGGTAAAGAACTCTGGCATCCCCTTAAATGGATCTCAGAATCATTCCAAAATTTCATTTTTGATATAATAAATACTTGAGAATTTTGCGAGCGACACAGAATTCGATCGTTACTATCTCATCTTATTCTCTTAATTTAAGGATGTTTTGTATGTACAATCTCAGCAAAAAGTAGCTGAAAATCAATATTGGCGAATATATCCACTTTTGGTGTATTTTGAGTAAGAAATTGTGTGGAATATTGAAATTTGATCTTAGCTACAGTGCAGAGATGTATTTTTGAATATTTATTGCGTTTTAACTGAAATATTCTGAATTTTGTTAATCGAAATGATTAACTTTTGGCGAAGAAAAAAGAATTTCGCCTTGTGACAGATACATGGCTAACTTGATTGAATTATATTTAATATCTTTTTAACCAGTTAGTACTTGTATAATATTATTTGACCAAATATTTCCTCTGTAACTAAACTTTTGCAAATTTTAAACAAATTCTAAATATTACTTCCATGTGTTTTTGTCATTTGAATCGACGTGATTATACGTTTCCAAATTTTAAACAAATTCTAAATATTACTTCCATGTGTTTTTGTCATTTGAATCGACGTGATTATACATGGCTAACTTGATTGAATTATATTTAATATCTTTTTAACCAGTTAGTACTTGTATAATATTATTTGACCAAATATTTCCTCTGTAACTAAACTTTTGCAAATTTTAAACAAATTCTAAATATTACTTCCATGTGTTTTTGTCATTTGAATCGACGTGATTATACGTCTCCCATAAGAACAGATGTTAATTCGGTGCAAATTAAAATCCTTATAACTTGTGAACGCTTTAGTGAATCGATTTAAAAATTGTACCGAAGATTCTAAACATTCTTAAAGACATTCTGTACAATTTTCATTAAATTCTCAATATTTTGAAAATAGGTACAAAACATCCTTAATCGAAATGATTAACTTTTGGTAGAGAATTTCGTCTTGTGACATATACATGACTAACCCTAGCGAAAATGAATATTCGGAGCGTAAACCGAATATTCATTTTCGCTAGGGAACTTGATTGAATTATATTTAATATCTTTTCAACCAGTTATCACTTGTATAATATTATTTGATCAAATATTTCTTCTGTATCTAAACTATTTTGCAAATTTTAAATTCTAAATATTTTAATTTTAAATTCTAAATATTACTTCCATGTGTTTTTGTCATTTGAATCGACGTGATTATACGTTTCCCAAGAACAGAGATGTATTTTTTAATATTTATTACGTTTTTACTGAAATATTCTGAATTTTATTAATCGAAATAATTAATTTTTGACAGAGAATTTCGTCTTGTGACAGATACATGGCTAACTTGATTGAATTATATTTATTATGTTTTTAACCAGTTAGTACTCGTATAATATTATTTGACCAAATATTTCCTCTGTATCTAAACTTTTGCAAATTTTAAACAAATTCTAAATATTACTTCCATGTGTTTTTGTCATTTGAATCGACGTGATTATACGTTTCCCCTAAGAACACATGTTAATTCGGCACAAATTAAAATCCTTATAATTTGAATTCTTTAATGAATCGGGTGAATAATTTAAAAATTGTACCGAAAATTCTAAATATACGTAAGGACATTCTGTACAATTTTCATGAAGTTCTCAATATATTTATTTTACATATATTTTGAAAATATCTACAAAACATCCTTAAAAGTAAAATTCAAATATATCATCTGAACTTTGACAGGACACCGCATGGTACACGCTCCCGTTTCCATCGGACGCCGCGTGGCCGCGCCACGAGTCTCCCTCTCGCGCCGCCAGGCGGCGCTGGGGAACGAGGACGCCCGAGGGACGGCAAGATGGCGAGCAGGAACGAACAAGTCGCGTGCTAAGGGAACGAGGACGCGCGAGCGATAAACTTTCCGGGGGGGGGAAACCCCGATAAAGCGGCTGGATCCACAGGAGGACCGTCGACTGTCTCATCTCGTTATCCTCTCTCGAGAATCCCGCGAGTGTTCACGCGTGCATTATTTCGTGCATTCCGCTTCCCGCGCCTCGTCGCCCGGTTTCCGGTCAATCCTTCTCTCCCTCAGCGTCCATCGGCTTCGGGATCAGAATCAGGCGCGCGCCGCGCCGGTATCGGGACGATGTGAGCGTATATACACACGCGAAGTTAAACAGCGCGAGCGCGGGGAGGGGAGAGGCGGTGGCGGAAGAGAGGGAGGGCGCGGAGGAGGAGGAGAAGGGGGGGCGCTCGAGCTCGGCGAACGGAACGGCCGGCGACAGCGGATGCTCCGTCCTCTCTCGGCTCCGAAGAGGCCGGCCCGATCGACGTCTAAAGATGCGGCGACGAATCTTCCCCGTCAGCAGCTCGACGACGACGACGACGACGAGGAAGTCGAAGAAAACGACGAATCGACGACGGCGAGCCACGGCCGCCGCGCTCCTCTGCCAGTGAAGCAACTATATACACACCATACACATACATATATACATATATACACGCGCGACCCAAGCACACACGCGCCGTTGCCGATGAGCGCGGATATATGGCGGCGCGAGTACTCTTGCTGAGCGTCTTGATTACGGAAGTGCTGAAGCCAGCTTGTGCCGCAGGTGCGATTTTTTTCTGCATGTTTGTTGGGGATCTTCTGGCAGCGATCCTCTCTCCTCCGGGTCGGTGGGTTTTTCTTGGACGGCGACTCGGAGCGAATCGAACGACGATGCCCTGGTTGATGCGCACATGAGTCCAGACGTCGTCTCGATGTTCTTGAGAGCTCGCTGTTTTTCCCCATATAAATTGATGTGAATTAATTCTTCGCCGATGCACAGAGAAAAATATCATTCTATCTGACAAGAAGAATGATTTCTCGGTTTATTTTTCTTTTTTTAAGTAATAATTTTCTTCAAAGAATATATTCTTGATGATAGTCTTAGAATATATACTCGTCACAAGTGTTGAATCTCATTATCGTGTACTCAAAAGAAGAATTTATTTCCTCTTCAAGAATATTGCAAAGTTGTATCAAAGAAAAATCAAACTTATTTTATGTCAACTTTTGTAGTAAGCAAACCAAATTTTTGTTTTAATTTAATATTCTTGACTAAAATACTGCAGTTACTAAAATTCAGAATATATTTAATTAAATTTAATGCTTGTGATGAACTTACGATATATTTGCAGATATACAAACTTAAGATAAATAATATTTACTTGAATACAGTATACATTTTTCTCTGTGTGACATTCATCGGTCTAAGTTGTACAAAAGCGATTTGATATTGCGCTTTTGTAAGAAGCATTTTATGTGATTTTGTCTCTCGAAGTTGAAATGTTCTGAAGCAGTTATATTTTTTAATGGAATACAAGAGTAGAGAATAAGTCTATTGGACTAATTGTTAATTGTATCAATTTCTAAGCACACAAAGAAAAATATCATTCTACTGCTCAGAAAAGTGATTACTCAGTTTATTTTTTTTTTTTTAAGTAATACTTTTCTTCAACAAAGAATATATTCTTGATGATAGTCTTAAAATATACTCGTCACAAGTGTTGGAAAACCTCATTATCATGTATTCAAAAGAAGAATTTATTTTCTCTTCAAGAATATTGTAAAGTTGTATAAAAAAAAATCAAACTTACTTTATGTGGTAAACAAACCAAATTTTTCTTTTAATTTAATATTCTTGACTAAAATACTGCACTTACTAAAATTCAGAATATATTCAATTAAATTTAATACTAGTGGTAAACTTATGATATATTTGCGGATATACAAACTTATGATATACTTAAAATAAATAATATTTACTTAAATATAGTATACATTTTTCTCTGTGCACGAATTAAAAGCATTTTTCACGATAGCAAAGAAAAAAACTACAACATACATAATATTATATATTTATTTATTCATGTTATCAAATATTTCTCCCAAAATGTCATTATTTATATTCTTGAAAATATTATTATTTTCAAACTGCTTGTTTAAAGGTGTTAAGGGTATTGGAGGGAACATCAGTGGTAGGAACGTGTCTAAACCAGATAGTTCTGATGTTGGTCTAACCAAGGGACTTGGATTAACACTGGAAATTCAACCTAGCGGCCATGTGATACTAGGAAAAAAGGGAATCACGCTTAGTTGCATAGCTGGTTCAAACGAGACTGTATCTTGGTTGCACAATGGACTACCAGCACCTCCATGTGGTCTTACTCGCTGTGTTCTTCTTTCCAATGGCTCTCTTCACTTTTACAAGGTAAAAGACAATATATACATTGATATAGATTAATTATTGCCAGATTGTAATGTCCATCAAGCATTAAATTATATATCACTCTGTTATATGTAGAAACAAAATTTACAAATGCAAAAGTTCAAAGAAAAGGAAAGGAGTAGTATTGTTAATGCTAGAAACCACAATAAGGATGAATATCGTTGTGTAACACGTACCAGTTTAGGAGGTTTGATACGGTCGGCTCCTACATTTGTTCAAATAGCAGGTAAATGTAATATATTGGTAGTACAATATATATGAGCGTATTAAATTTCTTTTGATATCTAGAATATTATAATTACTACAACAAATATTGCACATTACAGAGTTTGCACATACATTTAAAGAATCTCCAGAAAATATCACTGTTCAGGAAGGTGAAGTTGCAAGATTATCTTGCTTGATAGACAGTGTTCCTTTCCCACCCAATATTACGTGGCAGCATAACGAAACATTGTTATCTTATCATAACAAATCAAAGTATTCTATGGTACCACCAGGTGTTCTGTATATAAGTGCAACGAAACTGTCAGATGCTGGCTCATACAGGTACATGATATAATTTTTATTTTTTTTTCTTTCCATTATATAGATATTAATTTTTATACTTTAAATTAAATAAATAAACATTGTGTTGCAGATGCATAGTCACAAATGAATTTTTAAAGAAGAAAAAGAGCAGAGAAGCAAAACTAACAGTTATTTCAAGAAGAAATGATAACAGATCGCATACTCCATCAGTTTTGTTTCCACAGACTTCTTACAATTATTGGCTACTCAACGGATCAAATCTTAATCTGGCATGTGCTGCATCTGGTTATCCATTACCACTCATAACATGGTCATTTATTCCTCGTTATATAGGTAAAGAAAAACAGACTTAAAAAAACAGACTTACATGCATTTAAGTGTTGGGCAACATTTAATAAATTTGATTGCATTTATGTTCTCAGCTAATGTTACACAATCTCGCATCCTTTTTAATTCTACTATTGGCATTGCTATACTGTCATTAACAAATGTAAATGTTTCCAATGCTGGTGTCTATTTATGTTCTTCGAAAAATCTTATCACCAATGATTTAGAAATACAGGTCGGTATAATTGAGATGAAATATATAAAAGATATTTAATAAATATACACGTGTAAATTGACAAATATATTTTTCGTTTAAATTGTTACAGAATGTAACTGTAGATATATTGATTCCACCATCATTTATAAAAACGCCGACGAACCAAATCTGTCCAAATGGAAGAACAGCGAGATTCGAGTGTCAGGCGCAGGGATCACCCGTACCTCAAATTTATTGGCTGAAAGACTCGTTGAATATTACTATCAATGGTAAAATAATTATAGAGATAAAACAAATTATGTGTTAAATTTACTCTGATTACGCATCCTGTATGTTGATAGGTCGCAGAACGACTTACGTTAAGGAATACAATAAGATAGAATTAGCAATATCAGCGACGGTACCGTCTGATTCTGGCATATACCAATGTGTGGCGGTAAATTCAGCGGGTGAAATTTGGGCCGCTGGTCGGCTGCAAGTAAATACGTCGCGCAATAGTCCCGCCGCACCTACTTCTTTAAAATGTCACGCTGTTTCACCAGTTAGAATTTTAATCTCGTGGGAACCACCAAAGTCTCTACCATATACCAGTATTACAGCTTATACCGTCCATTACAGTCCTGTAGGTGAGTTCGATTACGATTTAAGATAAGTATGATATAGAGAGATTTGAGAAAATTGCAGTTTAATTCCATATATTGGTATATTTAGTACAATATAATATTAATATTTTATATTTTTCATGACAGAAGGTGGTAAAGAGGAAGTCTCTCCGCCAGAACCAGGGAATTCTACATCTGTAGAAGTAACAAAGCTTCTTGAACCATTTACAAATTATTCATTTTACATACGAGTGTGGAATAATTATGGTGCTAGCGATCAATCAGCTACCATTTTGTGTTCCACAGCTCCAAGTGGTAAGCATTCCTTATTTGTCTGCATTAATTTGATGATCTGATGTAATATTGTTTAAATTAAATTTTAAAATATCTGCTCCTTAAGTTCCTAAAGCCGCACCAAAAATGAATGTGGATATAATCAGTAGTACAAAACTAAATGTATCATGGGAGCCTTTGAGTAAAAAGGAATCTCGCGGCGTTGTGGTGGAATATAAACTACAGTGGAGACTCCACCAGCATCCATCTGTCAGAATACTTTTTCTACCTGCCACTATTGAGTACCACATACTTATGGGTATTTATCTAGTTGTTATTTTTTATTAAAAAGAGCATCCTATGTAATTATGTAAATGTATATTATGATCATAGATCTGATACCCGGAGCACAATATGATCTTCGAGTATTGGCAAGAACAAAACAAGGCTGGCCAAATATTAGCGAGACACAATTGAATTGGATTACTGTAACCATGCCATCTTCTGAATCTAATCAATTTACTATAAGGAATATTGTGGATATTCAAGTATTAATTGTAAACGCTTCGATAATTAAGGTTAGTATATAGTACTTATTGATTGAATTTTGAAAAATATAATATTTATAATTATTTGAATTGCCTCTTATAAACATTTTCTTCTTTTCTTGATATTAGATGAAATGGAAAATTAAATTCAAGCAAAATGATCAAATTGAATCAAAATTTGATTCTTGGCAAATTTATTGTGAAAATCAAGATGGTGAAAAATTAGCTACTATTCTTTTACCACAAAATATTACTGAATATCTGTTTACTGATCTTGGTAAATATTTTGCATTACATGACATTTCTTCTTTTTAGATAGCATTATAGATAAAAAATAATAATTTATTTTTATTTAGATATGAATATTTCTTATACCATGGGTTTGTGCATGGTGAGTTTGGGTGAAGCAACAAGTTGCTTGACAAAACATATAGAGACTGCACAATCCAATATTAGTAAGTTTTTGTTAGATTTAATATAATTTATTTTCATTTTTAATAAAAAATAGACAAAAATTTATATATAATAATTTCGTAATTTTTTTAGATACCATACCAATGTCTTTGGAGGCTATTCCTGTCTCACCCACGTCCATAAATGTAACATGGACATTGTCTGATATGCATAGTATAGATTCATTTGAACTTTGTTATCATGCGGTTCATGCACCTCCTGACAATTCTGAATGTTTTACCATGTGAGTATATAGCTTAATTTTCTTTTTGAATATAATTTTATAACATATAGATGTTTTTTTAATCCATGTGAAATATATTACAGAGACGATACAAAAATAAATGTTGACAAACTGAAGCCTTTTACTTTGTATCAGTTTAAAGTAAGAGTCATTAGACACAACACGAATCAAACCAGTCTCTACAGTGAATCTATAGAATGTTACACCAACGAAGATGGTAAGAAACAAAGTTATTATCTGGTTACAATATACAGGGTGTTTCAGACCATCCGTATCACCCATTTAAAAACTAGAGAAGTGGTTATTTAAAAAAAATAAAAACATTTTCTTTATAAATCGGGTGCGCTTTATCGAATGGTAATATTTTCAACTTCTGATTCCGGCCGGAAATAGGTGATTCAGACCGGAAGTGCATTTTTTTAAATGGAACCCCCTATTTTTCATTCTTGCATATTCTTGTAGCTTACCTCGAGAGCTTTCCAAAACACTATAATAAATTATTTTTTTTTGAAGTACTTTTCGAGTTATGAAGCTTGAAATAATTTCTTAATTTTACATAAACTATAAAATATCTTGTAAAATATTCATTTTTCGATTATCTTACCTTAATACTTTTATATACAAAATAATGAGAGGAATCAATTGGTGTAAAGAAAACATACAGTTGTTTTTAAGAAAAAATATGAAATTGTTAATTGCAAAAAATGCACTTCCGGCCGGAAGAAATTGAAAATATCACCATTCGATAGAGCGCACCCGATTTATAAAGAAAATGTTTTTACTTTTTTGAATAACCACTTTTCTAGTCCTTAAATGGGTGGTATGGGTGGTCTGAAACACCCTGTATATAGATATATATATAGATATCTTTATATTATATTTATTCTAAACGAATTTTACAGTCCCTGGCAAAGTCGAAGAGGTACAATGGTTCTTGGGTAATAATACGAAGGTACGAATCGCGTGGAAAGAACCAAGCAACGTGAACGGTATCATACAAAATTATTTCGTCGCGTATACCATGGACTTGACGGCGATGTGGGGCAACGTGACTGTGCCCGGTAATAAAACATCAACGACCCTACCGAGTTTAGTGCCGGGCAAACAGTATTTTGTTATGGTACGAGCGGCGACGAGAGCTGGCTATGGAAAACCATCGGATCCAATCATTATTATTACTGGCGGTGGTAGTTCTGGTGGTAGTCCTGGTGGTACCGGTGGTAGCGGTGGTGGTGGAGCGTCGCAAGTGCCCGATCCATCAGGCAAGGAGGATAAGCCACCGCAAAACCCTAAGCCTGATCAGAGTTTAGGTGAGTGAAAGAGTAAAAAACTTGGATGTAAAAAAAAATTGTGTTAATCATTTAATTGTGTTAAATTGTGTAAAATTATATTCATCGGTACATGCTATTATGATTAAAAAACAGGTGTGATTCTCGGAGTCAGCATAAGCATCGGATTTATCGCGATATGTCTATGTAGTATATACTGTCGGAGGAAGTTCGAGAATTCTCGCTCGTTGAGAAATGGTGCTCAGCCTACGAATGGGCGTGTACTATCGCGAAACGGGAACGGATGTTGCGCGGAGCAGTCCTCCACTTCCGTGAATCAACAAGCGAACGCTACCTGTGCCTCGAACGAAATTGAATTGGCTGTGCTATGCCCATCATCTCCGCTCGAAACGAATCCCCATTCCGATGCAAAGGTAATGAAACACAAAGCTTAGGTTGAATTTATATATCTCAATCAGGGATAATACACGATATATATTGCATAGGGTGCACAATCTAATGGAGTTTTTGAAATTTGTGCGAAGGAACCCTTATTGTCGCCATGGGAGGTAAATGGAGGCTCGAAAGATGTTCATATTATGGAAAACCCTCAGGTATTGTTACGAGTTTTATCATCTTGCAGGGTTGGCAAAAAACTTGTTTTTTTTTTATTTTAAACAAAAAACATGTTTTAAACAAGAAAAGCATGTTTTAAACAAGCAAAAAACATTTAATAGCTTTGATTTATGTAAATATTTAAATTTTTCGCTAGCGTTAAACTGTAAATAACGTTGCCAAAATTGACAACGTTATTAAAAATATAAATAATAAAATAAAAATGATAAGATGGATATTATTTTAGCAGAATATTTATTTTTGGATATTAAATAACAATCAATACAATAAAGATTACTTAGAAGATATTGACTGACTTTACATTTTATATTTTAGCATTTTAAATTAATAGTACATAACTTATAGCAGGTAGTTAAAAAAAAAGTTCTAGTTAATAATATTTAATATATAATACTTTGATTCCTTTCTTATTAAGTAACCTCATGTTTAATTCTCGACATAAATTATAAATAAAAGAAAAATAAAAAACTTCAATTTTTCTTTTTAAAAGAAGAATTTTTTTTAGAACTACTGACCTGCTATGAGTTATGTACTATTAATTTAAAATGCTAAAATGTAAAATGTAAAGTTAGTCAATATCTTCTAAGTAATCTTTATTGTAGTTATTGTTATTTAATATTCAAAAATAAATATTCTGCTAAAGTAATACCTATCTTATCATTTTTATTTTATTATTTATATTTTTATATCTATATGTGTTACATAAATATAGATAAAAAACTAAAAACACTAAAACAAAAACTTTTTTGCAACATACACATCTATAAGTTTTTGTTTGTTTCTAATTTTTTTTACAATTTCTTTTCCAAATAATCATATATTTTATTTGCGATATTTTAGACGGTTCTAAACAGTAGTTTAAAACAGTTTAAAACAGTGTCCACTGTTTTAAATAAGTTTTAATCAAACAGTTTTAAACACATTGTTTAAAACATGCCAACCTTGTGTACAATAGCGGCTTTTTGTTAATAATTAATCCGTGATTTTCGTGATTACAGTACAAAAGAAGAGGCAGTTCCGCCTCAAATAATCAACAAGAAGAGGAGGAGGAAGAGGAGAATGAACAAGATTTAGAAGGCACGCAGCTCACAATGGTCAATTGTACTTTAGGCAGTAGCAGTAGCAGTTTAAATAACAATTCAGGATGTCCGGACGGAGAGACTTCATCATCGCCAAAAGCCCCGTGTACATCTGTTCCGGCTCTCGGACCAAATGGCTGAAAATGCATCAGGCGAAACACTAAAGTGTTCAATGCTTCGTATCGAGGTATGCAGTAAATAGGAATACCTCCTGGAATTCTCCTGTTTCCTCCTCTCTTATAGTTGACACGTCAATCGTTCCGAAACAATATTGCGAGAAAGCATGGAAAAAAACAAATTTTCCCGCGAAAACGAAAGCAATGTAAAATTGCCACAACCTGACTAAGTTCGACGCGACTTGTGCAAGTAGAAATATTGTCTGACATGCGATCAGGGTAGAAATTCGCATCCGATTTCAAGACGTTGGTCGCATGTTATGTAAATATTTACGAGCAAGATACGTTTATTGCCCGCGGAGAACAAGACAAATGTCTGCGTAAGCAATTTTCGATAAAAGCAAGACGTTTCCCAAATTCATTGCTTTGCATTATTGACATTCCTAACGTTGCAGTGCATTGATCATGTAAACGATATTTGAAACGTTTGCCGGACTTATTTGTGTGTACATAGATTAATTCAAAATATTATTTAAAGGGATTTTGATAGGAAAGTGTTAAAAAATTATGTATTTTTGAAAATAATTAAAGAGTTTGCGCGAAAATAATTATGAAATTAATTAATATGAAAGAATTAACTGAGAATATTTCTTGAAACTTTTCCTTTGAGCAATGTATATGAATACAAACATATTTTTCAGCCAAATTTAACAACCAAATGCAACATTTCTGCATAAATCTTTTCAAAAACGCTTAATTTGTTAATTTCTATCAATTCTCGATATTTTGAATAATTCTATGTAAAATAAACAACCTTAAGAGATGCGCGAACAAAATAAACAAATGAAATAGTAAGTTTCCAAATGCCTCTGTAAATAGAATAGAATAATTGTTAATTGTGAATATGTTCATAAAAAATCATTTTGAATGCTGATGTAATAGAAACATATACAAACGTGCATTCCTTCGTTTGGAGACATAAAATTGCTAAATATGCCGGGCAAAGTATGGCCTAAACTCAGTCGACGAAGTTTCGTTCTGACAACAGTTTCGGACGATCGCTTAAAATGCGAAAGCGCAGACACTAATCATTCCAAAATAAGTTTTCCATTGATAATATTTAATTATAAACAAGAGAAAAAAAAACATTTAGTATTAAGAAGACAGGGAAAGGCTCTAACCAGATGCTACGCGTTTTTAGGAATGTTAAGAAAACATTTTATTTCGTGTTTTTCTTTTTTCTCTTTCTTTCTTTTTATTTTAATATACCGTATGTGTGTCATTAAAAATATTCATTTCTATATAAAAAAAAGTAAACATTGATTTCTTTAAGAAATCAAAGTTAAATTTCTTTTGTATTTGGAGTTGGTGTGCAGCGAATTGAAAAATAATAATTTTTATCGAATATAGCTTTTCCTAAAATATTTAACGTAAGTTTGTATTAGTTTAAAATGGATTATTGATATGTCATACTTTAGAGAGGGATCCTATGAATGGGAAGAATATTCGGAAAGATAATTGTGCTCAGAATTATAGTAATTCAAATTAAAATAGCACGTAAAGGAAATAGAGATCATCTCATTTTTCACGTTCATTTACTTCTATAAGAGATCTTAAAGACTGTATGTATTAATAGACGCGATATTTTTATAATTAACGGAGATTATTCTTCAGAATAATTTACGTAAGATTTTTACATATTTCTCGGCTTCTTTCCGTTCATAAGATTGATATCGTTTTTAAAACGATTAGATAATCGGTACAATTAAACGTCAACGTTTTTTTGTACGATATTTAGCGTGTTAGCTGGTATAAAGCAGTTCTGTGTATTACACAAAAAAGCAAGAAGCAGCATTGAGACTAACATACAAGACACATATTCCAGACTGGTGCATGTTACCATGACAGAAAAACCCAACACAGTACCTGATAGAAAATAAGCTATATCTTTTAGAGTGAGACGTAGAAATGTCAATGTTATTACTGTACCTCCACTAATTGTTATTTATTGCATTTTACATTCAGTATATACTTTAGATGAACACATTACACCCTGGATCATGCAATATAGTCATCATGAGCACAGTATGAAAACAAGTAATGCTAGAATTAATTCAATCTGCACGTATATTAAAAAAAGGTCTCTATATCGTATCTTCATTCCATAGAATATTATACCGCATTTTCATAACAGAGTCTGTTAGAAATCTAATATATATATATGGAAAATGTTCCGCGAAAATATAGTTTCAGTTTTTATTCGGGAGAAAAGAAAAGATACCATTGTTACAGCAGATACTTGATGTTTAATGAATATTTTAGTTGATAACTGTGCACCATGATTTACTTATTCTCCATTTATTGGGCTCCGCAAATCATTACAATAGTTCTATATAGTTTACAGATTGCATACAGTTCTACAGAAATAGAAAGAATCATTTTATTTACACACATGAATACATGGAACTTGTTATATGTATTATAAATATAATTATGAGAATCTCACAGATCGCATATATACATGATATTGAATTTATATATTAAATAGTTCTTGCGCAGCAACCTTTATTTGTTGCGAATGCGTGCGTTTGCACATTTTCAATGTGTCTGGCTTATGATTTTATTTAATTAATATGTTTTGCGTTTGTTGTCATATATATGCCTGTTACATTTTATATTATTTCCATATTTGTTGAAAGTATATACATTCATATGCTTCTTTTTCATGTACTTTTTTGTATTTGTTGATGGTATATTTTAGAAAATGGATCTTATAAAGCGTTAATGACAGCTGGTATACAATGATGAGAAAAAAATCAGAATACTAAACCGATTGTTCCTTAGTTCATTACATATTGTTAATATCACATGCATCGCACACACAAAGGTATATTCTCGCGGTATTGAACTTTTTATGTTCCGAAAGAAATATATATCTGCAGCTTATACTTTGAAGAATAATTTTTTTAAGAACCACCAATATTATTAGAAAGAAGAAAAAAAAAAGAATAAGAATATTTGGTCATCGAAAAGAGATCTTTTAACTTTAAGAGAGGTATGACGCGTTGAGTGATGAAATACAAGCGGCAGAAAGTATGTAATGAATAATAATTCGCTTTTCGCACTATTTTACTTCCTCTTGTGTGGTAGATATACGATTGGCAGAGTTGTATATGAGTTGAGTGAAAGAGAATGGGTTTACGCTTATCAAAACTGTCCTCATCCATCTTTTTACATTTAAGTAGGCTAATATACTTTTATACTTCTCTAGTTGTAACACACGTTTCTCCGGTCACATTTCTGCTGCTGTATTCCTGATTTGATATCGTTATTGTATTATGTAGAAGGCATAAGCACCGTGCAGAAAAGTAACCGCAGCGGCGAGTTAAACGTCAACAACAGCAATCAATAATTTAATCCAAACACTCCGTATATACCATAGTGCTCTTGAAATAATTTCATGGATGTGATAAGTTTTTAGGCGTCGTAAACAATTGACAGAGACTATAGAGTCGCCGTGCGGAGAGATAATCGCGTCAACTATGCAAAGTGCCTTCCGTAAAGTGTTGCAGGTCGTTTCTCTTGAGAGTACAACTGGGTAACACTTTACGTAATACACTTCGTATACGTCTCATAAAATCCACTATTATTTTAGTACATACAAAAGCAATAAGCATCGCATTGTATATAGCATTTTTTTGTATTATTACATTGAAAAAAAAAACTTGGTTGAAAAAGGCAAAATTTGTTTTGCTCAATTAAATATATTGTCCGATACGTTCAAATAAATATAATTAAAATATTCCGAAATAATTTGTTGATGTAAAAAAAGCTTATTCAAAAGAGAATTCAGTACAACGATGTACAGTTACTACAACAGAATATTTTTTTGGCAATATTCAACAAAATTTTTTTTTCAGTGTACAAATGCAAATGTCGGAAATGATATACACACACACCACCCTCATAGATCTATAATCCATTTATCACTGCATCTCAATATTTCGCATATTCATCGATCATTAATTACTATAATAATTAACGACTCGAAGGATCAACACATTGTAGATCTCTCGATAGTCAATTTTCATTTATGCATTATTTTTTTACTATACTTTAATTTAGGAATAATATACAATATACAGGCAGCCAAAGAGAGAGAAGAACATTTTTTTTTTAATCGTCTTTTAAATCTCCCTCATATATCAATGAGATCGGTGCAAGATTATTTCATATGCACACATTCCTTCTATGCAGAGTACGATATAATTCATCACAGACGAACTGTAACGTTGAATACACAGTAGCAAGTATTGATTATATTGTACGGCGGCTCTAGTCGAACGAATATACCTCCGTAATTGTCACTCTCTCACAACATAGAGAGTGATTTACATTACTTAATTTTAACTTAACTTCGGTACCTATTAGACACTATTGTTTACATTTATGCACAGTTTACCTCAAAGAATATATTTTCTCGCCCGGTGGGTATATACACGTATACAATATGTATAGATACATATATATGTATATGTATACTGTATATCAGCTCTAGTATGTACAATATATGTATGTATAATTGCCAAGACACATTTTACATACTTTATTTTACGCGATATATACAAAAAAAGAAGAGAGAAAAATTACACAGCAAAAATTTATTCATTTATATTATTATTATCGTTAATTATAACTTTATATACATATATATATATACGAGAAGATTTAATTTATTTTCCGTAAACCCTCATATCTCATCCTCTTCTTTTTTTTTTATTTAGATTTATTATTTTAATATATGCGCGATTACGTATTTTTTAGGGTGCAGTTACTTTGTACATACGTTTTATCTGCGATTTGTATATATATTATATATGTATTATCTGCAAAGAACATTATATAAAATATATATTTTAATATATTACGTATAAAAAAAAGAATGAAACTACATGAAACTATAATCTTATTGTTTGAAGTATTAAGACTAAATATACGAAATATTTAATAATATTGTTGACCCTTCTTGAATACGTCGTCTTGTTGTAATACCTCTGATTCAATAAAATTAAGACAGTGTACAAATGCATTTTATGTGGAAAATGTGTCCCCTCTGCACACATTGAGAGAACTTATATTACAAGGGTACAGCAAGATCCAATATACAGTTTCATAAATGAAGCAACTTTATTATCAAAAATCTATACAACGACGTGTAACAATAGAATCGAAATAATGTAATATTAATATTATCGAGGCATTCAATGCCAATAAAGGAATAGTCACTTTTTTTTTGTTTTATATTAAATGTATGCAAGTACATGCAGCGCTCATATATAAATCTATCAATATAAACAATCATTCATACGTGAATAAGGAATATCTTTTGTATGTACTTTTTAGAAACGCGTTTCTCACAAAGTTTGTACTCGTGCGATCCTTTAGGTCGTACATACATAATTGAGTTATCGATAAAGCTATGCGATAGTAATATTTGACTGGAATAGAAAGATTTCTCAACTTAATTCATAGCTTATAAAAAATGCATCTTGGAATGTGGCGAATATAAAAGAGAAAATTCCTCCTCTATATCCCATATCCAACAATAAAAAGTATATGGATTCCCGACAACTTTATTAGTACAATCCACAGTCTGGAAAAAATGGCATATAAAAAGCGTCTTTCTTTAGTTTTCTTTTTTTGATCTAAAATATATCCATCCAAATTGATTTATGAATTATGAATATAGTCTTAAGTTTAAGCTTCTTTATATATATATATTTTTTTTTTCGACCACAAGCTTCTTAACATTGTTCCGAATCATTCATAAGAGTTTGACTAGTGCAACCTTTCAGCGAAGGTGCAAAAAATGTCTGTACTTTGAAAATTGGTAAAATTAAGTACATTAATTGCTATTTTATCACATTGGCGAGATAGGCCCATCTACGAAATCTTCGAATTCCAGATATATGCGCTTCTCTATAAACTCATTTAGTATCATCTGTTGGCGCGCGTCAAGCGTCAAGTAAAAATATATAACTTGGGATAGAATGTATATAATAACACGTATAGAACCCTTTTCTAGGCACACGGTGAAACGGCGCTTGGCGTCCGTCTGGATCTGATAGTTGTAGAATTATCGTACGCTTGTCAATATATTTGAATTCGGCAGTCAATATTGCTAAAGTTTACAGGACCAAAGAATGTGGAAAGATCCTCATGCTTACATAGTCATCGAGTACCTGTAAATTCGTGAGACCAATTAATTAAAAGTAATTAAACTTTTACATGCATTTTTCTCTCCAGACTCGACTTACCTCTGTAAGAGCATCTTTTGTTAATTTAGGATACAGGTACGTAAATCCTGTGGTATTTGAAAGTTTTCCAGATTGTAAGTATAAATGTTTATTATATAAAAGCTCTTGATCTATGTAGGGTGACAGAGGGCTATTTTCTACTCCATCCTTGCGACATGCTTCTGCCCAGGGGCCCATGTGTTTGTCATTTACTTCCTCAACAACAGAATTCATGTCAGTCTACAAAGTATCAGAGTAAGATATAATTACTATTTTCTTGAAAATTTTAATAATCTGTTTTTAAATGTCATAGATATGTGCTGAAATAATATACTTTACCTTGGCTAATGTAGATAGCGTTGTGCCCCAATAATCGTGATTGATATTGAACAATTCTGAGACTATGGCACTGATAGAACCTTGAGTGGAATCTCCCTCATCGACGAGATTATATGTTTGGCCTATTGTTTCTGGTCTATTGGCTACATGCCAGATAGCTCTCGCGACATCTCTTACATGAACCGTATTCATATGAAGATCTGGTCCCCAGAGTAATTTCATCATTTCTCCTAAATGCTTATAAACTGCGCCTACTACTAATCTCGGTGCTGAAAATTATAAAATTTACTCAACTTTACTCCTCTTTTTTATTTAAGTTAATGGAAGATGCAGATACTTCAGTAATAAAATAAAATTATGAAAATTATATTTTTTAGAATTACCTAAGCCAGTTTTGTCACCACAACCGTACACAATGGCTGGTCTAAGTATAGTATACTTCAAATCTGGTATATTTTTCAATTCATGTTCCACTTGTAACTTGTATTTCGCGACAAACGTCCATGGTTCTCCAGCATCTTCTTCTTTATGAGGTGTCTATACAATATTACACAATAATAAATCCTGAATTCATATTCATATATTAAAATATATGTGAATAACAAAAGGATACCTTTTCAGAAACATTAAGATGGCCAGAAGATATTTCCACATAACGCAAGACTTTAATCTTGGCTGCTAATTGGGCACAGTTTACGCTCAATTTGTAAATGCCCTCTTTATACACCGGATCTGTGAGGCTGCTCTTTGTCTCGCCAGCACAATTGAACACATAATCGATAGGCTCGTCGGATGAAAATGCATTTTGACAGGATGCTTGTACCGGTTGACAAAAATTATCCCTTTACATATAACTGTCTGTATCATGTTTCATATTTCACATGATAGACTGAGGCAAGAGAGATGGTTTCAATTAAGGATGTTTTGTATGTACAATATCTCAGCAAAAAGTAGCTGAAAATCAATATTGACGAATATATCCACTTTTGGTGTATTTTGAGTAAGAAATTGTGTGGAATATTGCAATTTGATCTTAGCTACAGTGCAGAGATGTATTTTTTAATATTTATTGCGTTTTTAATGAAATATTTCGAATTTTGTTAATCGAAATGATTAACTTTTAGCAAAGAATTTCGTCTTGTGACAGATACATGGCTAATTTGATTGAATTATATTTATTATTTTTTTAACCAGTTAGTACTTGTATAATATTATTTGACCAAATATTTTCTCTATATTTAAACTTTTGCAAATTTTAAACAAATTTTGAATATTATTTCCATGTGTTTTTGTCATTTGAATCGACGTAATTATACGTTTCCCAAAAGAACACATGTTAATTCGATGCAAATTAAAATCCTTATAACATGTGAACGCTTCAGTGAATCGATTTAAAAATTGTACTGAAGATTCTAAACATATGTAAGGACATTCTGTACAATTTTCATTAAATTCTCAATATTTTGAAAATATGTACAAAACATACTTAATCAGAATATAGAGATTAAATGAAGGAATTGAAATATTCAATCATTCTTCTACAAAATTATCAAAAATTTCTAGCAAATAATTGAGATTGAAGATTTTTGCTGAATTTAATGACCTTTGTTAACTCTCAAATAATATTCCTACCCAAATAACATTCCTCTTTTGTTGCTTGCCTTAGTATATCCTATTGCGTTTACCTATGTTAATCAGATTGGCGCTCTTAAATTCGAGCAAGGGATTTTCAAACAACCGCTGATGTTTTGTGTTGAGCCATGCAGTCTGCGGTGGTACCTTGTCCACGACTCGCACGTACGAAACCAGATCGTTATCCAGCAGATATTCCACAAGATTACGTCCGATGAAACCGCATCCTGCGTGATAAGAGTCTCTCAGTCACAGTTTTATCTTGCCCGCTCTTCCGCTCTCCCATACTGCATGTGTCAGACTATAACATATACATACATAAGTACCAATCAAATTGACAATATCTCACCTCCTAGAACGATCACCCTCGCTTTCTTATCACAGGTGGGCGTTGCCATAATCGCCTGTCATTGAACGGTTGTTCAACTCTACGTTTCCTAGTTGGAGAGCGTAGTGTCGTCGGAAAGGTCGTTGGGCAACGACATATAACGGTTTAATGACACGTAGGACCCACCGCGCTCTCGCCCCGCGGTCTTGATTAAATAACCTAATCTTCGCCAGCTCGATTGATACAAAGCACACTTGACACGCCGACGCACTCTGCTCGCTTATCGCAGAACCAGATCGCGCCCGGCGAGACAAGTGATTCCACGAAAAAAGGAACACAACTGTCAACGACAATAAAAATAAGAGGAATCCCTAAAAATCCCTAAAAATCAGAGGATTAATTTTTTTAGCGTGCGTCGGTTTCCGCGACAAAAATATGGCTCCGCCCCTCCGCCAATCATATTGGAATATTCAACATCCTAGACCAATCAAATTTGAGCTTTCGACAATTTTCAAAATGGCGATGGATCCTACTCTTTCGTCATTCGTGCGTTTTAAGCATTGTCTACAATAGCAGTAGGATTAATGGATTTAAAGCTGTGACTCAAGAAATTGACCAATCACAGTCGAGTATTCTTTAATGCTTGACTGTGATTGGTCGATTCTTTAAGACTCATCTACAATGAGTCGCAAGCCGTAATCATATATCTTTGTGAGATTAGTAATATATAAAGTTAATTTAAAAAATTTTTCTAAATAATATATTTCAAAATAATTTTTTATATTTATTATTTAAATAAAATAAAATTTATCATTATAATTTTATATCATTATAATTATTTTTATTTATAATATTAATATTTTAATATAAATAAATTTATTATTATAATTTATATTATAATTTATAATTTATATTATAATTTAAAATTTATTATTATAATTTATATAATATTTTTTAGATATTATCTATACAAGGTGATTTATTTTAATCTTAACAGGCAAATATTTTGAAAAATATGCGAGATACGAAAAAATGTTTCAAACAAAAGTTGTATGGCGTGAAGGGGGCCATCAGATGGTGTCATTAATTTGACCTTAAATAGTTACTTAAAGGTCACTTGAAGCTCACCCTCAATTTTTTAAATGGTACTACCTATTTTTGATTACATATTCTTGTAGCTTATCTCGAAAGCTTTCCAAAACACTATAATTAAGTTAGTTTTCATTAAGTACTTTCCGAGTTACGAGGCTTGAAATCGTTTCTTAATTTTACATAAACCGTAAAATATCTTGTAAAATATTCATTTTTCGATTATCTTATCTTAATACTTTTATGTACATAATAATGAGAGGAATCAATTGGTGTAAAGAAAAGACATTGTTGTTTCGAAAAAAAAAAAATATAATTTGCAATTAACAATTACATATTTTTTTTTAAATAGGATTATTAAAATTTGAATATGAGCGGGAGTTGCATAAAAATGGTGGACCAATCAAAAGTGACCTTTTGATGACCAGTCTGTTATTAGAGGGTCTTTGGTACGTTTCTCCCACTGAGAAAAATGAACGGCAGTGCCCTCTGTCACTTCCGCTCTAAACACGATTCTCGCATTTGGTAGTTTCTTTTCCGGTTTGCCAAAATGGTAAGAGGTTGCCGCGATACTTTATTCGATTGAAAAATCAGACGATATTGTATTATTGTCGCTCAATCACGATAATTAAACTCGTCCATCGAATATTTTACTATTTGAATTTAATTAACGATGCATATTTCTTTTCGCAGGGTATCGATATTAATCATAAACATGATAGGAAGGTGCGGCGAACGGAGCCCAAGTCGCAAGACGTATATTTACGTCTTCTCGTCAAGGTAAATGAGCTTTTCTCTTTATATCATTTACTAATTAATTTATATTTTTAAAGCAGCAATCTACTTTTTTGCATGAAAACATTCGATTTCGTTGCGTTCGAGTCTAGTTAAGAGTGCATCTACTATTAATATTTTATTGAAGCTAGATTAGGTTAGATCTCGTGTTTTTATTACACGTGAGAGATACCATGCGATTTTCTAGTCTTTATCTTTCATCTATTAATCGAATAAAATAAGAGGAGCTTAAAATTCGTACTGACGGAGAGAAGAGGTTTAATCCAATCTAACTCCTGCGAGCTGCACTCTGTGTCAGATCTTACATAGACTGATTCAATTTTGAAAGTTCGCTAGAGAAACTCTTGTCAACTATCCTATTCCGCTTATTTGTAACATTGAAAAGCGATTATTGTGGTTGATACATGTGCTTGCTGTAATTTTTTTACTCATTGTGGAATTGTCGTTTTCAAACTTTCCCCACCGTAACTCCTCACATGAATAAAATTTCATGGAGAAATTTGATAACATGTAACATATACGCAACATATTTTGTAACAAACACACTACAGTGGTCGTTCTATCATTCGCAATCATTTTTCCACACAATTGATTGGCTTGGAAATAAATGTTGGAACAAGTACTTCTTTTCTTTTTTACTACGCTACAGGTACATGGAATTTTTAATTCCATTAATTAATAACTTTTTCTCTTTTCATTATTGTGACTTACATGTTACATGTTATCAAATTTCTCCATAAAATAAAATTTAAGAAGACATTTATGTCTATTTTTTTACAAATTTGTTGTGTTTTATCTTTTTCTTAATAAATTATATATATATTTTTTTTTGTTTCTTCTGTCTGGCAGTATCTTTCTTTATTATAAAATTGATAAAGTTTCTAAAGGATACTGGAAAGCACTGGAGCTAAAGTTTGAAACTTAAGTAAATTTATATCGTGAAATCATGATAATAATAGAAGTCATATTTTAGCTCTATCGGTTCCTGGCAAGAAGGACAAATTCCAAATTCAATCAAATTATTTTGAGAAGACTCTTTATGAGTAAAATTAATCGACCACCTATCTCACTTGCACGTATTGTGCGATTCATGAAGAAACCTGGACGGGAGAACTGTGTCGCTGTAATTGTTGGTAGTGTCACTGACGATGCAAGGATTTTTGAAATTCCAAAGTTGACGGTACGTATATAACATATTTATGCATATATTAATACTTGGAAATATTAAGATTGTATTGCATAATCATTATATGTTATACTTGAAATATGTGCAATGAAATATATGCACGATACATGCAATGTAATGTCAGTGTGTATCATCAATTAATTATAATATTTTGAATCTTACAGGTATGCGCTTTACGTGTAACCGAAAGAGCTCGAGCACGAATCTTGAAAGCCGGCGGTGAAATCATTACGTTTGATCAGCTGGCATTACGCGCACCAACCGGCAAACGCACAGTTTTGATGCAAGGACCACGCAAGGCTCGCGAGAGCGTGAAGCACTTCGGTCCAGCACCAGGTGTACCGCACTCTCACTCGAAACCGTACGTGCGGTCTAAGGGCCGGAAATTCGAGAGGGCAAGAGGCCGTAGGCGCAGCTGTGGTTATAAGAAATAAGTTTTATAACAAATACACTTCAGTGGTCGTTCTGTCATTCGCAATCATATTCCCACACAATTGATTGGCTTGGAAATAAATGTTGGAACAACTACTTAACAACTACTTCTTGTTCTCTCCTTTCTTACTACGCTACAGGTACACAGAATTTTTCATTCCACTAATTAATAGCTTTTTCTCTTGTTTTCATTACTACAACTTACATGTTATTATCATGATTTATAATTGCGTCTTTAAATAATTTGTAAACGTTTCACATATGTGAAGAATAAAGTATAAAGTTAAATAATAAATAACAGGTTCGGTGTGATTTACATGCTTTTTTTTATTAGTTATACAAATGTTATTATGTAGGAAGAATATTTTAGCATTTATGGGCAATTTGTAATTAAATGTGTTAAAATACTTAATATTATAATAAAAACAATTCATATTCTGCTCGAAGATTCATATTCTACTAGAAGATGTAAATCACGCTTTAGACGATATTAAATTGTAAAAATATTAATGAATGTAATGAGAATAGGCTAGACATATATCTAGATCGAGCATAAAAAAAAGATAATAGAACCCAGCAACAATTGACAGCATAATTTTAATAATATTAAATGTACAATTAAATCTTAGCCAAACACTTCGACTCAATTCAGATCCTTCAATAGCAAAATGAGAAAACGCAAAATGAAATATAAGGATAAAAGAAATGCAGCAGTCAAGTTAATCACAACCAGTAATTAAATATAAATTATAGCCGAGAAAAGTAAAACGCAAATGAAAGGTCAAACATGAAAAAATAATGGAAGCAAATTCAAATTAACAACTGCTGTAACTGTGCCGCTGTTAATTTGAATTTACTTCCGTTTCTCACGTTTTGACCTTTCATTTGCATTTTATTTCCCTTGAATATGATTTGTACTGCTTGCGAGTAACTCGACTATTGCGTTCCTTTTCTCTTTACATTTCATTTTGCGTTTTCTTATTTCGTCATTGCAAAGGATCCGAATCGAAACGCTGGATTATAATTTAATATTATAATTTATTTATAATTTATTATAATTTATTTTATTTATTTTATTTGTTTTATTTATTTTATTTATTATTTATTTATTTATAATTTATTATAATTTATTTATTAAATATTTAATATTAATTAATAGAAATTTTGTGTTTATTGATTACTCAATAAACAACAAAAAATTTCTGGCTAGTTTTGGTCGATGATATTATTTCCAACGATCCTTTGATTAATCGACTAACGATATTAAAATAATTTGTTATTAATATTAATTAATATATTAATTCAATATTAATAAATGATAAATTTGCTATCAATTGTCCGGGCTCTTATATATTCCCTGAGAAATATTAAATAGAAATATTAGGAAGAAATATTAAAGAAGAATTTATATTTAAATATTAAGAGAAATATTAAAGAAAAATTTAAATTTAAATATTAAGAAAAATATTAAAGAAGAATTTTTCTTCTATCAAACATACATAATCACTTGGTTGTTTGCCGAAGGAAAAAATGTTTGAAAGTGCGATATATAGAGGTGAACCTATCGGCGCTCGAATCGAAGTCGAGGACGAAATTGAATTCGACTCTGGTGAAACTTCACGCGACTCGCAGCGCTACGCGAATGTTATCAGTCGCCATCTTAGCGAGCGCGATCGGTTCTCTCGTCGGGATACGCGTCGTATGTTCCGCGCGACCGTGCGCAGCGTCGTCTCGGCAGACAGGTAGCCCGCCCCCCTCCCTCTGCCCCGGTCGGCGGAGAGTCAGCGCGGCACCGGGAAGCGGCACCGGGGAGCTTCGTCGGCAACGGTTTCTCGCCGGTGCACAAGAGAGGCCGGTGACGACGACGGGAGAGAGCCAGCCAGCGAGAGAGAGAGGCCGAAGGTAGGCGGTCCCTGGACGTTCCACACCCGACCTCCGGCTCCGGCCTCCGCGCGAGAGAGCCTTCCGTCAAGCTTCCGTGACGTGACGTTACGTTACGTGACGTGGACAGGTCGCATCGCAGCCTGGGAGAGGAGGAGCGGGAGGCTCGATAACGCGAGGAGTGAATTCGCGGGCGGATAGGACGAGAGGCGATATACGACACTCGAGGCGAGACCATGAGCTGTCAACGTAACGTCCGCAAGATCACGGTGCCGGACGATCTGCGGGACATCCTGCTGGAGTTCACCATCAGCTACCTGCTGGAGCAGCCGGGCGACATCATCGACTACGCCGTGGACTTCTTCACGCGGCTACGCGACGCGCGGAGGACGCAGCTGATCCAGGACGGTCAGACCTGCACGTCCACGCCGGACGAGTCCGTTGACGAGGGTGAGTCGAGACTAGAGCTCTCTCTCTCTCTCTCTCTCTCTCTATCTATCTCGCTCCGTCTCTCTTCTCGTTCTACGCTTCGCTCGCCCTTCATCGAATTGAGGCTCCAACATTTGACATTCGAGATTTATTATCGATATTATATTGTTATATTATTGTTATATTATTATTATATTATTATTATTATTATTTTTATATTATGTATTATATTTTATATTATATATATATATATACAGTGTAGCCCCGAATGTTCCGGCCAGACTTTGAGATCTTATAGGAAATTTAATTCTGAAGAAAAAATTTCCTATAAACATGGGTTGAAAAATGCTTCCTTAAGAAGTTATCGCTCAAAAACCTCTGAAGGAAGAGCAAAAGGTGAAAAGAAAATGAAATTAAATAAATTTCTTGAAAAAAACGATAAAAATAAAAAATAAAAATCTTTTTCTTTTATGAAAATAAAATAATTTTTTTTTTTATATTATATTATTTTATTTAAATAATTTAACTAACTTTTATTTTATTTTCATAAAAGAAAAAGATTTTTATTTTTTATTTTTATCGTTTTTTTCAAGAAATTTATTTAGTTTCATTTTCTTTTCACCTTTTGCTCTTCCTTCAGAGATTTTTGAGCGATAACTTCTTAAGGAAGCATTTTTCGATCCATGTTTATAGGAAATTTTTTCTTCAGAATTAAATTTCCTATAAGATCTCAAAGTCTGGCTGGAATGTTCACCCTGTATATATAATATATTATACATATTATTATATATTAAATATAATACATTATATATATTATTATATTATATTATGTTATATTATTATATAATTAAGTAGTAAATTAAAAAATACCTCGTGTTGGAAAGAGATTTTTTTTAAGAGCGCAAAAATTTGTCGGAGTTGAAGATCAGTTATCGTCGTCGAATGTCGATCTTTTTCCAACATACGCGAAGGCGACAGGAATCTGATGATCATAATTCTGGTGTAGAGAGCGATGGATTACAGTTAACTGATTGTAATTAGCGTCAATCGACGTTGGTAAAGTCAAGTCCGAGCTCGTCGACAAGCTTGAGATCGATATCGGTTGTGTTATAAGCTGGCGAACGTAGGGTCGATTCCACCTACGTCGATTGACTCGTTTTAGTTGGCGAGATTCGCATTTCATTCTTAAATTACGTATATAATATCGGCGGCTATGACGTGGAATATATATCAATAATTTAACAGTGAATTGCGTGCAGACAACGATAGGTAATAATTTAATGACACGGAACAATTCGCTATTTATTCCGCGTCGCGTCTTTTTTTCCTCCCCCTTTTTCTCTCGTTGATTGATAAATTTAATAATAAATACCAGACGACAATTTCTTTTTTTTTCTCCTCTAATCAATGGAATATTGTTCTGACAATTAGCACGAATGTCGATTGTCTAGACTTTGACACCGCGTGATATTAATTACGAGTGTTAAGTAGTGACTATAATGCGGACAATTATTTATCGAGAACTAGTGCTAACCGATATTGGATACAAGTGCGATGAATACGTCATGTCGGAACAAGCGCGGGGACATTCTCCTTAATAATGATGCGCGATCAAAATAACGCGAAAACGCATTTATTCCATGTGCACGTTACGTATATTGCATTTTTATTCGCGTACAGTTTTGATTTGGTCTCCGAGTCCGGTGGATCGCGAGCTAAAAATGTTCTTTTTTTTTTCTTTTTGCTCTTGTTTTTCTCTCTCTAATCCGGATATCCGTCTATTTATCTTGGAAACGGTTGCTCTTTTACTTTCGAATTCTTCCCTTTTCTCTCCGAAGGTTAATTCTCAATTTTTTCTCATTTTGAGAAAGAAATCTCTTAAATCACATAAAGAAACTTGATCGAAAGATAAATGTTTTTTAAGCTATTAGTAGAATCCTCTCGCTGTCAGACGGAATAAAGAAAAATTACCCGATACATTTTTATAAAAAAAAAAAAAAAAAATTCTTATAAAATTTGATGCGTTTTATCATCGAATTTCATATCTCGGCAAATATTGATTAGGTAAATGAAAACAGGCGTTCCCCTCGTCGAATATAGATTCTTCCACAAGCTTATTTTACTAATCGCTCAAACTTAAAGTCATCCGAGGGATTCACCAAAATCGCCGAGGATTAGTAACTGCACTGAGAAAACATTTGGTTGCATTAATTAGAATTCTGGTAGATTCAACCAGTATGTCCGTTGGAAAATGGATGAACCAGAATTCTTGCAGGAATTACTAGATGAATCTGATTAATTTCTTCCTGTTAAGTTTACCAAATTTTCTGGTTAATAATACTAAACTTGCCAGCACCAAGTCGCCTAAAATTGTTTCCGTCCAATCTCAAAAGTCTGTTTAATATTTTGATTTCCAACAAGATTATTGAATAAATTCAATCCAGGTTATTGAATAAATTATTTTAAATTAAGTTTGTTAGAAATTAAACTGATAAACAGTGCACTGAGAAAAAATCTGGTTGCATTAATTAGAATTCTGGTAGATTCAACCAGTATATCTATTGGAAAAAGGACGAATCAGAATTCTTGTAGGAATTGCCAGATGAATCTGATTAATTTCTTCCTGTTAAATTTACCAAATTTTCTGGTTAATAATACTAAACTTGCCAGCAAGTCGTCTAAAATTTTTTCCATCCAATCTCAAAAGTCTGTTTAATATTCTGAATTCCAACAAGATTATTGGATAAATTCAATCCAGATTATTGAATAAATTATTTTAAATTAAGTTTGTTAGAAATTAAACTGATAAACAGTGCACTGAGAAAAAATCTGGTTGCATTAATTAGAATTCTGGTAGATTCAACTAGTATATCTATTGGAAAAAGGACGAATCAGAATTCTTGTAGGAATTGCCAGATGAATCTGATTAATTTCTTCCTGTTAAATTTACCAAATTTTCTGGTTAATTATACTAAACTCGCCAGCACCAAGTCGCCTAAAATTTTTTCTATCCAATCTCAAAAGTCTGTTTAATATTTTGATTTCCAACAAGATTATTGGATAAATTCAATCCAGATTACTGAATACATTGTTTATTATTTTAAATTCAGTTTGTTAGAAATTAAACTGATAAACAATGATGCAAGAAGAGGATGCAGCTCAAACAGACACAATCAGAGAGCTAGCGTCCTCTTTCTGACACTACTGCTCGTAAGAGAAAAAAAATATACTTTCGATTTAACGTTAATACTAGTTCTTTATATACATTTAATGCAAATATTGAATACGAGTTAAGTTAAGAGTGACAAGCAAAGAAATTAATGTAACAAGAAATTTTATAGATCCAACCCAAGAAAATTTATTAAACGTTATTAAACGTTCTAGTTATAAAAAATCGAGTTTTATCATGATAACTAGAAATTCTTGTTTGATTTAACCAAAATGCCTTCAATCATATACGTCTTGTGTTACAATCAAACGATTTTTCTCAGTGTGATGATGCATCTGTTTTAATCGTCGGGCGCAATATTTCTCAGCTTTTTTTTTCACGGATTGAAGCCGATAATCGATCAGAATCCCTCCAGGTTTCTCTCACGTGGTTTCTAGACACCCCGCCATCTTCCTTCCCTGAATAGCCCAAGATATTATCAGAGTGTCGCGCAGGGTGAGAGAGCAGTCTCTGCCTCGAGACGCGCCCGAGGAATCTCGTCCGTTCTCGAGAGAGAGAGAGAGAGAGAGAGAAAGATACGTACGTGGCGCGCGTGAAAACGGTACGTACGGTCGAAGATCCAGATCCGTAACCGTAACAACACCTTGGCTCCGATCCGGCCGAGACCGTCTCTTGCGAGACCTGCGCGCGATTTGGGAAAATCTCGTCAGGCGCTGTCGCGAGGCCAGATTCTCGGATGCGCGGTAGTTTCGACAGTTTCGTCCAACGTTTAACCGGCACAACACAAGCGCGTGCCTCATCCCGTCTTGTGTAACAGGCGCGATTTGGATCGGATTTGGATTCCTTTTTTTCCCTTTTTTTTTTTTATTAAAGGAACGCTCTTCTCGCTCTTCTTCAACCTCCTCTCTTCGTCTTTCTTTCTTTTTTTTTTTTTTTAAAAGATCAGTAAAAGATGTGATATCTCGTCACTCGTCTCTCCCCGAGTAAAAAGTATAAAGGTACACCTAGCAAAACGTGGTTTCGTTCCACGGACCTCTGGGTTATGGGCCCAGCACGCTTTCACTGTGCCACTCTTCTTATTGTCTCTCTCCGAAAATTTTCACCGGTTGAAGGTCTCTCGAAAATGTAAAGGCACCTCTCGATTTTCGTTCAACCGGTCGGTCCACTTTTGCGATCGTTATGTAATGTTTTGTACAATACGCTGATGTAGAGCAGGAAGAGACGAGAAACTGTCGTAAGAAATCAAGCCAAATATATCTATGGTGTATATTTATTGCACGCGATAAGTGATCGCGGAAAATTGTTTATTTCATGCTACGCCTCTCGATGTGTTTCAGAGACATTTATTTCGTACCGCATCGATATTTCATCCCTGATTATGATAAATTCATGCGCGTGAGTCATTTGTGAGCAGATACGGGATATCGTCGATCCCTCCTCCGATCGGGATATACTTGTTTCGTGTCACAAGTGCGAAAAGTGTGAGCGTGTTTACGGGGGAAAGGGAAAGTCTCCCTTGTGTTCGCGTGTCTCTCTTCTGCGTGTCTTCCCTTCTTCCACGAGCCAAATGTCGCTCTCCGTCATCGAGCCGCTGGATGATAAAGGTGCGAATACTATTCCACACGTCCCATTATCCGAATAACGTGATGTAGGAGCGCAGATAAGAGCCTCTCCGACATACCACTTCATTTATCTCCGAAGGAAAATAAACGATCAAAACCATTGGCAGAGATTGTTCGCAAATTTTCGGAATTTCACGTTTGCTAAGTATGTATCGGAGATGTATCACAATCAATGAGAATCGCCGTGAATTTTTAATTTAACATACTTAACAACATTCTAAATCGTTATGAATTATTTCAATTTTTTTTATAATTTATTTATTTTGTAATAAATTATTTTTTTATAATTTATTTATTTTATAATAAATGATTCACAAACTATAAGAAAACAATGATAAAAATTTCACTTTGTAATATTATATTCTTCATACATGTAAAAATGTTCCCACAAAGTTTTAAAACGATTTACTTGTGCGTTTTGAAATTATTATTAAAAAATAACTGTGTGATTATCGATTTGACGCAATATTGATGATAAAACGTGGCAACACTGCATAACTTTATTTGTAATTAAGATCTATTTATATTAAAGAATACTTTGAAGTATGATTTCGTGATTTTTAAAAAGTTTTTGATCAATTAGAATTCGTATTCTGCCCAACTTTAATTTTTTGATTCTTTGGATTAACTTTTGAGACAGACGGTCCAATACATCCTTAAAGAGGCGCAATTTTTTTAATACATTAAAGTTACATTATTTTACTATTTATTTATTATTAATTTATCATTATTTATTTACACATTAAAGTTACATTATTTTATTATTTATATATTAAAGTTACATTATTTTACTATTTATTTATTATTAATTTATCATTATTTATTTACACATTAAAGTTACATTATTTTATTATTTATATATTAAAGTTACATTATTTTTTTATTGCTTCTCGAGCCTCTCTCTTTTTACTTAATAAAGCTAAAAAGAGAAGGACGTAATAAATTTTCGCCATTTTCAAAGTCGACTCTCTAAAAGAGAAATATCGTAAAAAAATTTATTCGCTATTTCTCCAATTCGCCTCTTTCCCATGTGACATTATAATTATGAATTTATAATACATAAGAAAAACTCTATAACAGCGGAGAAAAAATATATCTCTATAATTGAGAGATGAGGATGAAAGGATGGAATAAAATCTTTCTCGAGAGGACTCTCTTAAAGGAAGATGATACGGTATTCCGTTTTATGTCTCCCATGGGAATATAGAGAGTGTTTTGAAAGACGCGAAAGAATAACATTGATATCGCGAAGTCGTTATTTAAGGGAAGAAAAAAAAATCGATACTTGTGAAAATGTCCCGGCGAGTTTTCGCGAAAGTGCATCGAGGATCGAAGATGCAAATTTCGCGGTGAACTTACGATAAACTTGGAAAGATACACGATTCCTGCGTGCGACACCACTCAAAATGCTAATGTCGAAACTCTAAATATTAAAGTCGCAATTTATTCCTCTCTCGTAATTACCGGAGACCGGATTTTCCCGTGGCTGTGAGAACTAAAACGAGCTAACGCGTAACCTTTTGTATTTACATAATTGAGCGGTTGATAATTTTATTTTTCTTTTTTTTTCGCCGGAAACTTTTTTTTCTTCCTTGGAAGCAATTATGCGTTGCAAATTATGTCCGGTTTAATCGTAATTTTTTCTCAAATTTAGATTGAAGCATGCGTCTCTTTTGCATTTTAGAGCCACCAGTCGGCCGATTCGCTTCCAGAAGGAAGAGCGTTTTCGCAGAGACGTACAATCCCGAGGAAGACGAGGAAGATGACGGCTTTAAGGTAATGCACTATACCGTTGTTATATTATTTCACGATCTATCGGTCATGTTCTCGATAACGAGACAAACTAATGAGGTACCTTTTGCGAAGATATGATGTTCTTGTATCTGATATCTTTTAAGTAGGGTTGCACGAGGTATCAAGATTAGTCCTGATATTGTCTTGTCTTTTCTTGAATTTCAAGACAAGATCAAGACAAGATTTTTAATTATTTTATTAATTTATTAATTTATTTTTTATTAATTTAGTTATCAAGACAATATCAAGACTAAGACTGTCAAGATTATTAGTCTTGTCAAGATTATTGGTTCTCAAAAAAGCTAAAATACTTATATTTGTGAATGAAAAAAAATCACTATATACGAATTTTAAAAAATTTTATTCAATAAAAACATTTATATTGATAAATTTAAAAACATTTAATATTAATACGATATAACATTTTTATAAATTAGAAATCAAACTCCCAAATTTTAGACATTAAAGAGCATTTCCAGGAATTGATGCATATTAGTACTTTTAAAGATTTAATCTTTGTAATCTGGTTCTATTTTTTTAACATAGAGTTTCTATTGAGAAAAGTCTTTCTACTGGCATGGACGAGGCAGTTGAACTTAAAATGGGTCTCGAGCCATTTTTGACAATAGGGAATAAATATGAACTTGATTTTTTTAGCATTCCAAAATATTTATATCTGCACATTCCCTTGGAGCTTGTAAATAGTTATTAATTTCTGTTTTCCATGAAACAGTAAATGTTTTTTTAAATAAATAGACGGCATTTATATCGATTACACAGTAATAATTATAATTAAAATATAATACAATAGTAATAATTATTTCAAATTATATTACAAAAATTATGTTAAATATTATTTAAATAATTTTTTAATATTAAATAAAAAATTGTTAATAAAATCGAGACTAGATAATACAAGACGAGATTTTTGCTACCAATATTCAAGACCAATACAAGATTTAAATGTTTTAAAATTTTCAATACCACACACAATACAATATTTTTACGAATATTGTCTTGTCTTAGGTCTTGTGCAACCCTACTTTTAAAAAGGAAGACCGACTTTGTGCCAGCAGCTGAATAAAAGTTGATTCAACAACTTACACATCGATATGTTTCACGACTCACATTTGATCAATAACTGCGTTAATAATTAATAATGAATTTGATTAATTCGTTGACTTGGTAGTTGTTTCACAATGGCAGTTTTATCCAAAAACAGCGGCTCTTTCCTCAATAAAAGATATCTCGATATGTTACATATGTCGCCGTATCAAGATCTTGATCAGATACCATAATGCCCGATATATATTCTTTTAGCATTTTGAAATATATATTTTTATGCTTACGGCACGACACTTGAAGCACCTGATTTGCCGAATTGACGAAAACCGATACGCGAAAGTACATCATCTGCGAAACATGTTTCGCTATTAAGAAGCTAATAAGGAATTTATAATAATTTATAATAAATTATCATAATAATAATTTATAATAAATTATCATAATAATAATTTATAATAAATTATTTATATAATTATAATAATAATTGATAATAAATTATATTATAATAATAATTTATAATAAATTATTTTATGAAAAATTCATATATTTATAACAATTTATAAAAAGATTGAAAGAAATAATGAAAATTCAATGACTAATGAACAAGTAATTAAAATCAAAGATACGTATTTATGTAAACCGTCTACTCGATTTCTTGGTCAACTTGGACAAAGAAGGTTCGTTAGACAAGGTTAACGTATTTATATTAATTACTTTCCTAGTGAGACTTCAGATTTTCAAGAATATCGTACATTGAGGGAAAAATTTTTTTGAATCAAATAAATTTGTTTTCTTGAAACTTTTGCTCTAAATGGAAGGAATTGTTTATTTCATTTAAGCAAAAGCATTTAATTTTAATTAAATATGCATGTTATATTAAGTACATTATTTTCATTTATTTTTTATACTTAAATACTATTTTCGTAAAATATATACTATAATTTATTAAATTAAATATATTACTTTTTAAAATTAAAAAATTTTAAATTTTTGGGAATAAAAAATGCACTTTAATAAATATTTTGTAAAATTAGAATAAAAATATTTAATTAAAAATTATATTTAAGTATATATATATTTTTAAACATATGTAAATAAATACTTAACTTAAGTCAAACAGACAGTTTTCAATACAAGTAAATGCAATACGTGATTAGTACCCACTGAATAAATAGCTTTCTTGAGTTAACTAAATTTTTTAAATTTCAACATAATTTTTCCCTCAGTGTATGCATTATATCGCATATCGCTCGCTGATATTTCGTCCTGAGACGAGCGTCCTCATCTTGGACAGAGGCGGTTTAGGTTTTTTTTTCGGTAGCGGCAGAAAATAGTCTCTCGTTACGAAACGTCGTCATACACCGCACTTACGTGTGTGTACGTGCGTGTGTATGTGTGTACGTATATAGTATAGAGGTACATAATATACCGTGGTCTATTAAAGCATCGCGGCATTCCCTCTCTCTCTCTCTCGCTCTCTGTCTCTCGACCTGCTGCCGCGCGAGTGACGAAACGCGAAGAGAGTTACTTTGCTCGACGATGCGAGGCCGGCGATGTACCTTTGTGACGTCAGGCCGCGTGTTCGATAACCTGGACGGACGTGATTTACATGCACGTACACAGATATATATATATATATATATATATATATATATATATATATATATATATATCTGTGTGTGTGTGTGTGTGTTTGTGTCTATCATCGCGTACGTCCACGGATAGCATGCGCTGAATGAGGGAGAAAGGGATGTATGTGTGCGGAGAGTAAGGTTTGTAAGAGTAGCCGCGATAGGTCGGGTTTGATGAGAGAAAGAGAGAGAGAGAGAGAGAGAGAATATTTTCACAAAGACAGCCTGGTGAATCCGATTATCGACGTCCCGTGGTGGCTGGTACACGAAGAGGAAAATCGGCGATCTCTCTCCCCTAGGCTGCTGCTGCTAGGCCGACCGATCATATTTTCTCCCTACGTGCTACAACGAGATCAGGACAACAGATAGAAGAAACTGGGGCACTTGCGTCTTTTTAAAAAGACTACGATGTGAAACTCGAGGAAATTGCTACGCAACCTTCTCGACTGCGTTTTACTCGTGCACATCAGGATCCTACGTGGATATTCTTCGATCATACTGAGAAAAATCGTTGGATTGTACCAACAAGACGTATATGATTGAAGGCATTTCGGTTAAATCAAACAAGAATTTATAGTTATCATGATAAGACTCGATTTTTTTATATCTAGAATGTTTAATAGATTATATATTTATATTTTACTATAAGGATTTGGTCAGTATTTTCTGGTTAGATCTATAAAATTTCTTGTTACATTAATTTCTTTGCTTGCCGCTTTTAACTTAACTCGTATTCAATATTTGTCATAAAATGTATGTAAAGAACTAGTATTAACATTAAATCCAAAGTATATTTTTTTTCTTTTACGAGCAGTATTGCCAGAAAGAGGAGCTAGCTCTCTGATTGTGTGTGTTTGAGCTGCATCCTCTTCTTGCATCAATGTTTATCAGTTTAATTTCTAACAAACTGAACTTAAAATAATTTATTCAATAATCTGGATTGAATTTATCCAATAATCTTGTTGGAAATCAGAATATTAAACAGACTTTTGAGATTGGATGGAAAAAATTTTAGACGACTTGGTGCTGGCGAGTTTAGTATTATTAACCAGAAAATTTGGTAAATTTTACAGGAAGAAATTAATCAGATTCATCTGGCAATTCCTACAAGAATTCTGGTTCATCCATTTTTTAAGAGATATACTGATTAAATATATCAGAATTCTAATTAATGCAACCAGATTTTTTTCTCAGTGCACTGTTTATCAGTTTAATTTCTAACAAACTGAACTTAAAATAATTTATTCAATAATCTGGATTGAATTTATCCAATAATCTTGTTGGAATTCAGAATATTAAACAGACTTTTGAGATTAGATGAAAAAACTTGTAGATGACTTGATCCTGGCGAGTTTAGTATTATTAACCAGAAAATTTGGTAAATTTAACAGAAAGAAATTAATCAGATTCATCTGGCAATTCCTACAAGAATTCTGGTTCATCCATTTTTTAAGAGATATACTGATTAAATATATCAGAATTCTAATTAATGCAACCAGATTTTTTTCTCAGTGCACTGTTTAATTTCTAACAAACTGAACTTAAAATAATTTATTCAATAATCTGGATTGAATTTATCTAATAATCTTGTTGGAATTCAGAATATTAAACAGACTTTTGAGATTAGATGGAAAAAATTGTAGATGACTTGATGCTGGCGAGTTTAGTATTATTAACCAGAAAATTTGGTAAATTTTACAGGAAGAAATTAATCAGGCAATTTCTACAAGAATTCTGGTTCGTCCATTTTCCAACATACTGGTTGAATCTACCAGAATTCTAATAAATGCAATCAGATTTTTTTTTAATCGAGAAGATCGAGGCACATTGATAATTTTTTAAAAAGGAAACTTGGAGAGTCCAATAAATAACAAATTCATATTTTTCAAGAAATTAATTGCTTCAAAATTCTGATGAAATCTTCATTCGAAACTTGATTGTAAGGAACGTTACCGAAAAAAACAGCAATCTCTCTCGACAATCCCATCGGAGAGAAAAATCGATTTCAAATTCCGGCCGAAGAATCTTTGGTTGAAATACAACGGGACCCTGCTACGTGTTCGAAAAGATAATGCACCGAATATGTGCGACGAAATAACAGCTTTACAGGTGGCAAAGTCGACCAAATGGCTGATCGGCCTGAGCCTCCACGAAGTCTAATCATGTGCGATACATACATACCATACTCAACCGCACAATGCTCGCAGATGGGATATGTCAGTAGTAGGAACAAGGAGATACAGAGAGAGAGAGAGAGAGAGAGAGAGACAGAGACAGAGAGACAGAGACAGAGAGAGAGAGAGAGAGAGTATGAGAGAGAAAGAGAGGAGGGGAGAGAATAATGGTTCCCTGCAAAATTGATCGTTTTTGTGTGCAACAATTGCGACGATAACGAAACAAAGAACTCGCCCGCTTGTGGAGAGACTGATTATCGCGTCGTTTACTTTCGCAAATGAGAAGCGAAGTTGACAAGGCTGATGTTACGTTTGTCGTACGACGAATTTTTTTGTCGTATTTTGATGAGCTACAAAATAAAAAATTTCTAGAAATTCAGGAATTTTTTATTCTGCAATCAATCAGTGTGTTTAAAAAGTTTATCGTACAACAAACGTAATATCGCTATTGAGAAGAAAATAAAATACGCGAAATTTTAAAAGTAATTAATTTCAATATAGAAACTATAAGAAAAAAGAATAAAGTTTTTAGGTACAAACGAATGATATGACGTAATGTTTTCAATGATTTCAGAATAAAAAACGAATAAGTAACTCTCCTGAAAAATGGAACCTTTTAACTAAAGTGCTGTTCTCCTACGCACGGAAAATTTATTGTGATTATAACATTTATATATATCTCGCTCTAAATTTTAAAGTAAATAGACGCTACAAGCACATAAATATTAAAGCGTGTACACAAAGATATTAAAATTTTAAACTTTATGTCGTTATTGTATTCAATATTCGTGATGTACCAATATTCATAATATGCGATCTTTACATGCATAATTTTGTAATGTGTTTACAAGAAATTAATGCGAAAATTTTGTCGCGTGTCTTATGCAATTTACATGATTTTTCGATTGCCAATAATTTCATCAAAGAATTTAATATAAAACTGCGCTCGATAATCCTTCAAATTTGAAAAAAAAATATGATGTACTTATCTTTGAAGTAATATTGAGTGGAGAGCATGGGATATGTCAAAGTTCACTATACCAAGTTCAACGTAAAGAGCAATATCTCTAGAGTTAAAATATCGAATTTGTTCACGTTGCGGTTTTTCGAGAGAATTGCACTCTCTCTCTCTCTTTCTCTGTCATAAAATCTTATAAAGTAGTTTCTAAAGCTTAAGAATTACTCAAAGGATCGAAAACGTAGGATGTTGAATTAAACGAATATATTGACATAGCATATAATAGAATTATAAATTAATACAACAAATATATAAATATATTAATATATAATATATAAATATATTAATATATAATAATATATAATAAATATATAAATATATTAATATATATATATAAATATATTTACTAAATAATAATTTATATAATAATTTTCTTTTTTCTAGTAAATAAATTCATCAAATAATCTTTGAGAAAGAAAACATTTTGTACAAGTTTTATTTATAGATTTATACGTGTTATATTGAAGTACGATTTCTCATTATCGGTCAAGAAAGAAAAAGCTTAGTAATAAATCTTAGTAATAAATCACGTAAGAAAGATAGAAAAGAAAAATGTTTCTCGATAGTACTGGTATAACAGTGGATTTAGTAGATTCGCTTTTTATCTTAGCTTAACTTTATTTTCATATCCGGTTCATTGATTTCAGATGGTCCATCCAAAGAGCGATGAGCAACGACAAAGGCTCAGCGAAAGCGTCAAGAACATACTTCTGTTTCGCGCTCTAGACGAGGCAAGTTAAACATCTACGCTTTCATAAGCCATGATCGTAAACAGGAATAGATATAAGCGGCTTGGATATTCGCGCCAGCTCGGCGAAATACCAAGAAATCCACGAATAATCTCTTATTAGGAGCAATTGGTTTTGACGACGAGAGACGACTCGCACATAGTGTGGGATAATTATTCCTTTCATCAGCGATCTGCTCGAGCTAAATAAAATAGTATCGCGGTCGTCACTTGATTATTAGATTAATATTAAATGTGTTACACGAGATATATCTTTATTTAATCCCAATATATATTTCATTTTAATGTAATACTTAATGCGATTACTTTATATATATATATATATATATATATATATATATATATATATATATATTCAAATCTGAATTGTGTCGAGTTCTATTCGATATCGCATGTAAAAAGTTGCGAGAAAGATTATTATTATTTATCTAAAAAATTTTCGCCAAGAAAAATCAATTTTATACACTGAGAAAAATCGTTTGATTATACCAACAAAACGTATGATTGAAGGCATTTTGGTTAAATCAAACAAGAATTTGTAATTATCACGATAAGACTCGATTTTTTATAACTAGAACGTTTAATAGATTTTACTGTAAGGATTTGGTTAGTATTTTCTGGTTGGATCTATAAAATTTCTTGTTACATTAATTTCTTTGCTTGCCACTCTCAACTCGTATTCAATATTTGCCATGAAATGTATATAAAGAACTAGTATTAACGTTAAATCTAAAGTATATTTTTTTTCTCTTACGAGCAGTAGTGCCAGAAAGAGGACGCTAGCTCTCTGATTGTGTGTGTTTGAGCTGCATCCTCTTCTTGCATCACTGTTTATCAGTTTAATTTCTAACAAACTGAATTTAAAATAATTTATTCAATAATCTGGATTGAATTTATTCAATAATCTTGTTGGAATTCAAAATATTAAACAGACTTTTGAGATTAGATGGAAAAAATTTTAGACGACTTGGTGCTGGTGAGTTTAGTATTATTAACCAGAAAATTTGGTAAATTTAACAGGAAGAAATTAATCAGATTCATCTGGCAATTCCTACAAGAATTCTGGTTCGTCCATTTTCCAATAAACATATTAGTTGAATCTACCAGAATTCTAATTAATGCAACCAGATTTTTTTCTCAGTGTATCATTTCAGAATCGATCAATCAAGTTTTATTGAGCTAAATACGTCGTAAAAACTTTCGCAATATGTATATATAAATGCTCTTATGCAGAGGCACATGTATATTATTGCGATAATCAAGTCCGTAATTGCAATTTTAAAACCGATATATTTTAAATTCCAGACGTTAATATCGCTCTAAAATGTATTTATACGTGTATAATAAAAATTACTTTTGCAGGAACAAATGGCGGACGTACTTGACGCGATGTTCGAAAAAACCGTTCAACCGGGAGAATTTATTATCCGACAGGGCGACGATGGTGACAACTTTTATGTGATCGAGAGGTATAATACTTTTTCTTTATATATTACAGTTAACGTATCGATAGGCTTCTCCCTTCAGCGAGAAACTCCAATGAACCAAGATGAGATGCACACAGTCGATCGCGGTGCTTTTACTTAGAGCTGAAAATATTCGAAAGAACAATCGTTCAATCGATAATTTTATTATTTATATAATTGTTCGTATAATTATCGTAATTTCAAATTATTCAAGAAAAAACGAATATTTTGAGTCACGCTTTATTACAATTTCTTCCTTTCATTTCCGATTTCGTCTCTAATTGTTTCATGTTTCAGGGGAAAATTCGACGTTTACGTGAAAGATCCTGCCACGGCGACGGATAATCATATTCATACTTATGATAATCGCGGCGCTTTCGGAGAACTAGCCCTTCTGTACAATATGCCCAGAGCGGCCACCGTCAAAGCCATTACGCTCGGGACTCTCTGGGCTATGGATAGACAGACTTTTCGACGCATTCTTCTTAAATCCGCGTACAGGAAGCGTAAAATGTACGAGACTCTTATTAATAAAGTGCCGATGTTGAAATCTCTCGAGGTAAGTATTATTACGCAGCTTTTCTCCAATCGCCTTTTTTTTTTATCGATTATGTTTGCGCTGTAAAATCTTAAATAACTCTCGAGTTTTTTTCATATTTCGAGGTTAAATATAATTATAAATTACTACGTGTTCTCCTTCTATTCCTTTTTCTATTTTAATCAAACGAGATTGAAATGCAAAACGACAAAATAATGTTTGAAATGCTAATTCTTATGTGATATTAAGGATGCTTTGTATGTACAATCCCAGAAAAAAGTAGCTAGTAGTAGAAAAACTAGTAGTAGAAAATCAATATTGACAAATATATCCACTTTTGGTGTATTTTGAGTAAGAAATTGTGTGGAATATTGCAATTTGATCTTAGCTACAGTGCAGAGATGTATTTTTTAATATTTATTGCGTTTTTACTGAAATATTTCGAATTTTGTTAATCGAAATAATTAACTTTTGGCAGAGAATTTCGCCTTGTGTCAGATACATAGCTAATTTCATTGAATTATATTTAATATCTTTTTAACTAGTTGGTACTTGTATGATATTATTTGGCCAAATATTTGCTCTGTATCCACACTTTTGCAAATTTTAAACAAATTCTGAATATTATTTCCATGTGTTTTTGTTATTTGAATCGACGTGATTATACGTTTAGGTACACAACATCCTTAATCGAATTGATTAACTTTTGGCAGAGAATTTCGCCTTGTGACAGATACATGGTTAACTTGATTGAATTATATTTAATATCTTTTTAACCAGTTAGTACTTGTATAATATTATTTGACCAAATATTTGCTCTGTATCCACACTTTTGCAAATTTTCAACAAATTCTGAATATTATTTCCATGTGTTTTTGCCATTTGAATCGACGTGGTTATACGTTTCCTATAAAAATACATGTTAATTCGGTGCAAATTAAAATCCTTATAACTTGTGAACGCTTTAGTGAATCGATTTAAAAATTGTACTGAAGATTCTAAACATATGTAAGAACATTCTGTACAATTTTCATTAAATTCTCAATATTTTGAAAATGGGTACACAACATCCTTAATCGAATTGATTAACTTTTGGCAGAGAATTTCGCCTTGTGACAGATGCATGGCTAACTTGATTGAATTATATTTAATATCTTTTTAAGTTAGTACTTGTATAATATTATTTGACCAAATATTTAAAATCCTTATAACTTGTGAATGCTTTAAAAATTGTACTAAAGATTCTAAACATATGTAAGGACATTCTGTACAATTTTCATTAAATTCTCAATATTATGGAAATAGGTACGAAACATCCTTAAATGTGAAAATTCTTCTTTCAGGCTTACGAACGCATGAATTTAGCGGATGCCCTTGTACCGAAACAATATTCCGACGGCGAGCAAATAATCAGGCAGGGTGACACCGCAGACGGGATGTACTTTGTCGAGGACGGCGTCGTCAGGATTACTATACTCGGCGAGAACGGCCGTGAAATTGAGGTGCGCATTTATATTACACGTTAATTTAATTCCCCGCGAAACGATCCGATTACGACTACGAGTGCCAAGAAAATTCCTTATTTTACCCAGTACCTTTAATATTACGCAGATTAATCGTGTTCCGGCTGGCGGTTATTTAGGCGAGTTGGCACTCGTGACGCATAAACCACGCGCCGCTTCGGCCTACGCTGTAGGGGACATTAAACTGGCATGTAAGTCTATTTCGTTACGCCCACAACTTTCAAATTGATAGGTAATCAATAATATTGTGTCAATTACGAATATTGATATTAACAGTAATATTGTTATATCGGAGAGGAAATATATATCGCGATATTTCTGCATTTAACATTATTGAAAAATTTTCTCTATTTATGTCAAATTTTTCATCAACTTTTTAAATCAACTCACGCAATAATAATTATTTCGTTCTTGTCTAAAGTGATTATTTAATTTATTCCAATCATTACAGTTTTGGACGTTGAAGCTTTCGAGCGTTTGCTCGGCCCGTGTATGGAACTTATGAAACGTAATATTGACGATTACGAAGATCAGCTAGTCAAAATATTCGGCAGCAAAGCCAACATTTCCGACATTCGATGAACTGTCTCCGGCAGAGACACGTTCCCGCGCTGCTGTACTAAAGGACGCGACACTTTCGTACAGTATATAATGTATAACGTGCACAAAAGAGAACTTGTACCACCTACTTTTGAATCTCATCCCGCGTATTTCGAGTATCGTCTCGAGATCAACTGTTTGGTATGACTGTTCATTTTAGACGTACCGATTAAGATTCGTCGACGATAGTTACCAAGTTTATACCTACGACACACATTGAACAAAACTATAGGCTGCTCGATACTATGTATAAAACAATAACAGTGGTATTTAATAATTATCCTCTAAGACTGTACTAGATCAAAAAGAGAGTACGTTAGTGCATTATATCACGCGCTCGATCGTTTGTGAAATGAGTATCTCCATCTATTATAGTCTCAGATTGGATTATAATACTTCGAGATCTAGGACAGCATTATTAGTATATATTGTTATATAATATTCGTATCCCTAAAATGACTTAACGATTTATCTCGATGTATTCAATCTATGCATACATAATTCGCGTATATTCCCTTGCATTATATATTTTTTCGACAAATTGGCAGCTACATTTAAGTCAGCAGGAGTCTAAAATATTCGAAATTGAATGCTCTTCCAACATATTCTTCTTTTTCTCTCTGGCAAAGATGGATTACAAGAGAAATGATCATACTAATTGTGGTGACACAAATCTTACAAAGTTTCTATGAGATACCTACGTATGCATATCACTCCTTTTCGAAGATAATGAAAGTAACATTGCCACTATTAAACTAAATAAAAATAATATCCTTTGATACATCTATTTAATAACATAACATAATATCTTAATAAAAAATATCAGATTAGACAATCAAGATTCTATCTATAATTTCCAACGAGAATCAACACGCATTCTCTTTGTGAATAAATACGCACATATACACACAAACAAACATCGCACATAAACGCACATACTTGCAGTAAAATCATTTTTAAGCACAACATTCAATCCATAATATTATTTTTATTTTATTTTCTACAAATTTATGAGTTTTATCAATTGCATTATTATATTATTTCATATTGAAAACAAAATATTTAAAATTTATTGCATTTTTATAGGTAATTATTTATGATTAAATTAGTACAGTATATCAGATTAATAGTTTTCTACTCGAGAAAATACCAATTATTTTTAAATTGCAAATTAATTGTTTAAAAATGAAAATACGCATTAATTACGTTTGACATTTTCATAGTTTTTAAAAGATCTCAATAATACTACAGGGATATAAGAAATCGGTGAAAAGGGTACTGGTTTATATCCGCTTTTTTAAAGGATAAAGATTAATAAACGCCAGAATCTTTTAAATGCATTCTATTTCGGATATAAAGCACTCTCACAAAATGCATAGGAAGACTAGCGAGCCTTAAGATTGATTTAAATGCGCGGATATTGCAAAGCAAATATATATTTGAACATGTATGTTCGTATGAAATAATACTTTCTCTTTTACAATAACACAGATGTAAATGCAAAATAAGAGAGAAAAGGGATAAGATTCTCCTCGCTTTGAAGTCATCATTCGCTAAAGATTATGTAAATTTTGGTGTGAAGAAGATAACCGCGCATTTAAGCCAAGCGTTAAATTCAATGTGTTTTGCCGATAAAAATCATGGTAACTCGAAGATATATGAGAATCCGTCAACTTATTTTTATTACGTGTGTATGATATACACGTTATACATGTATGATATACGTCTATCATCGTGATAAGAGTCCAGTAACCGATTCGATTATTGTACGAACAGAAGTTGCGAATGCTAGTCACTTTTTTAATGATCGTGCTATCGTCACCCATTCTTCTTGTGACAATTACGCTCGGTCAAGAAAAATAGAAAAAGGAAAAGATACGTCTTATTATAGTAAATCGTACATTTACTACATGACTGAGAAACTCGATGAAGCGACAGAGCTTTTTAAATAATATCACAATCGTGTGAGGGAGAAAGGGGAGACTAGTATGAGGGTGAAATAGAAAGAAGATAGCATAGGAATTGTTAACAATTGTGTTGCTCTTTGTTCGTTTGTGGCACTTATGATATCTTGCACTTATAATTCTTTTTTCATGTACGAACACTTTTCTTAAAAACAGTTTGAGAATTATTCTGAAGAGAATTATTCTGAAGTTAAACAAATTAAATTAATTGACTCGATGTCAATAAACTGGGAAAAAATTTTTCACTTTAAACACGTTAGCAATTAAAGATTTTTTTCGTCGCAATGTCAACATCTTTAGTCTTCCACTGTATCTCCAGGCTGTGATATTATTTTCGACTGAGTATTTCATTCCCGTTCTTGTAGTTTTTCCTACAAGAAGAATAAAAGAATATTGTAATTGTTATCAAATTCGTGATACATTAAAACTGATAAATTTATTTTAAATGACTAAATCAACGTATCTTGTATATGTAAGTGCAACAGAGAGTTCAATGGATTAGCAAAAGTGACTTGATTATTATTGGATAAGAGGAACTCTAGACGTATCGCAAAAGAAAAGCAAAAAAATAATTCGCATATTGAATAAACTTGATACGCATAAGTACTTACTTGTGTTAGCTTACATTCGATAAATTAAATGTAAAGCATTAAAAGTTAGAAAATCTGTCCGATTCATATTATGCTGTATGTATCTATCATGTGATTTGTCTTATATGTTGCGTGTTGTCTCTCATGTGCGAGTATGGATGTTGATATGCGTGTGTGACGATCGAGCCAGTAATTTGTTGATTTATGTTGCTATTATATTGATAGTTTACACTCTCCGATAGTTGTTAAATCATGTTATCGTCATTAATGCAATATATCGAAATATGTCCTATGGATAAATATCAGTAACAGTAGTATATGCCTTACTGTGCCGTACATTGGATCTTTGCCTTTTTACATTTAAAGAGGGGAAGATCCATGAAGAACCGAAGATTATAGATTTCGTTATATATCCGCGATTTACACTGCTGGATAAAACGTCCTACTAAACTTTGTGTAAATATTCATAAGAATTTTATTTATAATTTTAGCCATTATTTTCATTTAAATTAAAAATTACTTACATTATTTTATTTTATTTTGTTATTAGTTTATAATCAGTATATGAATCAGTTTGGTATGTATGTAATAATAATTTATATATCAAAAAGCTTTTCAATATTTTATTATTAAACCAGCAGTTTATTAGTTATTCGCATGTGTTACATTCAGCAATGGGCATTTTCAACTTTCCATCTTCAGGCTATTAAATCAATATGGAATTTCGAATTATTTCGAATATTATTGGAAATTTAGAAATTTTGGTTAATCTTGACTATCTCGAAGAATTTTCTCTAGTTTAAATAAAATTTTTGAAATTCTGATTTTAAAAAATCTGAAATTCTTGGATATTGAACGGTACATGAATTATGTATCAATGTTTGAAACAAGCATATTTTTTTATTGCAAGTGTTATGAATTATTTTAATTAAATTATTATAATTATCATAAAAAATATTTTTTGCAGAGAGTCTTATTATAAATCTCAAATTTGTATGCAATATCCATTTACAATTTAAAAAATGTTTAACAAATACAGGAATATTAAAAAAAACTTCTTAATACGAGGCCTTCGTAGTTACTATTCATCATTTAAAAAGTTTTTAATTTTAAATAATATTTGAAATAATTCAAAACTCTCTTTCTTTGTGTGTTTGCAATAATTGAAACGCTTGTCTCAGCCCATCGCTATATTGCAATTCTAGTCCAAGGTGACATAATAAAAAAAATGTTTCCAATCAAGTATCGAAAATCAGAGAGAGTTGATGAATTGATCGCGGTAACAATATTTATAACTGGTTAATTACTGTACCAGTAATGCTTGTTTCTTTTACACGTTTAATTTAAGTTTTTTCCCGTATGTACAACGATATTTCCTTTAATATGTTTGATTTATTAAATGTAATGTTAGCAGTTATGTATGTGTATTATCAATGTTATTGTGCACATAATGCAATGCACTTTGCATCGGACCAATTTTAAAGAGCAATTGAGCTTGCGACTATTTTTTCTTTTTTTTTTTACTCTAATATTCTTTCTTTTATGGTATAGCTCTAGCGTATATTATAAATCTTCCCTAATGTATACCTCTTATGCGAGTTCTAAAATGTTACGTTCTAATAACTTTACTGCCTCTGTCGCGCGTATGAGTCTAAAAATGATAATTTTTTAAACGTTATTTCCTCGAATACGTCTATGGCCCGTTTCTACCAACGCCGCTTAACTTTAATCTTAGCTTAACTCATTCTTTGTCTCCTTTTAACTGTTCTTTTAGAAAGAGACAAAGAATGAGTTAAGCTAAGATTAAAGTTAAGCGGCGTTGGTAGAAACGGGCCTATGGCAGATAAACTTTATATGAATTTAATCCTAAACGTGACTCGAGAAAAATCTGACAAAGTAATCCTTCAAATAATTCTCAAGTCACATGCTTTAATGCACACTAACAGAAGCAATACGAGTCCCAAACTCGATTGCGTGCCGACAATCGTCCGGTGTCGTCGTCTGAGAATGCTTGTACGATTGAAAGTATCTTATGGTAGTCATATACTTTATTTCTTTTTTTAGAATAATCGTCATCTTGTTAAAACATTTTCTTCGTTTTTTATTCATATACTGCACTTTTCTCCCACACTTAAATTCCGATAATATTAGTATTTCACTGTGAAAGAGAAATATATAATTATATTAATGAAATATATTATACATTAATATATAATTATATTCATATAATTATATATATTAATATAATTATATATATTAATATAATTATATTAATATTAATATATATTCTCTAAATTTCTTCAAAAATGACATAATTTATCATGAGCATATTACAGTGCAGTTAGAACAAAAGAACGAAAGAAAAAGAGTATACAGTTACGGGAAATTGGGACGTTCGAGAGCCCAGAAGTTTCTTTTCGTTGCGAGTTCCCCGTTTTATGTCCGATTTTCCATTATATTATTCCAACCAAAGCATGCTAAAGAGAAATCTCTCTGATTGTATTGTAAATGTTGAATAAATTTAGAATATATAATTAGTCTTATAAAGTGTATGTATACATATGTTGCTCGAAATGTACTATACATATATAGCGAATAACATCAGAATAGTCTTTTTGTGTTCCGTTAGTGATGTAAGGAAAAGTCGATCTTGTTTTCGGTTAAATATTATATGTATCGTTTAAAACGAACAGTAAAATTGTAAAGTATATCCTATACTTTGTTAACCCGTTCGATCACTTATACCCATCTGATGTATCAAAGATCCTTGTACCTTCAGAAAGGAGAAACGACAAAAGAGGGGAGATCCGCTCACATGCGTAGCCTTCTTTTTAAATGTCAAATAATCAGAGTATAATTATTTTGCGCGCAACAAAATTTTCTAGCTTTTTTTTTTTTTATCGAACATGCGGATCCATTATTATCCAAAATTTCTGCGGCCCTTCCCCGAACTGTATATTTAAACTGAATAGATTTTATACATATGCATGCAATAGGAACGTTTCTAGTTATAACAGAGTGTTGTAAATTATACGAATTAGTACGTACTTAATGCCCCTCGTTTCGTAATGTGTTATAGTATTGTACAATGAAATATGCACATATATATAGGATGATTTCCATATAGATGGGATATAGACCGATACTGCTATCCCTTGTGAAAAAAAGATGAACATTTTTTTTCTTTTCTTTCAAAAAAATTTGCGGATTATTCCATTTATATGGGATAATCTATGGGTGCGTATAATGTATACAATTGTTAAGGTATATAGTGTAATATATCTTTTATATACATGTATGTAAATAAATGTATATAAAAGATACATATACAAACATATACGTATACATATATATATATATATATATATATATATATATATGAAATCAGTATATATGTCGACACTCGTTTCCAGCTGGTCTGATCGGGTATCATTCTAATAATATATAATAATATATTATATATATATTATAATACATATTATATATTATATATATTATAAAATATAATAATATATTATATATATATATATATATATATGTATATATATATATATATATATATATATAATAATTATATAAATTGCGTTAAAAATCTGGCGGCGATGTGATTCAAAATAATCGAGAGCTGAATGCGATGCAGACGGATCGATTTATTGTACGATACGATGTATGTCCATATATGATTTGTTAATATATCGAGAGGTAAATAGATTTTACTAAAGATTTTCTGTATGCTCTGTGAATGCAGCACAAGTTTATCTTACGTACAACGTACAATACATAGATATAATCCGGAGATATATATAATCGAAGGACGAAGGGTAAATTAAACAGAGTACTTGCGCACGCTTTGTAATATAAATCTGTAAGATGCGCGATCACATGTCGTCCATGCGTCTCCTTTTCTCTTTCTCTCTCTCTCTCTCTCTCTCTTTTTAATAATATAAAATTCATTTATATGAAATAAATCTCTCGCCGCAGAAATGCAATACTTGTAATAATCATGCGTTTATAGGAGCAAGAGAGCAATCGATAATTAAAAATTAGAGATAGACACGCTCACTTTTATATGCCTGGAATTTAACGATACTTAACAATTGATTATGTTTCAAGATAGATTATTTCTGATCGTCACACATTGATTCGCGTGCAAGTGTCTTGGCAGACAGATATATTCTCATCTATAATTATCACTCGTTAGAATCAATGAATGGAATTTTATTTAGAATATCTTAATTTAAACAATTATTAATTAGCTAATTTTTTCTTACAAATATTCTAAATATAATTTAAATATATTTAATAACTAAATATATTTAAATAACTAAATATATTTTCCGTAACATTTCATTTTTTTGCTCAGGAAGAGATTGAAAAAAAGTCGGAGATAAATTTCTGTGCGGCAAATGCATATCTCTTACGTGTGCAATGACACATTGATTTGATAACCATATCGAAGTCAGGATTAATCGAGTAATCTTGTTCATATATATAGCTGATGTAATTATTATTCATTTATCACTCATACCGGATGTCGTAGAAAATTGGACACTGTTTTAAAAGCAGTAGAGTGCTTGCCAGAGCAAGAAGTCTCTCCTAAATTAGGTCACTACAATTCTATGTACGGTCATCCTCGTGTAATCTATTATTCATGTATACAGGATGTATCTTAAAAAGCTCCCACTAAGCAAATAGCGTTATACCTGATGAAAAACCGAATCGAAAAGTCCTGAACCATTTTTTCCCCCAAGATTCATTAAATATAATTAATCAGATTTAAGTATTATATTAATTAATTATATTAATTATTATATTAATTAATAATTAATCAGATTTAAGTATTAAAAAGATTTCTGAAAAGATGAATTGTTTAAAAATGAACACAAAACAATTAATTTTTTTGCTTATCCAAATCTTCATACGTTGGTAACGAGGAAGTTTGTCTTTTTTATTGGCGCGACTTTAATCATTAATTACCGCTTTATTAAGCATTATGGAAAAAAAATGCTTCAGGACTTTTCGACTCGGTTTTTAATCAGGAATAACTCTATTCGCTTAGTGGGAGCTTTTTAAGATACACCCTGTACATCTCAGGTCTGATAATTTATTCAGCTTTAAACAGCTTCCATTCTTTCTGCGATACCCTTTCGTGGACATCTCGTCGCGTATAAGCTTAACTCGGATACGTGCATGTATCTTCGTGATGGAGCCTAAGCGCGGTTGTAAACCAAGGTCAAGTCTCAGATACGTAGAATGAAAAATAAAGATTTGGTGTGTTTCCCTTTACGCTTGATCACCATTTTCGTATACAAGCTCTTTTTTTTTTTTACACACATTTTAATCACTGTTCAATTAAGCAGCGGCGTTTAAATGTCTCCCGTAACTGTATCTCACGAGTCGAGCATCGTGTATGTCAAGTACGAAAAGAATTTTGTACAAAATGTACAGAATGTATGAAGATGTATATTCACTTCATCAAGAAGCTTCTCGTATGAAATCTACGAGGCAGCCACCGCTCATCGTCTTGCTCTCGTATACTCGCTCCATCGTTTTGCGAATCATCGCTCGGATAATTCTATTTTTGTCGCAAATGCCGTGGAATATGCTATACAAAATCTCACATAAACCGATGCGAGTTTGTATCCGAGCAGCGAGCAACAATAAACACATGGTATAAATAGATAGCATGATAAAACGTGAGGATATAATAAATGAATGGACCTGTATAAAAAGATATCTATCGTATTTTGTCATTATTGTTGGTAATTCTCCCAGGTTTACGCGTATTCTTAATTTTTTCTCTCACAATTTCATCAATAATTTTATATAATTATTTTCATGAAATACAACATTTCCTGAATCGACTATTACGAGAATTGCCAATTCTTTGTATTACTTAGGAAACTCTAGTAAAATTTCAGAATTAGATAATCTTACACATACTGAAATTTATAAATATATACATATCCTTTTTTAAGATCCTTTTGTGTTATCTATTTATATTTGTATCAAACATACATATTGGAAGGACAATTTGAAGCGTCGAGGCAATGTGTCTTTCTCGATTATAAAGATACAAATTTAACTGATAACTTCAGATTTATCTTTCCTTCTAAAATTGAAATTTACAAAAAAAATATTCTTTATCTGTTAACGATTATATATAATATCAACTTACAAAATAAATTCATCGATCATAATAATTCTCTTGATATTATTAGATAACAATAAGTAATGGACTTTATATATCACTACGAAGGATCATATCAGTTCTTTGATGTACAACCAATTCTAGAAAAGCTAACGCTATCAATAAAGACCAACTAATTTGCTCTTGATAGATAGGAGTTTGCGTGTTGTACATATTTTTTAATTCTGTATTTATTAATACGCTCGGCAAGCGTTCTTTAGTTTTCTTTAATCTATCGCTTTCTTGCAGTAGTTTGTCCATCATATATTTTGTAGCTATATTTTCCTTATCAACTACGAGTCCATAGATTTTTGGTAAAATACGCTTGCGCAATATAAAGATGTTATTTGTTATAAATTCCATGCTATCTGAAAAGTTTGTAACAATATTTTTATCTTTCTTTTGAAATATATAACAAATGTTACTAATACTAGAACGATAAAAGCGATTATTTTTTCATTCAATCATAGCTGTAACTTTTTTATTTATTTTAAGAATAATCGATCTCATTAATCAATAAATTTATATTTAAAAAAATCATGATTAGTGTAAATTAAAAAAGAAAAAAAATTCATATTTTTTTTTATTATTTTCTAATTGATTCTTTTGTCTTGGAAACAATTTTTCTTCTTCCTTCAATAACTATTATGAATTTTAATCGTTCTAATATTAATATAACTGTTTGTGAAGTGAATCTTCATACTGTTAAATTTACTATTTGATGTTGACAAATATGACAGAATAATAGCGTTAACCACAGATTCTTGTACATAAGCCTGATAAGCCGATTGGCCCTTATGATGGCCTATGTTACCAACAATATCCTGCAGTACATATCGATCAGCCTTTGGTAATTTTTCAGCTATTGGTAATGTCTAAAAAGATAAAAATATTTCAATATTTAAAATATTTTATTAAACATTTAAAAATATTTAATGAAAATAGTTGTTAACTCCAAATATTCATTCTATAATTGATAATCAATTCGAAATCCTAAAACAGACTTTTTATATAGATTTATAACACATAATAGAAAACTTAAAAAAAACACAGAAATTATAATTAAATTATAATTGTACAAGAAAAATATAATTGTTTGTGGTACTTACTATTTGAAGTAAAGAATGAATGTTCCCTTTTAATTTAGTTTGTGGAAAACACTTGTAATTCCATTGTAATACTTCGCAATCGCGATTTAACAATGACCAACTTATCATATCTGACCCTATGTATACGCCTAATACTGTATTAACATCCTGCAATATTTCATATAGATAGAATTAATTACACAAGGATAAGAGAAAAAAGCTACTAATAATATATATAATGCAATATTTCAACTTAAACATTAAGTTTGATTTCTTATACCTTCTGGTCGTTAGCTTTTGGTGTTAGAATTAAGCCTCGTGTAATTTTCTTAGGCGTTCCTTTGTTGCCATATATGATAGACTTGTAGAACTTGTGTAGACAGTTGTTATTTATACCTTTAACTTGTAATAAATCTTCCAATGACTTATATGGTCCATTATTTGCACGATGGCATTCTAAATTCTCTGCACGTTTCTTAGTAATGGAATACCTTAGTATAAGTATAATTTCAACGATAAAGAATATAAAAAAAAATTCAATGTGTATAAAATAGAAAATTTTTTTATACAAATAATTAACTCTCTTACTGAAGTAGATCTTCCATCCTTTTGGAATTTATTACTTGGAGAATTTTCTTCTCATCTTCTACAGAGAAGGAATCTAAATTCATAGTATCAGTACACATACTATTTATTTTAAAAGTAATTGCGCCTGATTCCCAATGTTTGTAGATCTGCAGATTGAGATATAAAAAATAAAGAGAATATTAAATTTCGAAAAAAAAACAATTATTTATATAAAAGTTATTAACCCCTATAATGTATTGTATTCTCTTTCTCTTATCAATGCACGAAATTTACCTGCGTTTTTTGAGTCTTAATAAAAGTCTTATTAAATAATCTTCTTAGCATCATATTCCACATTTTTTTCTTTATTATAACAAATTATATATGCATATAAGAACACATACCGGTCAATCATACATTATTATTATGCTCGATTGGCACGTCGTAAGATATATTAATTATATATATTCGGATATATTAATTATTAATATATAATTTCTGACAATTTGTATTTTTTTAATACGTCACAAGTAAATATTTACCTGCAACAAAATGATAAAAATGCGTTCTTTTTAACAAAAGAGGAAAAATATTTCTTTATATCGATTGGTCAATCGAACAATTCATCAAACATATCGATTGGCTGCCAGATAGAGAATATCTAGAGTTCCGAAAATATTTTCCATTAACCAGCCAATCAGTGCGAAAAATCTCTATCATGTGTCAAATGAAATATTACCTCAAGAAAATTTTATTATCTTAGGTTGGCGACACTGGACTCGGATAAATTGGCCGCATTCAGAGGATTCAATGTTACTAGATTTTCCGATGTAATACGACGCTGATTGGTTGGATCTGAAAGTAGAAACCAATCATGTTCAATTGCCACTTGGCGGTTGAGTCTGCTGAATACGGCCATTAACTACCAAATTCGAATATTTGTGTACATACGTTTTTTTCTAGAGGCGGAAATCTATAAGAAAGAAGAATTCGAATACTTGGAACAGTCTCTAAAATGGATCGCTCTCGAAACGATCAGCGAAGGACTGTAACGTTGAAGCCGAAAAAAGTTTCGACTGACGAAAGTCACATTCCCAGGCCTCGTTTCAGGAGTTCCTCCAGCGATCGAGCGGGCTCGATTGGCAGAAAATCATTTTTAAAATCTACAGGTACAAGAGTTACACTTCATAGCAATTAAATTTGTGTCATCTTTCAATCAGTTGAGTGATAATAACACGATTAAGATTATTGTTCAGTGTACAGGTGCCTTTTAAACTCGTTTATTTGATGTATTTTAAGGTATAAATATTATATAAAAAAATTCTTATAGAATTTTTGTATAAAAATTTATACAAAATTTGTATACCAAATATTTTTCAATGCGAGTGTAATTAATGAAGAGTACAAAAACAGAAATAATTTTCAATCTGTTAGAATATTTTGTGGTCTTTTAGGCTTTTCTATTTTTATATTAGATTGTTTATCTTACAGACCGTTTTATTTTATTTTTCAGATCATTATATTTAATTTTAAAATATATAATGACTTTTTGAAGATAAATGTATACATGTATACACATATGTAAAAAACATTTACTGTCAAATAATGTTTGTATAAAATTATTATATTAAAATATGATTTTATAAATTAAAAAGTAAAGATATGGGAAAGGTAATTTTTCGAGTAAAAAATCAAGTCAGAAAAAGTCTTACATTTGTTTCGATTCTTCAACTAATTTAGGGTATGCAATTTATACATGCATGTACAAAGTTAAAATATAAAAGATTCAATGACTTGGATTGGATAACTCTACAATTATAAAATCAGAATTTTAATTTAAAAAGCTAATATGTGTTGATGCAGGATAAAAATATGTTTAATAATATAACAAGAACTTTATTGAGAATATTTGTAATCTGGAACATATCAAATTTTATAGATCTCAAATTTTAATGGTGGCTCATTTTATATATATATATATATATATATTTGTATATGCATAGGTAAAACTCCTCTACATCTATCGTCGACTCCAATTACACCTTTGAGAGTTTCCACTAGACTTAATGTACCAAGTTCAGCACGTTCAGATGGACATCTTGCAGCATTATCAACAGCCCGATCGCCATCCGGTGAACGTGCTAGCAATACTGGTGCTAAGGGTCCCAGAAAGGATACAAGGCCCTTGAGCGATAAGAGCTACCAAATGGAGTTGTTAAATAAGATAGATAATTTTTTTCATGTAAATCAGCGTTCAAACATGCTCAACAGTAATGGTAGTTTGAAGCCGATTACATTGAATATGTTTGTAGAGACTTCTAATTTTCTTTTGAAATTTTTCGACATCAAGCAAGAACTCACAACAAAAAATTATATAGAGGAGATTCCGACAAGTGCAAAGAAGTTGCATTATCCTGGTATAATAAGCAAGTCGTGGTTAAAGACTGCCAATGTACCACATTCATGGCCCAATGTTCTCGGATGGATTGGCTGGCTGGTAGAAGCATGCCAAGTGAGAGAACTCGCGCTTAATAGATATCAGCTAGAAACTTTACCGTTTATAGGAACAGAGCAACAAGCTCAAATTAACAAAATAGAATTTATATCATTGTTAGAATCTTATAAAGCTTGGAATGATGAGAAACTCGACGAGGAAGCAGAATTGTTGGAGAAATATCAACGGGACGTTATAACTCAAAAAGGCATTTCCGAGGAGGATATAATTCAGGCACGTAAAGAATTGGAAGAAAATACCTCGAAATTACAGATAATAGAAGAAGAGTCACGAGAAATGGATGAAATAGTTAAACATTTGAGTGAGAAATTATTGTTTTTACGCGATAAACATGATAAACAATTGGACAATATTAAAGCTAAAGAAGATTACATAGAGAAGACTTCTGCTGAGACAAATCAATTAAATGCAGAACGCGATGTTTTGAATGAGCAACTTGAAAAGGGAAAGATACAATACAGAGAATTAATATCAATTGTAAAGGACCAACCCATGTCTAAATCTGCAAAAGAAAAAATTGTCAAAGAATGCACGGAGATACAAAACTATATACATGGATTCGATGAGCATTTGAAAGATTATCAAAAAGAATTGTATACTTTAGATATCAAACTCGCATCTTTCAATAATGATCTCAATAAAGCAATATTGGCATATAATAAAGAGATTTTTATGCATACTGATAGTGACATTGTGAATTTTGATGAATTAAAACTCCCGGAGAAAGGATTATTAAATCCACAAATAATGGATACTATGAAAGAAAAAATTGCTTTAATGAATACTTGCAAAGAATTATTGACAAAACAATCCATTGAAATAGATTCTTATATCTGTTCTGAGACTATGAAATTGGAGAAATTGCAAGAAGAAGTTAAATTTCTTGTGAATGAAGATAAATTAAAAAAGGAGAAAGCTTGCATTGATAAAATGAAGACAGATGTGAGAAATGAGAAAATTGAATTGACAAAACAGATAGAAGTCCTGAAAAATGAAATTAAGGCAATACAGGATATGATGCCAGATATACGAACAATAGATCTTGAAATAGAAGAGGCCGAAGATAAATTAAACGCAGTAACTAGAAGACGGATATTTTTAGAACAACGTGCCGAAGAGTTTTTCGGCAAATTTTATAAAATAATTGGTGAACACAGAAGCGAGCTTTATAATATTTTAACAAGAAAAAAATCCACAGAATAAGAAAATCTATATGTAAATATTTTTATAATAATGCTCTTTATATAGCATGCGCTCATAATTAATTTTCATTCATAGTATATGTTCATAAAGATTTTTATAGTATATGTTCATTACTCTTATTCTTATATTATTTATGATATATAATCTATTATTAGGCCATTTCGTTATATGAGTTATTTAGTAAAATGTATCACAATAAAAGTTATAAATACGAATTATAAATACAAAATAATATATAAATAGTTATAAAAAGAAATAATTATGTAAAAACGAAATATGTCATTTTAAACAAGGAATTTAATAAATACGTTTCTCGTAGAAACTCGTATGTCGTTTATATCGTACAAACAAAATAAATGCACATTTTTGTCTTATATTTTTTTTCTTTCATTTGCTTTTACAAAATGATGCAAATTCTAGTATGTAAAATATTTTTATTCTATTAGCTCTATATGTTATGACAATATGTAACTCGCATTTTTTTCTTTTCCTTTTTTGGATAAGTTTTAACATGATCTGACAAATTACACAGTTGAAACATACATCTTTTAACTCTGCGACGTACATGATACATTAATAATTTATAAATAACAAAAGGTATTAACGAATACTATGTATATTACATACAAGGAATATTACATGCCAATAAAATATTCATCTTTCGAGAGTTATATTTTACAATATAACTGCGTTTCATCAATGCTTAACTATATGATGAGTAATTGATCTTCTATTGAGGAGTAACTTTCTAATTAGCTTGCTGTACAATTTCACTTTTGAACTTGAACAATTTTTATATTATTTTTTAAAAGTTTAAGTTTTATAAGCCATTCTATTTAAAACATATTAGAAATTATGCCATGTGGCAGAAAAGAGTGCTCCAACTAAATATATGAATGTGAATTACATGTTCTCTATTCTGTAGATTGTATTATTATTACTATTTACTATAAATATTATGCTTTATTGGTGATCAAATGATGATCATTTGACTGATATTTTCAAAGTCACTCCTCAATTATACCTGAATGTATCATTTAAGCTATAACTAGGTCCCGAGCTGTTTTTGTCTTATATTAATCTGTACATATGAAACATAGTAATTAATATGCTACATTAATTAAAATGCATTGTGCGATATTTAGTATAATCGATTTTAGGCATTTGCAATTTCTTCCAAATTGATTTTTTTTGCTATAAATAGCACTTTAAATAATAATTTAAACAATTTCCAATTTATTTAGCTTTACATAAGACAAAATTAACAATAAAAAAGGAAATATTTAATTTACTATAAATATGTATTGTGATTTTCAAAATTAAAATTAGATTAGATAAAATATTAATTTTTACATACAAAAATATATGATATTAGATTTTTGCATTAATTTTATCTTATGTTGAGCTTTAGTGCATATCGCCTTTTATATGTGGATCATATACTGTATAAATTTTTTTTACTCATAAGATTTACAAAGGATTTAGCCCACATGCATATATTTTATTATCTCTTTCTTCCCATATTTAATAAACTGTCTTATCGTAAACTATGAGATCATTTATGTGCTGTGAGAATGTACGCTATTGTGTTGACTATTGTGAAAGGATTAAGATGTATGTTTTTTGTATCCAAGCATGATTACATGATTACATATGATCAACATGATGGATTCATTGATGAATTCATAGATGCTTCAGAAAAGTGCATACATACAGTATGTACACACACACACACACACACACACATGCGCACATGAAAATTAAGAAATATTCTACATACACTTAATAATTTTGTACTAATGTTTCGTACGCGCTTTAAATATAGTGTAATGAGTAATTAACACATTCGATTATTCTCGAATGAATTAGAATTCTAAAATTTGCTATCCTCGATGTTTATACTAGAAAATTCAATAGAATTATCACTAAAAAATTTTACACATTTTTGACATAAGATATCATTTATACATAATAATATATATATAATTATTGTAATAAATTTTATATGTAATATATAGTCACCACACAGGATTGGATTTAACTCTATAGTTGCCTATAGGCACCTAAATAGTGTTTGAGAGAAGGATTATCCACATATATATATTTTTATATATTTATAATTTATTAAATAACTTTCATATATAAGTAACAAAAATAAGTAATATACATCATATATATATATATATCAATATTACATATAATAAAAAAAGAACAAAATAAATATAAATAAATAAATTTTATGACATTAATATTATATTACAAATAGAGTATCTTATATCAAATATTTTATATTTTTTATTGCTCTCTCTTTTTCTGTTCAGTGATACACTGAGTATAACATATGTTAATTATGAATTATAACATGCATAATTTTCATATTAAATAAAATTATTCTTTTGAAATGTACTATTATCATCACCAAAAAATCAACTTTTAGAAGACTTTTTATATTTATATTTAATACTTTTTTGTTCAAGTACTTTTTAAAAATTTGCCTGAATCCATACCTATGATGATTATTATTGGAAAAATCCAACCCCGATAGTAACACTACTTAATACAAATCTGCTTTCATATAAAATTTCAAAGCAAATAAAAACTAGACGTTTATCTAATTATATCTTTAATTTTCTAAAATAACAAACAATGTTTACAACCTGAATTACGTATAGATCTCCTTATCTCTCATTTATATTATTTAAATTATTCTCTGTTAGTATATGCAGCTTACTTAGAGTATTTGTCATTATTTCGATGCAATCTTAAATTGTAGGAAAATTTAACAGATTATCGCCCTACTCATATTTTTTGAGTTTTATACTTAGGGATTATAAAAATCAGTATGCAAAATAGATAATGATCTTTTTGTCACATTGTATGTACAACTGGCAAGTTGACGAGATATCTTTTAATGTGTAAATATTCAATTCATCAGCTTTCATATTTAAATTTAGCCCGCTTTGTTTCAATTTTCACAAAGAATATGTGTGTAAAAAGTTTCGGCATCAGTTATATAATATTCACAAATTGTAAAATGTGGACAGATAAATATCATTTAGAACACATATATATTAACTTGGAACTTGCTACAATGTATACTCATGTATATGAATAAAACATGCAATGTTATATAATTAACATATCTATATAAAATATGTACAATTTGTAACCAAGTCCCTTCTTGGCACAAAAGCTGAAGAATCAAGTAACTATAAAATATGTACAAAACATACGTTTACTTAGTAGAATATTATTGGAATTATAAAGAAAAGAATATATATACACATAGTCAAGCACGGCACGTGAGAAATATTTTCATATGTATGAAACTTGCCTTTTATACTATACAATTAACGGAACAATATTCAGTAGAGATTATGAGCGTTTATACAATTTTAAAAACATGTGAACGCATATAACGTACTAATAAAATAACAGACATTAAATCATAATTGTGATTAATCTTACACACAAAATCGACATTGTGATTAACATGTTCTGTGCCAGATTGATTTCCCGTTCATTTTACATTGGTCACCTTATATTATTGAAGCTCATAATTTTACTTATGACATAAAACTGTGATAATTGTTCATCAAACAAAAAAGCGTAACATTTAAAATGCTCTATAAAATACAAATAAAAAGAATTTATTGTATATAGAGCTTGAAAATATCTAAACAGATACATGTGGAACATATAATATAATTGTTTGATATAATATAATTGCACTATGGATATTTAGGCATTGATATATAACTTTATAAAATATCTATAATAATGTTATAATTAATAGTAAAAATTAAATGAATTGAATGGAAGGCTCAGTAGACTCACATGGCAGGGAACGTGTTAAATATCCAATTAAATTTTTCAGTTTTTCCATGTCATGTACAAAATATTTACAGAAATATATAAATGATAGTAAATATATATATATATACATACATATATATATATATATGTTTACTATCATCACTGTAAATTCATAATTGCATATTTTTGATTTTTATAATTTTTAATGCAAACCAGATTCGAGTAAGTTATTTACATAACGCGTCCTTTTCTGGCGCACTCGTCATAATCTGTTACCACAGGTATTTTTTATCACTTTGTAATATTCATTTAAATACTTTGTCACACATCAATTTGTATATCACTATCTTCCGCTTCACTTTCAGTACTCACCATAGCATCTTCCCCCACTAACAAAGCAGCAGGTAAGTTTTGTGGTACATTATCAATGTCTAATCTCGGGGTGGAGTACACATTTAAAACTTGTATTGTTGTAGGAGACGTCGATAAACACTGCGGTACAGATCCTAGAGGATCTCCACTTAGTGCATCGCAATCCAAAGAAGTGGATAATTGCAATTGTAAATTATGAAGTTCAGGTATATGTGGACGGATCTGAAATACATGTATAAAATTATATAAAATATAAATTATATAAAATGTTTGAAAACAAAGAAGACAGTTAAACATAAAAGAAGCTTGAAATCAAGTAAATTAATTCACCTTTAATCCATCTGCTGTATGAGGATTTCTGCAACCTCTACATCTACAGTCTACGCAAGGTTTACTTTCCACATAACAAGGACATCTTTGACCACAACAGGTAAGTTTCCCAGGTATTGGAGTGGCGTTGCCACATCGGCATCCTTTCCTTTTACTTCTAGCAGAACTTGACCTTGGCTTCTTAAAACTGCCTGAAGACTGCTCATAACAAAGTGAATTACGTTATTACTAATATTAAGAAAAAAAGACATTGCTTTAAGAGTATATATTACAGATCAATGCAGAAGTAGCCAAATTAAAAGTTGGAGCAAATATCTCTTTAAACATGGAAAAAAAAAAGACAAACATCTGCATTAATCTTTCTTATGGGACCTAGGCGAACATAAATCTCTCGAGATTTCTCTAAAATTAGTATTAGTACAAAAATAAGAGCGCTATATATAAAGGTTAATAACTTAACGAGTTGAGCTGTTCAATTGTTAATAGGTCAGAAAAATTATTGTACCTTACAAGAAGTGTTAACGGAGGACGTACACATCTTTAAGCATTTAAATAATGATTATTGTGCAATATAAATCATGTAAGGCGTAAGGTTAACCGAATATCTATTGAAATTACTTTGCTGCCTTTTGAAGATTTTTTCTCAGAAGGGGTCCCATATCTAAGGTGGGAAGACGGAATGCATTTTACCCCTCCTACAGAGCTGTGTTGACTTCCATCCGTCTCCTGTTGACTCGTTTCCATGTCCTCTGTAGCAGCCGCTTTACGTTTTATCGTAATTTTGTTACCAGATCCAGCATACATCACAGAATATATAGAGGATCCATTCGATACCGTACGAATCGTTGGCGATTCTAGTTTGACAATAGGAAACTGGATATTATTTACCGGTTGAATAATACTCATGCCTTTTACTTAATATCATTCATTCATAATTTGAGTTAACTTGTTTCAGGAGGATGATACTTATTAGTTACGCACCAGGTATACTCTGGGATATCGCCTCAGTGACCTGAACACTGTTTCCCTGTGTCTGTGTCGAGGTCGTGCTGGTGTAAACGCACGGTAGGATGCTATACGCTGACTTGGACAGGCCAGCGTTGCTCTTGAACTCATCTTTGAAGCCCGCCCCTTCCTGGATAAGCTCCATGAGGCTGGTGGCACCGATGGTGGACGGTGCTCCATTGGTGGTGGCACTGTTCGCAGACGTCACGGACAGCAGGAGGGTACGGTAGATACCGGTGCTGGTCAGGTACTCGCACAGCTTCTTATAGCACTGCAACAGTATCCGCAGCTGCACGTTCTCCACGTACTTGTCGTAGTCCTTGCACCAGCCGCACGAAGGTTTCAGCTTCTTGCGGCCACCGCGGCATCCCCGGCACACGTGATGCTGACAGTTGGTCTCGGTAGGCGTGTGCGGCTCGATGAGCAGGTTGGAGCAGACGGTGCAGCTGAGGCTCTGCCGTAGATAGGGCACCAGCCTGTAGAGGTCCGTCCAGGAGTTGGGATCCTCGGCATCCGCCTGCAGCACCAGTCGACACGTAGACACGTACAGACTCGTCGCGTTCATCGCGTTTTTCACGCAACGTCCATGGACCGATTCGGACACATGCGAGGATCGCCCGTTCTCCAGGTCCGTAGGATATCGAAATTGTGAATTATTCAAGCTTGCGGCCGCTGCTAAACACTCGGCGCATAACCATCCTCGCGCACACAAACAAAACATACGCCATGTTTCGTTGGCGACGCGTGCCTCCGCCGCATCCTCAGAGAGGTCGCGACGAGCGGCTCTTCCGCGTCGGCGTCTCGCGTGTCGCCTGAAGTCAGGCGCGTGCCGAACGTCAAACGTCAAACGTCAAGTGTCACTTGCCGGCCATGTGTCTTATTATAATTGTCGTTTAAGGATGGTTTGTATAGTCTATTTTCGAAATATTGAGAATTTAATGAAAATTGTACAGAATGTCCTTACATATGTTTAGCATCTTCAGTACAATTTTTAAATCCATTTACAAGTTATAAGGATTTTAATTTGCACCGAATTAACATGTGTTCTTATGGGAAACGTATAACCATGTCAATTCAAATGACAAAAACACATGAAAATAATACTCAGAATTTGTTGAAAATTTGCAAAAGTTTAGATACAGAGGTAATATTTGGTCAAATAATATTATATAAGTACTAACTGTTCAGGTAGAACATAAAACTCATAATGACATCATTATGATGTCATTATGATTTTATTTATCACTCAAAAGTTATCTAAACAAAAATGATTAAAAAATGAGTTAAAGATGACAAAAAGAATCATAAATTTTTAAGTTCAATAATCGCATTATATAATTTTAAAAAAATTATGTTGCTTAAATATAATTAAAATATACATGAATAATTAAATAAACAAGTAATTGCGTAATATATATAAAAAATGATATGATTGATTCTTAAGATTTCATACGCGAAGTATATATATTCTCCAACAGAGTTCGCTAGAATTGTTTAATATTAAAAATAAGTCACCAAAACATTGCCAAAAGTATATCAAATGCGATCATTATGATTTTTCTAAAATGACTTTTAGGTGACGCCATAATGATGTCATTATGAGTTTCATGTTCTACCTGGGTGGTTAAAAAGATATTAAATATAATTCAATCAAGTTAGCCATGTATCTGTCATAAGGCGAAATTCTCTGCCAAAAGTTAATCATTTGGATTCCCAAATTTCGAAATATTTTAGTAAAGATGCAATAAATATTAAAAAATACTTCTCTGCACTGTAGCTAAGATCAAATTGTAATATTCCACATAATTTCTCATACTCAAAATACACCAAAAGTGGATATATTCGTCAATATTGATTTTCAGCTACTGTTTGCTGGGATTGTACATACAAAACATCCTTAAAGATACGATGCGATACGATTTTTCAGCGGTTTTAATTTAATTTATTGAATGCATAAAACTTTTAGTTTAATTTATTTTAATTTAATTTAATTTATTGAATTTTATTTATTGAACTTTTAATTTAATTTATTGTAATTTAATTTATTGAATTTTATTTGTTGAACTTTTAATTTAATTTATTTTAATTTAATTTAATTTATTTGAAAGCACAAAACTAATTATTTATCTTCTTTCAACCTCACGTATAATCTGTCATACATGATAAGTACTTTAAATATCTGTGCATTCAATACAGATGCTGATAGTATTAAATAAAGTACAATAGAAGAAGATTAAGAAGGAAATTCATATTCGCGTGCATGTTTTAGATCCTTTTCTTGTTGAAAAAACAACGAGCATTTTTCTAAATTATTTTCTCATACAATCTTCTCTAATTTAATTTATCGTATAAGTATTTTATTTAAATTTTATCCTTCAAGTACTATCTTTTTTAAGCTCCTTATGTTTTTTTTATTAATACCTTATGTTATAATTTATATGATTTTTAAAAATAATATTTTTCTTATTATTTTTTTTCTAACAAAAATTTAATTTCAGATTATTACTCTCCTCGTGGCAAGGTATACGGAGAAAGGTGTTTGTTTATACGAGAAGAAGATGGCACGACGGTTACGTTGCGGTGTTATTAACAAGTGATTTACGCACGGCACCGAGGGAAATGCTCTTTGTCGTCCTTGCACGTTGTTACGCGATGTCGTTCGTGCAGTGTCGTCGTTTTCGTCAATATTATGCCGTCCCCGAGACATTTTGGACCGGACTTTCTCTTCCCTTTCCGTCGAAATGTGCAATTACAGGTGAGAGATTGGAATAATATATTAAATTGATTCTTCACTGTGTAAATAAAAGAAACGAATGGATGTTTTCCTAAACTGGATTAAAGATAATATAAACTTTTCAGAATTAATATGAAATTACTTTGAAATTGAAATATCAATCGTCGTAATAATTGCAACAATATTCAATGATGAATCTTGTTAAAACTATAAGTATATAATTATTTACTTATATTGAATATCATATTTATAATTAAAATTGCGACAATTGTGACAATTGCGGTTTATATTATCGAAAAATATTACACTTTTATTTGTATATTCTTTTTTCGCGTTTTTAGCATTTTTATATGTTTTTTATCTTTCCACTTAATATCTTATATTTTTTATTATACACTATAATAAAAAATACAAGACATGAAGTGGAAAGATAAGAAATATATACTTAAAGTATTTAAACCATATAATTAAGGATGTTTTGTATAATCCCAGCAAACAGTAACTGAAAATCAATATTGACGAATATCCACTTCTGGTGTATTTTGAATATGAGAAATTGTGTGGAATATTACAATTTGAACTTAGCTACAGTGCAGAGATGTATTTTTAATATTTATTGCGTTTTTATTGAAATATTCCGAATTTTGTTAATTGAAATGATTAACTTTTGGCAGAGAATTTCGCCTTGTGACAAATACATGGCTAACTTGATTGAATTATATTTAATATCTTTTTAACCAGTTACTTGTATAATAATATTTGACCAAATATTTTCTCTATCTTTTCTGTATCTAAAACTTTTGCAAATTTTCAACAAATTCTGAATATTATTTCCATGTGTTTTTGTCATTTGAATCGACGTGGTTATACATTTTCCATAAGAACACATGTTAATTCGGTACAAATTAAAATCCTTATAACTTGTGAACGCTTTAGTGAATCGATTTAAAAATTGTATTAAAGATTCTAAACATATGTAAGGACATTCTGTACAATTTTCATTAAATTCTCAATATTTTGAAAATAGGCACCAAACACCCTTAAACACACCGGAACACATACATAATGAGAGGAAAAAAGTAAAAAGAAAGTAAAAAAAATATTTTATATTTATTACGAACGCGTGATGAGTTATATAATATTCTGCATACATTTGAAACGCAAATTTTTTGCGATGCAAAATGAACAGAAATAACTAAAATATGTATCGGTATTCACACATACACATTCCAACCGTATTGACCTCGATATTTCTTAATAACTTGACGCTTCTTTAGAAGAGAGAGAAGGAAACTCGGGAAATATTAACATACACACATACACACGTATGTCGAGCCGTAACATGTGTCGTAATATTTCTTAACAAACATCATTATATAGATATCGGACTCTGAGTTTACTTTCCACGTCCCTTGATTTTGCGGCCATGGCCCATCGCGCGCATGGCTGGTTGGGTAAGATTGTCTCGTAGAATGTAGATAATAATTCGTCTTGTGCATACTCGCACGATGTTCTTTCTTTACATTCATCAGTCTGTCGTTATTCCTTACGCGTTCATTATGCGACCTTCGCGATCGAGCCCGTTCCAAAATTATGTAATATCTTGCTCTCTCTTTTTTTAGCATTTTAGCTCATTTTGATTCTTTTTTTCTCTTTTTTTTCCAACGGATTTAATCTTGAAAATCGATTATCGGCCTTATACGCTCATTTTTCCTTTTTCTCTCTTGTATTCGAAGATTGAATATAATCAAGATAATAGATCATAATTAAAGACATTGTTTCCCGTCAATAAAGCGTGTTGGAGTTGTTGAGAAGCGCGATTGTAAAGATCGTGTAATATTTGTCATGAAACTATTGAAAAATGATGGCTGTTAATTGTGATTGATAAAAATCCGACAATAATTAATCGAGAAACATATATACATTTATATAAATGGAGCAAAAACTACTTGCATCAATTGTAATTAGACGGATACAAATTATTAGTTAAACTAGGAAGTTCTTGTAATATCATCGATTGACGTGAATAGGCAACTACCGGTTTTTTATTTGACGGGGGATTCCTTCCGAGACTTGTTTTCTGGGACTTTTGCTGAAGAAATGTAAATTATTTTTTTTATCTGATTTAGTCATATTTCATCCATAATATGATGCATAAAAATAGATAAAAATAGATTTTAATTTATACTAATATAATATCTCAAAAAAGAATGTTTTGCTTTTTTTATTTTCGTTTCCATCAATTTTCAAAAGTCGATTTTGTAATGTTGTAATTCAATAGAATATATTAAAATATATTTATATATTAATAAAAATTATATATTATAATTATATATATATATATATATATATATATAAATCTGTATGGTGTTACTCAAATTTCCATAACGAAGAAACTTTCGTGAAAATGTACATTCCTTAATCTCATCTCATTAGTGACATACACATAAAGTGATGTGTCAGCATGTATCAGCAAAATCTATTTATCTTTTCTAATATTAAAAATAATAATATTAGATTATCTAATATTAAAAATAATAATATTAAAAATAATTTTCTAATATTAAAATCTAAAAATATGAATGTCAGTTCTATAATATAATTTCTCTGACAAAATAATACATGAATATTAAAAATGAATATTAGTATGAATATGAATATTAGTATGTATATGAATATATATATTAAGTAGTTAAATAATACATGAATATTAAAAATGAATATTAGTATGAATATGAATATTAGTATGAATATGAATATATATATTAAGTAGTTAGAGAATAGTATTGAAATATTGAGTTTGTTAGAAAGAATTGCAACTCTTCTTAAAATCATATAAAAATCATCTAAAAATCTGCTTTTTGCGTACACAAGTGAATAAAAATACGCTACATAAAATTAATTCGTGGAACTGAATCCTTAATCTTTGAAAACTCATATTTCATGAATATTTCAATTCTTTTTTATTCTTTGATATTTCTAACTGACGCCATTTTATGATTGATAATCATTGTAATACTTATAATTAATCATAAATTTCTATGAATTATTCAATCCATGTTCCACGTAACATTATTGTTTCATAAATAGGCATTTGAAAATCTCACAGAATAAAATTCCATCATCTTTTTATAGAAAATTTTTTTATAGAAATTTTTTTATGGAAAATTTTAAAATGTTTTGTACAAATTACATGAAAAAATATATTCTTTTTTACAATATTTATAGTAAAATTGAAATATAACGATATTAAAATATTTATTACTATAAAAATTGTGCATTTATTTATTAATGCATAAATTATGCATTTGTTTTTTTCTATTTTTTGGAGACAATTATGAGACAATTATATTATTTCTTCGTGCATTATAATATTTGAATAATTATAATTATATTCTTTTGTAAAATATAAAACGTATATAATATTATTAAATAAAAATATCGTAGTTTTATTTCTCATATATATTAATTTATATATTAGTGATTTCTTGTACATAATTACATATTAATTTATATTTTACATATTAATTTTACGATTACAAAAATTATATCTTTTCCGTATCTTTATTTATTTTTTTGCAATGTTAATCACATTCCAATTGAGGATTTCAATCCCTTAAAATTTCAATCTCTTTATTTTACAGTGTTAATCACATTCAACAAGGATTTCAATCTCTTAAAAAGATTCTTCTTATCATGCACATACATCGTAAAAAAATATGTGAATTTTTAAACTTCATTTCACCTTTGTAATTGCGCAAATTAGTTGGTTCTTATTATGTCAATTATGGCGTGATATTACGTAATTGTTGCATTAATTAAGATATATCTGAATACGTATCGAAGCTTACTCTTATCTAAGCACAATGTCAAGATATATGCGCTTCATTCTTTTACGAAAATAATATTTCGGAAAATATCGCATATGCAATTGATATATCTTGCATATTTCATTATTTAGTTTATTACATGTATATGTATAAATATGTAATAAATCCTGGCGTATAAATCACAGAAACCTGCTCTCCGTTAAATTAATTATGCGTATATAAAATGGAATTCATCATAGATAATATTGATAAAATGCATCATCTTAACACGCAATAAGATGCACGGATACAAATTTTATGTATTTCAAGACAGTACATTTATTATGTAAAAAAGTAATAATTTTAGACATTAATGGTTACAAAATAATTAATAGTCTACAAATATTTTTAATAAATTTGTTATGTGTGTGGACGACAAAAAGATTTATTAAAAATATCAGTTTAATTGTTAAAAATATATAATCTATTATTTATAATATATAAATTCCGCGGATTAATTCGCTACAATAACATATTGATTGATTCTTAATATATTAAGTGACGATTTTATTACGAAATACTTGAGATTAATTTAATAAAACAAATTTATGCTTCTGCAAAAAGATTTATTCGGCAAGATTTTTTTATTTATTCAATAAATATTTTAATGCAATGTCAAATAATTGATTGTAATAATAAAATTTGGTCGTTTTTGCGCCTAATGTGCATCAATAATGTTTTCTTTGTGTATACTTTGTTGTTTATTTCCGAATTAAAAAAAGAACTATAAATAATTTATGTGCAAGAAATTTTATCTGAATTAAACTTCGAAGAACTAACAACTGAAATTTTCATAATATTCGATATCGTAATCACCGATATTATGCAAAATGAGGCGTCAAAGTGACGCAATATGCTCGATAATATTCTTTTTAAAATTTACGAAATCAGTAACACTTATCTCATTATTGTGGGGTATTAAGTCCGATCTCGTCAAAGATAACGGTGCTTTTCCTTTAAACTTGAAAAGAGTACATTGACGAAGAGACATACATTGACGTAGTATCATCAGCGAGTGTATCATTAAATTTTCGTAGTTCTTTTCGTTGTTTTCGTAACATAGTTGTGTCCAGAGATGGACGAGTATTGAATAATGTCACGTCAATCGATAAGATAAGCTCCAGGAATGTCAGTTATGTTTCCGATACCAAT